AAAGCACCCCACGCTTTATCACAATATTTTTCATTGTTTTTCATCGATTTACGTTGCAAAATTAGACCCCACGAAATGCTTTTTTATTTCAACGGAATAATACCTACATAACCTATGTGCCTGAAAGTTTAATCTATAGCTTAGTACCTATATTAGTAAAATAATATTATTGAAATCGGATGAACACTTTCGAAGATAACCAAAACTTACAAATATTTAGCTTTATAGTATTAGATTAAAATAAATAAAAAAATATATAGGTATTACAAAAACAAAAAACCCGACTGCATAAAAGTTAACTAAAAAGATAAAAACAAGTTGACGAAGGAATATAAGTATTATGCAATAGGATGAAACGTGTATGTCTATACACGTTTCATCCTTGCCGCAAGATGTACATGTGTATGTCTCATATGGTAAAAATCTTCATTTTGATACCCCATACTTGGGATTGGTTTGGAAGAATTTGCGCCCGAAATCCACTATTTTATTTTTTTACTATTTTTATATAGCTAACACTCACGTTATCAAGACGAATCTAACGAGGTAGGAATCATCAAAATCGGCCCACGCCTTCGTTCTCTAGAATGCCACATAGGAACAAACGTACATACATATATACATAGACTGATAAACACATACCTCCTTTACGTCGCGCAATCGGATAGAAAGAAAATATAAAGTAGGTATAATTTTCAATATCCTACAATGAGGTAAGACTTGAAGAATGGTCTGTATTAAAAAAGTAATACGTACATAAATAAGAAAAATATTTTTTTTTAAACTTGGGAGAACACAGGTAATTTACACATAAACGGTTTTCATGTACTGAGGCAGTTATATATAAAAGCTCTTATACGATGCGACGTCCTTACTGACCTTGTTGTAAAAAAATATTAAAAACAAACATACAAAACACATGTCAGCCTCATTATAACTAAAATTAACTACACTTAAATTAAGTAAATAATCGTAACTCATACTCTAGAACCAACTGAATAGACATATTAAATAAAATTATCTTTTTAGATGTTTTCTCCCGTGACAATGATTTACAAACCCCGTGGACGGCCGGAGACTTAGTGGACATTGAAGAATTAAAAGTGATCGTGAAAGTGGGCCCATGGCAAACCACGTCAGAGTTAGCGCAAAGCTTCGGTGTGAGTGATAAAATAATTTTAATTCACGTGGAACAAATTAGAAGAGTGAAAAAGCTCGAAAAAGAAAATGATACAGCATAAATTGAATGAATTACATCAACAAAAACGCGTCGAGTGCTGCGTTACATTAATTACTCAATCGTCACAATAACGTGCTGGTTTTAAATCGTATCGTTAGTTGTGATGAAAAATGGATTCTGTACGATAATCGGAAGCGCTCATCATAATGGTTGAACCCAGGACAACCGGCCAAATCCTGCCCCAAACGAAAGCTCCAACAGGTTACCACTTTTTCAGGAATTTGGACAACTTCTTGTAAGGAAAAAAATTTCAATTCCGATGGGGCAATCAAAACCGCTTTTAGACATTTTATTAATTTGCGCTCTCACAATTTTTTTAGCAAAAGAATCAATGAACTACTTATAAAATGGTGAAAGTACATAGATAACTATTGCACATACTTTGATTGATTAAATATGTAATTTCATAATTATTTTTTTCGTTTTGCCTTTTCCATATATAACGCCAATTTCATATATAAGGACCTAATATTTATATATTTTTATATTATGAAAGTCGGTCATGCTATACTGTTTTTATTACGTTTATATGTAACTACGAAATTTTTAACAATTCATATTTTAAAGTCCAAACAATTTATCTTACAATAAAATCTGTATGTATAAAATAAAGCCGTTTGAAATTCGGAGCTTAGAGTTTATATGTGGATGGGTTATTTTATTCCATATTCTGCATTATTTCTATGCTGTAAATAGTTGATGTCGGTTTCAAAGTAAATTTTTGTCATTTAAATACTAGGTACGTTCTGCTCGTGTGGGGACATATATGTAAGTCATTCAGAATTTGATTCGTTAAACCTTTACAGCGGAAAGAAGTAAGAAATACACTCAATCACACATTCGCTCATATATTCATATAACTATCATATACCTACAGAAAATCACGTAAATCAAATTCTGAATCAAAATGAAAAAAATAAAAATATGAGTTAGTCGATATCGTGTCGCAGTAACAGAGAAAAGTAGGTTTATCATATGTTATTTTGATCATAAATATTTATTTGGGTTGTATTATAATGCGTTTTTTTCGTGGGAATGAGATAATCTCCCGCGGTAAAAAGTAGCCTACGTTACTCTCCAGCCGTCTAACTATTTCCATACATAAAATCACGCCAATCCGTCACTCTGTTTCGACGTGAAAGACGGACAAACATACAAAGAAACACAAACAAACAAAATAAACACTTTCACATTTATAATATTATAAGTATGGATTACTAAGATTACTGAGTCCCAACCCATAAAGTTTAAACATCAAACATAATTTTTGGTTATATATTATACCTACATGTTACATTACGATTTCTAGTTGAAGCCTGCAGTGGCTAACCTTTGTTTGAGTACTTCGAGTGTCAGGATGTTACTCGTTTAATTGAATAAAAAACTATACTTTATAAAATGAAAGTTGTATTCGATTTAAAATGAAAGATTTTATGGAAAGTGAAGGTTTTTGTCAGTTGTACAAAATAACAGTTTTACTTTAAAGAGTTTTAGAAAACTGTTCAAGGTGTTTAAAGTTTTGATGAATTTTATCGTACTACAGTCCCACATCCGTTTATATAAAACCTTATAGATGTAAAAAGCTTTATAAAGACAAAAATTATTTTTTTTTTTAATTTTTTACAGACCTGTGACCACATTTTGGAAATACTTTTCATTTGCATAATCTTCCCCTGATACCTTAACGCCTTTAAGTATGGACAAACTTCGCTTTTAGCCTACTTGGTATGCAGGCCGTACTCAGTTTGTTTGTAAATGGCTGTTCCAAATAATAGATTAGCATAATTATTTAAATTCGCAAATTCTATGTTTTGTTTTGTATCATAACAAACGAGCCGACCTTGTCCTAATAATACCTCGAAAGAACATCACTTACCTACTCAATATCTAGGCGACCGAATTTCGAGATACACGAAATAAATTAATATTATATACAAGAATCGCTCATGCCTTTCGAAAACTTGCTAGGTTCTCCCAGACATGCAGGTTTTCTGGCGACGTTTTATTCGTAATAAAACAAGTGATAATCTTTTTTTCTTTCTACCTATTCTACCCGCAAGGAAAAACAAATCCTTTACCCTTCAATACCGAGAACACTGTAAGGTCAAGTGGCTTAGGTTTAATAACTTTTTATATAATATGGTCCACATACTCGTACTTGTTACAGAGTTTCAAGTATTTGAAGTGTTTATTTACGATAAATCAAACTACAAACCAAGCACTTGAAATAAAAAAAAAACCTCTCAAATTTTGGCAATTATTGATAAATTCTTTGCATTTATTTTACACTAGCATTGCCCGCGGCTCCGCCCGCGTTCAGATTACCAAATCTAAATTCTTAGGTTTTACATAATATTAGTATACATTGCAGTTTTTGTATTTTTTCTCAAAAATGAGATATTTTTCCGCAGAAAAAAGTATCCTATATGTTGACCCGGATAACCAGCTATATATATAGCATACCAAATTTCATCAAAATCCCTCCAGTGGGTTTTCTGTGATGCGGTAACAGAGAGACAGACAGACAAAAATTCTATAAACTATAGATTCGGCCTCTGTATCGTAAGAATGTGTATTTCAATAAGATTTTCCAAAAAATATTTAATGTACAGATTCGGCTTAGTTACAATTTTATTATATGTATAGATAGTATTTGAAATTAACATTCTAAAATATGATTATTTTGACAATTCATTAAGGACAATAATAAGATATGTAAAATAAATTGTATTAATATCTACGAATAAATAATATATTTCTTCTCAGGTCTGAGGCTTCTTCTTTCCGAACTGGTAGTAGACTCATGACGTTCAGTAAAAAATTGTAGTAATTTAATGCTGAATAAAATATTTTGATTTTGATTTATTCGTAGATTAACATGCTATAAGGGAACATCCATATAAAGCAATGAATAATACGACTAAATTGGGAATCTTAAATTAAGAAGAACTCGATGTTAGTTAGTAGTGCTAGTTATGTTTAGATGCTACAGAGGTACATACATATTACATATATGTCGAGGAATGCCATAACAATAAAATATTTTGCAACCATGATTTCATGTCATTAATACTTTGAATTAACATTCAAAATCATATTGATTTCTGTTGGACAATCGTCTTCCGGATTTAACTGAATTGTAATAAATCTTCTTATTTACGATTTAAGTGTTTATTTGGTTTTTACTTAGGATATTTCATATACGGTGTTTACGCACAAGATATTTACTAATAATTACAAAACTGCCCCCGTAATGCTGTGTTTTAGAAAAATTAAATATCTAAATTGTTAGGTACTTAAATTACTACTGACCGACAACGGTCTCGACAGTCTATTTCACTGTGAAAGTCAACTACGTAATAGATTTTGGAAGCCGATGAATGGGTAAAAGTATAGGAATTTCAATTTTTAAAAGGAAAAAGAATTTTATCTATACGAGTAAATCGAATAGAAACAATTATAACATTTTTATTTCGATACCTTGTGTACAAAAGATGACTTATCTATTTAAGAGATCTCTACCAGAAACCTTCGAGCGTGAGAAAAAATCATAATCAAGGGTTGCGGTTAGGTACAAACTACAAACATCAATATACGTAAATATACAAAATTATTTATTCCTCCCACTTTCTACGACTCGATTTTGACAATTTTTTTCTGAAGTCCTTTATTACAAAGATCCTGTAATTCATATCTTATTACTATGTGTTTTTAGAATAAAAGAAATATGATACTAATTTTCCACTTAATTTGTGAACAGGAACGCTTACAGTCGAAGAGGTGTACAAGGACAGAGATCAGTTCGCGGGATTGGTGCGAGAGGTGGCGGCTCCGGACGTAGGACGGATGGGCATCGAGATCCTGTCCTTCACGATCAAGGACGTGTACGATGATGTCCAGTACCTGGCCAGCTTGGGGAAGGCGCAGACGGCGGTGGTGAAGCGCGACGCTGATATAGGCGTGGCTCAGGCGAATAGAGATGCTGGGATACGAGTGAGTGATGATTTTAAAATCTTGTATAGCATATAATCGATTTCTATTATCGCTTAGGCTTAGGTGATAGCTATTATACGGAAGAATAGATAAGAGACGTTTGTAACTTGCCGTTTCCTTGCTTTAGTTGGTATCGACATTAAAAATAACTCATTTATTATTGTACAAAATGATGTATATTATTCTAACACAATTTTCTTCTATATAGTTAAAAATATTATATTTAAGTCTAAGGGTTAATAAGTCGGTTTATATATATTTTATTGCGTCTATAAACTTTTGTATCCAGAGTCATAAACCTCCACAGCAACTGACCTAACTATAAATAATAAACTATTTAGTTAATAAAGTAGGTTCATAACAATGTCATTCCCTTAAGAAGTATGAAAACTTCCAGACGTGGTATTGTACAAGTACTTACAATCTTCGCCATAATAAAATAAACATACTTCACTTCTATCATTATTTCAATGCTTTAATGTTTTCATTAGTGATACCGTAATTTCTTTTAAAAGGCCTTTCCTAAAAACATCTCATACACATGTCACAGATGGCATTCACCAGATTAGTCATAATATCGAACCGAAAGTGACCTAAAAGTTAAATGGAGACACTTAGTTCCATCTGTTTAATGTTTTAGGCAGTTCTTAATTTTCAATTAAGGGCCAATGTCAAATGATATGACGTTAATGAGTCAATTGGAAAAATTAGGCAAACGCCCTTAATGACTCGAACTAGCGCTGATTATTTGTAATGGTTACAAGGGCATCCGAAATTATAATATTTATAGGTGTTCTATAAATAATTGATCGTATGACGTTGAGATTATAGTATTTACATGTATGCTCCAGGTATTAGGATCGTTTGAATTCACTAAGACCATATGGTCTGAGTTAAATCAAATGGAGTGTATATAATAATTTTAAATTTATTTTCATTTTTCATATCGATATAACATAATATGTGGAATATATATTTACTTTAACGTATTGAATAATTTAAGAATATCAATAATCATTTTAAGGAAACTTAGTGATAATTATAATATTTAAAAAAAAGGTGTCATGAGATAGGCATAATCTTCGGAATTAATACGATGTTTTATTTAAAATGTTAAATATTCGCGTAAATCTAAGAAAGTATGATGTTTTGTTTTAAAGGAAGCCGAGTGCGAGAAAACTTCTATGGACGTAAAGTATTCTATGGATACTAGAATAGAAGATAATACAAGACTCTACAAGCTGCAAAAAGCACAATTTGATCAAGAAATTAATACTGCCGTAAGTTAAAATGCTTCCTTTAAATGTAATAGTTCTTAAGACAGATCAAAAGATCCAATCGAATTTTCTACCTAGATAGTTTATAGACCAGGTAACCAGATACGTAAATTTTGAACGACTTCAAAAAGGGAGAGGAACTTAATTACAATACAAGTGCAATCTCTATTTAGTCACTCTCACACTTGGCGATTCGGATTCATCCTTAGGTGATTTTTTTTAAATTAACATAATTTTTTATTTATGAACTGTTTGAAATAAAACATCAGGAAATCAAAGAAGCTTATCGCAATACATTAGTGAAAAACGCATTCCAATCGGTTAAGTCGTTTTGAGATTAGCGCGCACAAACTCACAGACAGACAAAAAATTCTAAAAATCATTATTTTGGGTTCTGCTCCGTTAATAATTGCCCCCAATAATAGTATTTCTCAAATATCCATGTACAAACAGCGATTAGTTATAATTTTATTATATGTATAGAATATTCGTATATTTTTCGCAGAAAGCCGAAGCTGCTTTGGCCTACGAGCTCCAAGCAGCAAAGATCAAACAGAAAATACGAAACGAAGAAATACAAATCGAGGTCGTGGAGCGTCGCAAGCAAATTGAGGTATGCTATGTGTATGTTAGACAAATGAGTCCAATTAAATATTACGATTATCTTAGGTCATTAACTTAGTTATTATTTTTTCTTTACAAAGAAAAATTTAATTTTACTTATTTCACTTTAATAAAGCCAAAAATGTGTTTATCTTCTTATTATGTATGTAAATAAAGGTTTTTTTTAAATAGAAGAAAATATTCTACTGTTAAAGTACAATAAGTTGGTCACTAAGGCGACGCAATGTCAAAATATATTTCCTTTTCATTTTTGTCTCAATGTAACGAGGGAAGTGGATATATTTTTAAATACAACCGAGATACCTCATTTCCTTTTTATAAATTTTTTATAAGACTTCTGCTTTTTATTAAACCTGTAAAACCTTAGTAATGTTTTATAAAATTTTATGTATATTTGTATGAGTAATTTGCTTTTTTTAATAAATTTGACTATGGAATAGACAGACACTTTAAAATGAATTTCAACTTCGAGTACACCTTCTAGTTGAAAAATAACAATATACGCTTATGATACATAGTATTGATATGTGACATAGCATTTTGTTTAAATAAATAACGCTATGTACTAATCAACCCATTATGGTACTTGTAATATCTAGGAGATTTAATACTTGCAAATATAGGGGACATAGAAATAATGATTAATATCCATACAATGAGTACAAATATTTGACTCAGGCGAAAGTCGAACCTGTGGCCTTTGGCGTAGAAACAAATACTCTACGCCAGGCAGTCATCAAATTGTTTATTTTTGTTATTCGTAACATTTATAGACACATAATATGGCTCTTAGTAATTTCCATAGAGCTTCGTAAAGCACCTAGTATGTGAATGTAGAGACGATATTTCTAACCTCGGTATATAATCGAACTACTATATTATATGTGGAAGTATGTATATTGTATACGTGTATGTATGTCTGTTACTCATTCTTGCTGAAATAGTTGTATGAGTTTGAATGAAATTTACCGGGAATACCATATAAGCAGATAGGGACGCGCCCGAGTGAAGTGAAACCTAAGTCCTATATAATATGGATGGTTACATATTAAAAAAATCTAGAGTTAGTCAACACAAAAAATATCAAGGACTTTCTAAATTACGCACTCAAAAAAATCTTTTAAAATTATTATACAGACTATTTTTATTACGTTGTGTACAAAAGGTGGAACAACAAGAAATCATGCGTCGTGAAGAAGAGCTCATATCCACAGTGCGTCTGCCCGCCGAGGCCGAGGCTTACCGTCTACAAGCCATCGCAGAGGGAAAACGGTATGGTTTTGTTATATTAACTCTATGTATATGTCGCAGCCAACTAGCTTAGTCAGCCGTTTAATTAACGGCCTAGCTTTTTCATTGAACGGCGTTGTACATACACGCGCTGCACTAATTATAGTGATTAATTATAGAGACATTATATTATTATATATATTGCATTAATTATAGAGATATTAATCTCCTGCGCATCTGGCTAGTCTCAGTGAGATTGACCGCCGTGGCCGAAATCGATCAGGAGGACATTATTAATGAGTCATATTTGCTACGTATAATTATAATTTTCAGCACACAAACAGTGGAAGCGGCTAAAGCGGACGCAGAACGTATCAAAGTGCTGGGTCTGGCCGAGGCGATGGCCATCGGCGACGTGGGCAAAGCAGACGCGGAGAGGATGCTGGCTAAGGCCAAGGTGTACAAGCAGTATGGAGACGCGGCCATCATGGCCCTCGTGCTGGAGGCTCTGCCTAAGGTGAGTGAATGAGTTGTTTTGATATCTTTATTTATTTGCTATTACATTAAACGGTGGTGTGTGCCTTTTTTTGGCGTAATAAGCTCGGTTTGAAATTTTTAATAGCTCGAGATAAAAATTGGGTTTGTCGACGAGTGACTTATGTAGCTTCGTTTTTGTACGAATAAATACTATATGTGACTGATTATACTAATAACTATATTATAGCAATAATTAAAACTAATAAAATAATAGTAAATAATTTATGCCTGCAATATTTATGTTCTTATATAAAACAGACGTTATTTTTTAAACTCAAAAGCGTTTCTTTAAGCTCAAATGTCGTTTAAAATGTAGTCGATGAAAAGTATCTTTTAAATATGTTCTATAGTAGATAGCTAAAGATATCGACAGACATTACCAACTCACATGAACAGCATCAGTCGGCTCGTTTTTTAGCAGTACAATTTTTTTATCCAAACTATTCTGTGGTATAACAAAGAACCATTTGACCGTGTCCTTTGTATCTGTGTCACTAGCGACACTGTGTGCAAAATTTTTTTTTTATTATAGTGGAGAAGTTTCATGGTGTTGTTAATATTATTTTTAACACTATAGGGATCGTGCGTTTAGACTTTTACGCCAACTAGTGGCAAAGACCTGAATCTATAGGAATCATTTTTCAATACTGTCAACATCAAGAAAGAATACTGAAGTTTCGATTCTTGTCAAGCTGAAAAATAACAGTTTTATAACTATCCCTAGTTTTCTAATTGGATTACTTTAAAAATACCAAGTATTTTTAATTTTAAAGTATTTTTTGTACATACCATAATTTTCACACCATAAACATTTGACACACTCGTTTGTGGTACAAATTTTGCGGTTCATACAGTTTCACTTTTATTACTTTTTTCCATGTGGTTGGACATTAATATTTTCTTACCTTTCTCACTATTCTAGACCATGTATTATTGATGACTGGTTTGAAATCCATATTTTATTATTTTTTCCATTTTTATAAATATTCTGTTTACAAATGAATGTTTTGATCCCAGTATCTTCAGGAATAAAAGACTAGGGGGACAAAAGTGCTGCCCTCTACATTTCGCGCACGGTCCCCATGGAATTAAAATATTGATCAATCAATGATTTTTGTTTCGAAATCTATCAATAAAGGACTAAGAAAATAATTGTTTAAGTATTTTAACGCACAAAGATTTCGGTCACTCACTCGAGTGTTACGTCATTTTACTTAACTGAGATCGTAGCACCACAAAATATCACTCAATTGCTCAATTGTTGCCAAGTCGCACGTGAGCTCTCGTGCTGTTCCTAGTTATTTTACGTACAATTGCTTGTTTTTTATTTATTGATAGTGTTATTTTTAATTATTTAAATTTCGGTCGTTCAGGTAGTGTGACGTCACGAAATTATTCTTGTAAGCGCAAGTTTAAAGTTTGATAGCTTTTACATTTTTGTCTCTTACATATTTTAATAATTCTTTTATTTTTTTTGAAGTTATATTTCTTTTAGCACGTTTGGAAAAAAATGTGATAGTAAAATTTTTACGATGCGCGCGCACATCGACAGCCAAAAAGCGACATGATGAAGTTAGCTGCATTTCTTTTACAGAGTTGTGACATAGGGGCTGAAATCTTTAGCTATTTTAGTTCTGTTACGCCAAAGAATTTCTCACGTGCGTACATAATTACGCACACACGTTTTTTTTCTATATTCTTCTTCATTGTCGATAAGTATTTTAATTTTTTCCGACGTTCCACTACAGATCGCAGCAGAAGTATCGGCGCCTCTCGCAAAGACGGACGAGATAGTGCTGGTGGGCGACAGCGGCGTGACGGGCGAGGTGGCGCGGCTGGCCGGCACGCTGCCGCCCGCGCTGCGCACGCTCACCGGCCTCGACCTCGCCAGCGTGCTGCAGCGGATGCACCCGAAGCCTGTTGGTGAGTCGTGATTTGTTTTCTTTGTTCTTTTTTTATTATTTTAGTTGGGCGTAAGCTTAAATGGCTACAGATTTGACATTGCAGCGGATGTATTGGAAGATGTGGTGAGTGGTGTGGTTTTGTTTTTTTTTAGTTGGGCGTAAGCGTACAGGGCGGATCATTTGCTTATCTTACGGTGAAGTCATTGTGAGGAAGCCTTTTTGTCTGAGAGAACCTAACCAGTTTTTTAAAGTCAAGTAGTAAAGAAAGGCCCGTATATTTTATTAATATTAGTATATTGTATTATTATATTGTTACAGATGAGTCTCCTCTCGCGGCGAGTAAGAAGAAGGAAGTGACCGCCTGTTAACCACCTGATCGCAACTTCTGAATCGAGTGCCATAGTACACTATGATCTACACAGAAAAGTTCATATAAATATATATCTTAACTTACAACGGTTAAATTCATTTAATATGTAAAACGTACAAATAAATTAGATGCAACATTACTAGTATGTAGAATGGGAATGATATTATATCCGATAGATTTCACCGATTTTATATGTATATTTTATTTGTAGGTAAATACCGCAATATTACAATAAATTAAAAATCGATTTATACGATATATACGATCAAATATGATTGTGTCTTTAAATAATATAATTAGATTTGGCAGCAAATAGTTTTATAAATTTTACTAAATTTTCGAGTATAAAATTAAAAATTAGTGTACATGTGTAGAAAGTATCATTTCCATTCTGTATGGCTGTCTGTATGTCTGTATGTAGTTGAAAGAGAAATTATATCATAAATGGTGTCTACATATTGATACAGTAGAGTAGTTTAGATTTTGTACTGTCGGAAATTAAAGTGTTCTCAAACACTGCCTTCTTGTCGTAGAATTTTACAATGTTTTTCCCCCTTTACAAAGTACACTGTACACTCGCGTTGTCTTTCTATATATAGCTGTATGGATTGCAATCGTGATCGTCGGTTATTTCTTTTTAATTTAAAAAAAATATGTGAGAAGCGTGAAAAGTAATTAATTAGTTTTGTCTATGCATGTTTAATTTTCTTTTATCACGCCCCAAAAATTTAGTTTTTTTTTTTATTATTTCTATTATTGTCATGAACTGTTGTTTTAAGCGACTATATATCACTTGTCTTTATGACTTTACTTGTGTGAGATTCGCGCAATTATTTACAATTTTATTTCATAATTTTCATTTTTGTGATGTACTATTATCGTGTAAGTTGACATTTTATGCACAAATTTTATTTTTTAATTAACTAATTACCTCGTGTTGTATTTATTCTATACTTTAAGTATATGATTGTGTAATGGAACCAAGTATTTCTGAAATAAATGTGTGGAATTAAAAGGTTTATTTTTTTATTTTTAACCTTCACAAAAAAGAAGTTTGCAATGACTAGGCTGTATTTAGTACATGAAGAATTCATCTTTTAAACAAAAAAAAATGGTTACTAATGTTGGAATAATTCTAGAACAATAAATGGCAATATATTGAGCCTGTAAGTACTGTTAGAATAGAAGTTAGTTGAATAGATTTTATTTTAATAATAGTCATCTAAAAATTTTTTTTTGCTAATAATGTTATATTTAAATATAATGTTATTATTAAAGGTATCATGCTTTTTTATTTAACTATTTGCACTAATTTTAGATGTAATTTGAGAAACATTTCGGGTAATTTTAAGACTAACAATGGAATAAAATTGAGGGATGTAATGGCATCTTATAAAATTAAGACAGGGAATAATTTTTTCAACGCATTAATTTTTTCAGATGCAATAATAATTATTAATTAAGCTTGTAAATTAAAAAATATATATTTCATTTAATAATAGAAATTATATTCATTGTATAGTAATAATATAAATTATACCTCTTTTGCTAATATTATTTTTTGACGACACGTTTGGCTCAGTTTGTAGTGACCCTATTTGCTGTGCCAGCGGTTGCGGGTTCGAATGCCGCTGGGGGCATTCATTTGCGTGATGAGCACGAATGTTTGTACTCCAGTCATGGGTGTTTAAATTTATAATATGTATGTATTTAAAGTTATATATGTGTATCAGTTGATACCAAATCAATCAAATCAAAATATTTTATTCAGCATTAAATTATTACAATTTTTTACTGAACGTCATGAGTCTACTACCAGTTCGGAAAGAAGAAGCCTCAGACCTGAGAAGAACTGGCGAAAGAAACTCAGCGGGACCAATATCTTTTCTTAAAGTATAATCTTTTTTTAAAGTAAAATTATAATTTACAATATTTCTATCAAGTTGAAGTAGCCTGGAGGCGAGCATTTCATTCCCAAGATGTGCTATCTTCTATAAAATCATTTATTGTATAATAGCCTTTAGCACACAAACGTTCTTTAACAATTTTTTTGAATTATTACACTACACATATATAATACACTACACATATATAACTTAGATAGTTATCTGGTATCCATAACACAGGCCTCGTAGCTTACCATGGAACTAGATGGTGCTGTGTGTTAATGTCTCAACATAATTATTACAATGAATGATGATATTTTTTGCAGTCTATACCTTGCAAGTCTTACTGCAAGTTGATATTTGTTAAATGAAAGGTTAATAATATAGGCAAAAACATTTATTGTGTACAAGTTACACTTAGCTAGTTCATACATAAATAAAACCACAATTTTCTATGAGAGCATCAGATAGATGACTGGAAGAAACTGCCATATTTGCTGTAAAATATCCTATTAAAATTATCTTTTCTTCAGATCCCTTTATTTGGATTGTATAATTCTCCTCTTATATTAGTTTTCATTAGCTGAAAAAAAAATCAAGTCAGTATCAGTGGGTTGGGTGTTGGGTTATGGATCTCTAATATATCATTTTAAAGATTTGCTTTAACAATATAGAGTTTTCACTCATATTTTTTTGTATGTTTTGATATATCAATGCCGAGTATAAACACATTTTAATAATTTTTCTTTTGAATAATGGTATAATTTATACGAAATATATATTTAATATATTATATATATTTAATATAAATATATATATATATATATATAATATATATATATATATATATATAATAAAACTTTGTATTTAGTATTAATAATATAAATACATAATTGTAATTACAATACAATTAATTAACTAAGTCCCGTGAGAACACTAATCCCACTATCCCATCTCATTAATAATAGGGGTTAAGTATGAAATTGCCGATTTGTATCAGTACAATTGAAATTCGTTTTTTTATCATTTAATTTTGTTCATTAGCAGTCCCTGCGTTTGGACGCAATATTGATATTGCTTGCTGTTTCTGCCGCGTTAGTTCGGCGTCGGAACTCGTATTCAAAAATCACTCGAATTTTCGAAGTTTCCATCTTTCTTGTCTAAGCTGAATAAAAAAAACGACTGAAAGTCGATAATCGAATGTTGCACATTTTTTAAAAGGTGAACTACATAGGTATCATGTGAAAAAAGTTTCACTCAAAATTCTTAAACCATGAAGGTTCTATGACAATGCGAAGTACCTATTATAATAAAACGGCAATTTCATACTTTAACCCCTATTATTATAAAAGCGAAAGTTTGAATCGATGGATAAACGCTAGAACGGTAGCACGGATCTGTATGAAATTTGGCACAGAGATAGATTATAGTCTCTAAAAATAACCTATGTGCTAAGGTTATTTTTTATCCCGGAAAAATGTACGATTCCCGTGGGATGGATTTGTTTTTCTTTTTACTAAGGACAAACCCTAGCGAAGGGTGTTGCTAGTAGATAATAAATGAATAAAAATTTAATTAAATAAATAAACTTTTACCTCTACTTTCTCTGCATAGCTCAATTCAGTTTTAGACAGGATATAAGAAAGCTTAGCGAAAGCTGCCTCTGCGGTCATGTCGAAAGCCGGGACCACGCCACATTCAACTAACAACTGAAATTTTAAAACATTTAGTTCATTTCAATTTATTGGTTCTAAACTAGTTATTTGCTATGTTAAGTGTAATGGAGTAGGTATACAAATATAATACACATATATTTAATAATTTCAATCTAAATTGCTCGATGTTATGGAAAAGTACTTTTCAACTTTCAAGTATCCCGTGAAAGACATTTACAATGCAGGTGTTTTTTATTATTACATGTTTAAGATAATGCGACAAATTGGCGTGAAATGAATTGAAATATGAATGAGAAGTTCTCAGATAGTTTTGCTAAAAAAATAGCTGATAAGAAACACAATTGTTGTTTGTTTTTAAAAAACGACTTAAATATCAACAGCTAAGCATTCTTTTAGTAATTTATCTTACAAAAATAATATTTAATAATTCAATGTACACATTTACATACTAAATTAATATTTATATGTAATCTTACCAGACCAGTCTCATAAATGGCTTTTCCTAATACGTTTCCGTTGATGCACTGCGTCACATTCACAACTAACACGTTATTTTTTACAGCCCTCTCTATTTCTTTGTAAATCTCTTTACGTTTAATAGGAATATTACCGTTGCCGTAAGTTTCTAATACTACTCCTGTAAAATAAACATTATAAAATTTGAAATGGACTTCAAATACACAATCAATCACAGAATATCAATAAAATTTAATAATAATATCTAACGGAGTACCATTCTTGCGATTTCTATACATATAATAAAATTCTAATTGAGTGTATTGAAATATGTAGTCATTATTATCGATACAGGGCCGAATCTATAGTTCTTAGAATTTTTGTCTGTTTATCTGTGAACGCATCACAAGAAAATCACTGGACAACTTTTGATGAAATTTGGTATGATGATAGCTGGTTATCCGAGTCAACATATAGGATACTTTTTTGAGCGGGAAATTATTTCATCTCTGAGAAATCTATACTAAACGTTAAAACGTAAAGGGACGAACGCGAGCGGAGCGAGGGTGAGTCGCTAGTCTGTTAAAAATGCAAAAGGTGCATCCCTGGTTCCTTATGTATTGCTCCAGGGCATAGTCTATCTTTGCGATCGGAAGTTTGGACGCAGGCGAAGCCGCGGGTACTGCTAGTATTAAATAAAATATTATAAGCAAAATAGACTACATTGAGCTTTATTGAATAATTAATGTGAATTAACAAACGAACGAAGACATTTTCTCACCTTCCATTCCTTCAAACACTGCTCTGATAATCTCAGGAGTTATTGTAGGAAGTACTTTCAAAACATACACTTTTTTTGACAATTTGTCATGTAGCCTGCATTCATTTGGTACGGAACCTGGTGGATGGATTAGCGTCTTTGTGTCTATATCTAGAGTTGTTCTTGCTTCTAATAGTGCGGGGTAGTTCGGTGAGTCGAAGGCGTACATCTTAGTATTTGAGACTTTTTTCACTCTGAAATACGATATTTCTTGGTTACATCCGTTGAATGTACAGAAAATGGAAATTATATTTATTTAAAACATCATTTTAAGTACTTTGACCATATTATTGTAGGTACTAATATAAAAACAAAACTTAAAGCTTGACTTATTTTATCTTATTTTCTTATAAAAATGTAACATTTTCACCTAAAGTACATATTTATGCTCAACCATATTTATTAAAAAACGTTTTATATAGGTACATACGGACCTCTCGTACCAAGTAGTACAAGGAAACATTAAATTTCTATTAATAATTAGGTACTGAAAAGAGTCTGCCATAAAAAATAAAAATAATTATACCTCGTGCCTCTGAAAAGTTTTGCTCCAAAGAACACAGTCACTTCAGGTATATGTAAAGTGCCGGCTATTAAAATAGCGCATAGAAGATTGTTAGTAGCGTCGTTACGGGCTTGGAAAATTGGTATCTGTAAAAAAATCAATCATGTCACTTTTAAAAAGGTACAGATGTTAAAATTTCTACTTAGTAATTACAAGCTTATAGTTACGTTTTATCATTTAGTATAAATTCCTCAGAGATGAGGTATTTTCCCGCAGTAAAAAGTATTATATATATTCTACAAATTGTAGATTCCACCTCTGTATCGATAATAATGAGTATTTCAATATGATTTCCCAAAAAAATATTTAATGTGCAAATTAAACTCAGAATTTTATTATGTATAAATTAGAATATTCCAGTACAGACAGTAAACACATTTTTATCACAATAAAAATAACTTACGCCGCTGTTTCGTATTAGTCAAAGAATTTTATAATCATATCAGTAGTTTCAGAGATTACTATATACATATACATACAAACTTACAAACTTTACCTTTTTTAATATTAGAATGCTAAACTGGTACGCATTGAGCTATTAACAAGAAAACTGAATTGAATAGGTATTAGTATAGATAATAATATGTTTGTTCGTTTGTTTCATTTTCACGCCCACGGCGCCGCTCGCTAATACTAACATACATGAAGGCATTCAATGATTAGCCTACCTGTGCTCCGGTGAGTACCACAGTTTTCCCAACTGATTCTAACATAAAAGACATTATCGATGCACCATAAGCTGTTGTGTCAGTTCCGTGGAGGACTACAAACCCATCGTAGTCATGGTAGAAACGCTGTAATGTAACAAGTTATACATAAAAATATATTGATAACACGAAAGTCTAGTCGAGCCTTACACAAAATGTCTACAGTTATTCCACAATCGTCAAAGAATAGAAATCTAAAAAAAAACATAACGACAATATATGCATTATATACTACCTACTTATCCTCGCTTCGCTCGGGTTCGTCCCTAGTGAATAACAAAAACAAATCTATCCCACGGGAACCGTACATTTTTCCGGGATAATTCAGGCTATAATTTATCTCTGAGCCAAATTTCATCCAGATCCATTCAACCGTTCTGGCGTAATTGAGTAACGAACATCCATCGAGATATTTTAGTGGAAAAAAAATTGAAATAATACCTCGCATTTTTAAATTTGGACCGATAATTGTTGTTACTATTCTTTATAGCACTTAAAAAATCAATACAGTAATTTAACAATAGTTGTTGTTTACAAAGGTGGACTTATCTCTAGAAGAGATCTCTTCCAGCCAACCTATGGTAGTGAGAAATAGTGTTGTTTTTATAAATCATAAGAAAAAATGAGATTTAAATTTTATTCCTTAACGATTCTACGTCGACGTCTATCTTTCTGTTTCTCTCTTTCCCCTTGGAACTTATACAAAATCTGCTCTAAAAGATGGCAAACATCTTAAATATTGTACACATGTAATTTATTTTTATTAATACTCGTAATATAAAATTGTAATTTTAAGTAACGTTAATGACTGTACGTAATATTAATATACTAAAATAGAAATTTACCCAAGATGTAATGGATTCGTACAAACCTTTACATCGCGAGCCATCGTGATCCAGTCATCTATTGTGAAATCTGAGGAGTCCTTTAATTCCTCGTATTCGTAGACTTTGTACAAAATCTTTGCACTGGTGTCTTTGCAGTCTAAATTAAAAAAAAATATTTGAGATCAAAATAGAATATTTATTTTTACTGAATCTAAAACATTTAAAATATAACTAGCATTGCCCGCGGCGAGGCCCGCATTCAGATGACCAAAAACCAAATTCTTAGGTTTTACATATTAGTATACTCTTACATTGCAGTTTTCGTATTTTTCTCAGAAATGAGACATTTTCCCGCGGTCAAAAGTATTATATATTTTGTCCTGGATGACCAGCTTTCACCATACCAAATTTCATCAAAATCCCTTCAGTGGTTTTTCTGTGATGCGGTAACAAACAAAAATTCGAAAAACTATAGATTCGGCCTCTTTATCGAAAATAATGTCTATTTTAATAAGATTTTCCAAAAAATATTTAATGTACAGATTCGGCTTAGTTACAATTTTATTATATGTATAGATAAAAATACTACGCCATTATAATCGTTCTTTACATACTTTTTGAAAATATTGGCTTAAAGGATGCTGTAGAAAGAAAATTCACAATTTATGTTTCTGTAGACTGGGCTTTTAATTAAATTTAAATTATTTAGAATATGAATCGATTTTTTTATTGAAGTTTGTGTAAGATTATCAAAAAATATGAAATAGATCCCAAAAAGTTGATGTTTCATTTTAATAATTTAATTTAAAAAATAATAATTTTATTCATATAAACTTGTTATCTCATTTTTAAATATATTAGAAAAAATATTAAATAAATATGAGGAAATTGTTCAAGATAACGCGTCATTCGATCATATGATTCCAGTAATAAATATCTCTAACCAGTTTAAACAAGGCGAACTATATATCACATGGTGACATATTAAAATATGTATATTATACTTAACTAGCTTAGCATAGGTGATTCTTTTAATTGACATAACTTTTTTTTATTTATGAACCGATTGAAATAAAAAAAACTAAATGTTAAGTGAAGCTTACCACAATACATTAATGAAAACCGCATCAAAATCTGTTAAGCCGTTTCTGAGATTAGCGTGCACACACACACAAAAATTCAAAAATCATTGTTTTGGGTTTTATTGCATTAATAAGGACCCCTAATAATAGTATTTCTCAAATATCTTCCATGTACAGACAGCGATCAGATACACTTTCATTATATGTATAGATATATATACAATAATAAGTATGTGAAAAGAAACATTATACTTATTTTTAGGCACATTGCGTGATTATCAGCTTTGGCATAATTAGTTTATATGGAGGACTGCAGAAAGCTTAAATTTATTGTAAGTTTTATTCTTTCTTCGCATCGTTTCTTGCGAATACGAATGCGAATGCTAATGTCAAAAAATATGCGAATATTCGGTACATCACTAGTACATACATAGCTTATTGGTGCAGGCAGATATCAATGTGTAAATTTTAACAAAAATGACATATTCACCTGGCAACACGAGATATTCGTCCATATCAGTTTTTGCCAGATTCTTCTGCCAATAAACATCGTCATGCAGCTGTGGCACCTTTCTAAGTATTCTGTGTTCTATGTTCTTTTGAGGGACCAATACTGAAAACAGGGGTAAAATAATTAGATTAAAAAAGTGAATTTATTTTCATAATTACTTTTGTCGTTTGTTTTTTTTTAATTAGTCTCCCTAATTATTATATAATAAATTAATTTTATTTTGGTAAGAAGAGAGAAAAATTCATATATTGAACAAATATACGAAATGTTTAAAAATCAAGAAATATATTTTTCTTAGACCAATTAAATAAGATGTGTATTAAATCAATCAAAATTTTTCCATTACAGCTAAGCACATAAGAATCGCACATACATGATACACCTGTGGTAAACTCATTAAAATCAATTATTAAGATCGTAATGCATTATAACTTATTAACTTACTCGTGTTATCAGTCAATGTGTTAACTTATACTGATATGCATTCCATATTGATTGTTAATTTAAATATCCATTAAACAAAACTTAAGTAACTATTATTTTCAAAGCAAATTGTGTGACTTCTTGCAAGTTTTTAAAACAAACTAGTCTCTATGGGAATTACTCTAAGTTCTAATAACAATTAATTATAATTACTCTTAGTATCTAATTGCGACACAGTTTATTAACTTATGAAATTGTAGTATTGTTTTATCTGTTATTGCTATTAAAATATGTACATTTAAAAAAAAAACTTTAAATATTTAAAAAAGAAGCGTATCTTACCCATGAACTATCTCTATGCGAAACCCCATGGATCCATTGCTACTTTCAAAGAAGGACAAGACATAGAGCTATAATAAATATACGTTATAATTGTACAGACGCCTTAAACAGTTTTTAAATGTAATATTCGTCAGATTTTTAAGACATACAGGAACTTCCAACAGGATATTCTAATAAAAGGGCATAGCTCAAAGAGTTCAAAAAGGCTTCCATCGGTTATTAAAAACATTTTTCTTTATAATTTTAGGAACACTCTGTATTGCAGCATCTTAGCTACGACAAGGTCGTCGGTTCATCATTGATGATTTTTTAAGCTATAAACATATACCGAGACCGATTGAACTTTACTGATAAGAATACACACAATTCATTACATCATCCAAAAACAGCGCATGAAAATAAGTAGGCTATTGATAAATAGATATGTATTATGTAAATATATTACAGTACAATAGTGTATATCTTAACTAAGATAAATTATCTTCTATACATACAAAAAAAATAAAACAATAATGTGATATGGAAATATTTTGACCGCGTCATCTTACATTAGATAAGTACGTCATTCCCATTTATTTTTAGATATTATATACCTATAGATATAACTTGATTCGTAGGGGTGGCTGTATGTCCTGTCCACAACATACATCGGGATCTTAGTCTATAAGTACAGCTAGTTTTCGTCTTGTGCTCGAAATTTGGGGGTTAAGCCAAACCTCACTCAATCTCACGTGGGAGAGGGGGTGGTCTCATTGATGAGACCCCCCCTCTCCCGCACCATCGAAGAAATTGTCGAGAAGTCGCCAAAATTGTCTCACGTAATTAATGAATGCTCCCTAAACTAAAGCTCGTCAATAGCTTACTAAACAAAAAAAAGAAAGAAAATCGGTTGACAAACAGAGGAGAAAAAGATAATGAATGAATGAATTACTCTTTATTGTATACCCAAAAAGAGAAAAAGAAATATACATAATATGGAAGAAGGTACAAGAGGCGGCCTTATCGCTAAAAGAGGGCATTTCTTCCAGGCAACCTTTAGGTGTGTAGGAAATAGTACTAAGATAGAAGGGATGCGAATAATAAATAAAGAGACAATAGAAAGATTATATATTTATACATATACGTATCACACAAATATATAATATAATATACAAAAAAAATACAGGTCAAATATAATTAACCAATACCTAAATACTATAATTATATATATATAAATACTATACCTATATTATACATATATAAATATAAAATATAAATATAAAATAAAAAAGATAATGAACTGTTTTGTCTTTGCCTATTTAGTATTTACATATATACATATATAATGTAGATAATAAGTTAAATAAATAAAAGATGATATTATAATAAACTACCTCATTTAAATAATTATTTTAAAATGTATCTTTTCTATAGATAAAAAAGAATATTGGAAATTTTTTTTGAATTTATTTTAGGTTTCTTTTGCAATTGCGAGTAATCCTTAATTGTTTATATGTAGGAGATGATATCTTTACCTAAACAATAGATACTATCTAGACTCTACATAACCGACTTTTTTAAAGAATACATAGTGTCGGTTCAATATTACCAGTATAATAATATCATACTGGTTTATGATTTGGTATTATCTATACTAATATTATAAAGAGGTAAAATTTGTGAGTTTGTGAATTATGAGTTTGTAACGTTGTAGGGGATAATCTCTGGACCTGCTGAACCGATTTAGATGAAATTTGGTAAGAAGATAGTTTGAGACCCTTTTAAGGACATAGAATAGTTTTTATCCCAGAAATCATCTCTTAAGGAGGTTAAAATGGGGATGAAAGTTTGTATGGGGAATCAACCTAGGGACGAACCCGAGCGAAGCGAGGGTGAGTCGCTAGTACATATGTATGTTGGGACATTAACACACATCACCATCTAGTTCCATTGTAAGCTACGAGGCTTGTGTTATTGATACCGCTGGCACAGCAAGTAGGGTCACTACAAACTGAGCCAAACGTGTTGTCTTGTTGTATTATATATGTAGAAACAACTTTATGAGTTCTTTAACTAATGGAAAGCTGCACTATCTTTGAGTAATAGATTATTTTTTACCGACAGACTAAGTAAGCAGAACCACGAGAGAAAGCTAAATTATCTATAGTTATAGTAATTACACTTTGATCTCATTATTTGCGTATAGCATAAATACGGGTTTTCCAATTTCAATGCACTATCAGTGCAGGGACTTGAGCAAAGTGAAAATGTTATTTAGATGAGTATTAAACATGAAACTATTAACTTTCTAACTATTAGTAATACGGTTCTCTGAGACTTTTTGAACTATTAAATAATTAAATAATGCGGATTTGCATGATTTTGTTATAGCCACTCCCCAGTGACCAGATGACAGCACTGTATTTTTTTATATTATTTTTATTTTATTTTATATACAAGTACAGATTCATTCTATACAAGAAATTGGACAATACTTATTTGAATTTCGAACTAATTTTTTTGTCTGTTAAAGGTAGATGACATTTGGCCAAAAGCTGTTGAGGATTCATAACTATTTTATTATACACTAAATATTGAATAAATAATTTCATCTAGAAATAAAGGAAACATGTACCTAAAAAATAAAATTCGGTCCATAAACTAAGGGCTGATTTTTCAATCATCAGTAAAAGCACTAAAATTGTAAAATAATACAAATTTAAGACCCAATTATTTCATTTTCACTCTGATCAAACAACGACGAGACTTATTTATGAATAAATATTTCAACACAAAATAAATTAACATGAAATAAATAACTAATGTGTTAAAAAATTAAATATTGCTTTCTTAGATTTACACGAATATAACATTTTAAATAAAACTATCTTTTCAAATTTTTCGCGGATTTATTTTGATTTTTGGTTCTTGACGTTTCGAATCCTTTACAGCAATCATGGTCAATAAGACTCTCTCCCAAAAAATCGGAAAAGATAGTTTTATTTAAAAAACAAATATTTAGTTAAAAAAGTTCCATTAGCTCACCTTCTTTTTCATTTTTCAACATTCCAAACGTGCCCCCAGTGTATATAACAAGTACTTTTCTTATTTGACCCATTTTTGTCATAAATATTAACTTATATCACAATGCGAGCTAGCCGTGTGCCGCTACCAGCAGACTAAAGATAGCAAATCCACGATCACTGATGAGTGAGCACGACACTATACTGAATAAACTCTAGTTAAGTACCGTTTACGTTAGCTCTAAGTTTAGTTCGACGAGATTCCTGAAATAGTTGAGATTATATATATATTGTTAAGTAAAAGAAACCTGGTATTTTAAGAGAGTAAAGGTATTTTAGTATAAAAGTAATATATTATAATAGCTAGTACGTGTATATAAGTATATACTAATTTTGCACAAATCACTTATCTTTTGCAGCTGCATATGAAATCAAGTTATATAATAATTAAATATTTGGATTTATGCAAGTAATAAAAAAAAATGATTGGATTTTGAATCAAAATTGTTATTTCTGCGATAGTAAATATTGTGTAGAAATCCGTCCAGCTTTTCTCGAGCAATATTGCAAAATAAATTATTTTTATTAATAGAAGGCTCTAAGGAATCAAGTAGACTAGTGTTACATTAAATAGATAAGTTAATTGCTAAAAATGTAATCGTAATTTTTAAAAAGTATAGAAAATAGATAAAACTTACTTAAGTAGTACCAACTTAATAGATGTCTACACTCCCGTAGGTACCCGTCTCTTATAAACTGAAGACTGTGATGTTTGGAGATATAGTGCAGATGGATCCAGTAACGCTCAACGATGAAAAATTATAATATAATCATTCAAAGTTAGCAAGTATATATACAAACAATTTTTCTTGGCATACAGTCATACTGGTCTTGTGCAATATAAACAAATTAGTTTCGAAATAATATTCGAATAAGATATTTTTTGTATTGGCGTTATTATTTTAAGTGTATGGAGAATCCGATGGACTTCACTGTGCAACTGACGAACGTAACCTACATTATACGTTAACGCAGATAAAGATAATAATTATTGTTTAAGCGCTATCGCTAATAGAAGACTACAATGAGGTATGGAAAGGACTTATACATATAATAGCTGTGTCAAGTGCTCAGAGTATGTTATTCTTATATACATACACTAGCTGCAGGGCCCGCAGATTCGCCTGCGTTCGAACTGGCAGGGGGAGGGGGAGTGGGTAGCAAAATTTATGTGGAGAGAATACTTTTTTCGAAATTGATTTGTTTGATCATTCATCTATTTTTAAACAGGGTGACACGTAAGGGACACGCTCAGGCCGTTATGTGTAAATTAATTATTAAATTTCAGTTTTAAAATATAATATAGGAACCTCGATATTTTAAAGCTTATTATATAAATTAAAAATGTATTAGATATGGATAATAATAGAATGCATTACTATAGTATTATGTACATTGCACAATGTATAAGTAATTATATTTAAATTTTAAACCTACGCATGTGTGTCATCTTACACATAGATAAAATAGGTATAGATGGGACTTTAAGACCTATGTATATGATTATTTATGTATATGATTATTAATATATATATTTTTTAAATGACAGCCTTAATATAAAGTCTATATAAACGCCCCATACAAATCAATTAAATAATATCACTTAAAAATTCACCCATTAAAGTCGTGAAGTATCTTATACATTCCGCGTCATACAATTTATCGAGCAATAACATAGTAATTTAATACGTCAGTGAGGCAACCATCAAATAACACAATGATTGATCAATCAACTAAATTAAAATGTTTTTGTTGCTTCCAGTTGAATATCTTACCAATATAAAACCTTTTGTGTACAATAACGAATATATATATAAGAGATTTAATGTACGTAAAATTCTTTGAAAGTATTATTTTTTCATTAAAATAATTTATTAACTACTAGCAGAACCCGCGGCTTCGCTCGCGCTAAACTACAAATAAACTCTAAAAAAGTAGGTTCCATAAAAACTTTCACCCCTATTTTACCCCCTTAGGGGATAAATTTCGAAAAATGCTAAAACACGTATTTAATTAATTGTATTGAAGAGCATTTATACCAAGTTTCAAGTAATTCTCATCATAAATATTTTTTTTGGTTTGTATTATAACGTGTTTTCCCATGGGGAATAAGCAAATCTCAAGCGGTAAAAAGTAGCCTTTGTCAGTCTCCAGCCCTAAAGCTATCTACACTCAAAAAATCACGCCAATCCGCCAAGCCGTTTTGACGTGAAAGAAAGACAACCAAACAAACAAACACACTTTCACATTTATAATATTATGTATGGATTTTGTTTATGATAAGAAGTTATCTTTTTTTAGGCATAACTCATAAGATTATTTTTGAATAAAATATTCATATTCTGTTTTTACCATTGATTTTACATGTTATCGGAAAATATATATCTATAAATAGATTCATGATGAGGATGACGAAGATAACACGTGACTCACATAAAACGCAAACGAATTGAATACTCCTCCTCTTTGAAATCGGTCAAAAATTATTCAGTCAAACCAAAGCTGTAATTCATTTCCTTTACTTGTTACTTGTGCTTCTCCTTTGATGCCTTCATACATTTCGTTATCGCCATTTTAATCCGTAGACCGAACTCCTTGGAGACCTTTCAAGTGCAGTATTGTTTTGTTGTAATGATAATGTTCGGTAAGATTCTCGGCATAGCCCAAAATTTGAACATATCTACCACCTTTTTGTTTTCTAACATAAAATAAGTGATTTTTAGCAGGCGTTTCTATCGATATATCAATATTTTATATGCAAAAAAATATCCTTAAAGGAGTCTGCCCACTACACCATCTCATACCATGACCGTGCTATGAACGTATCAGGCACGGAAACTTTTTTATTGATATTTTCTTTGTTTTTGACGATATGCAATAATTTGATGTAAATGCATTAAGTGTAAAATAAAAAAAACTTGTTTATATAAATATTTAATGTTTTATAAGAAAATATTTTGTACTTTAGAAAATTATACTAAATTAATTAAATATTTACAAAACAACTCGAGTACGAGTTTTAGTAAGTTGTATTTATTATATTTCGAGCTCTACGGCACGAGTTTTATAAATTATACAAATAAAAAATCTAACTCAAAATATAATTTTCATACCTATTATATTTATATCGATATTTGTTATATAATTTCCGATGATGGTTAAAACATTATCAACATAAATTGAGGATTTTTTAGCGTTAAAAAAGAATTAGAATCTCTGGTTGGACTTTGCGTGAACAACTACGTCCTTTCTATATAAAAAAACTGCTAGTTTAAATAAATTTAATGGTTGGTATTTTTGCCAGTTGGTAACCCTATTTATAATTATAATATGAGTACATAAGTAAACAATGTTGCAATACTCATTACTAATAAAGTTAAGCTAGATTTATGTATAACGGAGCTGTCTGGTGCGTCGTCTTCTGGAGCAGGTGTAGTTGTTGTACTGTCATCAGCTCCTTCATCGTGTTCTCTTGGCGGAGATACCTCCTCATCATCGGTAGTATACTCTCTTCCCCAAATAGCGAAAGAATATAAATCAGGTGCAGATTTCACCAATTCCAACGTGTAAATTGATAATGTGTCGAAAAATGATACTGAGCTAAAATTGAAATACTCAGGTTTTAATGGTTTAATAGTCTTGTCAAGAGACAAAGGAAAATAAGTTGAATTGTTTGCTGAAAGGTCTGTATTTGGTTTTGGGGTTGGTACCGCTGCTGTTATTTTAAGCTCTTCAAAAACAGCGGCCGTATTTGATGAAAATCTTGAGAATCTGCGAAAATAATTATAGGTACTTTAGGTAAATGCTTACTACTATTTTAAATATACCTAATATCATGTAAAAAAGTGAGTATGATTGTTGGTTTATTTACTTTTTGAGTAGTATATCAATGCCATAAAGAGGGAAATCGTGCAAATAGATGTGAAAAGAGCATTTAATTTCAATCTGTTCTGCAGTAATCACATGATAAACGCAGCCAGACAAAAGCCAGAAAATTTCAAAATCTTTTTTTCCAAAAAAGCTAATTTCTGCTACATTCCAAAAGTTTTCCAAATCGTGCCAATATATTCACTACATAAATTCTGTCAGATCGTATTATCTCCACATAATATTACTAACACTACCAACTATACGGTAATCAAGAATAAATTTGCAATATTTTTAATTTTTTTTTAAAGAACTTTTTATAAGAAATCACCTTTGCCCACAAGTGTTGATAGTATTTCCAGTGCAAGCGAATACTGAACAGACTCTGGTGCCTCCCGTCGCTACGCCGCTATATGACCGCACGCCGCTGAAGGCTCCTGCTCTGTATGTATACTTCTATAATTCCAAAACATATTGTATTATTTAAAATATGTAGATATAACAAAGACTTTTGTTGGCCTAATAAATAACTTGTAAGGTTACAGACCCGGAGATTTTGAATTCGAATCTGGAGTCAAGTAAGTACTGGGATACTTATTTACATAAAAAAATAATAATCGTTGTTCTCGACTATAATCAACATCACGCGACAAAAATAAAAATACATAACTGTTGAAGAAACACTACATACATTATAGTTTTAAATATATTTTTTATTTATTTTAATTTTTTGATACATTTTTTTATAAATTTTTAACTTTGTAGGGTACTTCGGTGTCATGTCTCTTTCATTTATTATAACTTTTGATTTGATTGCTGTTGAGCATTTGAAACTTTTCTTTAATTCGATTTTTTTCATTAAAGAATCCCCTAAGTTTTGAGTACGTATTTCTTAATAGTATCCAGGCACCTAATTTTAAACTTTAATCCCTCTTGTACTTTTTTTATAAAAATGATTGAAAATGATAAAAGCGGTCAGTAAAATACCACATTGAACATATATTAATATAAACAGAAAGACGATTTATTTTTTTAAATTTTATTAAAATATTTAAAAATTAATATACTTTTTAAAATATTTTGAATTGAAGTTTCATTAGAATAATTTATAATTTATTCTCTTTAAATAATGCAACAAAAAAAAACTTAAAAAAAAATCAATAAAAAAGCAGTAGGTACATACAGTACCTACAAATATAATTTAAAATTAGTAAATACCACATGAATACCAAAAAGTAAGTATACCAATATGCATATCTAATACTATTACAGAGTCGTTGACTGGAAAAAGCTAAAAACTACATTGCAGACATTTAATAGGTACGTGCCCTCAGACTAAAAAATTATATACTCGTAGACACAAATAAAAATGTCCTACCTAGGTATTACTTGTTAATTTACAATTTTTGAGATGAAAATATGAATAGTAAAAAAATATTATAAATATTCCTTTGTATTTTAAAGCATTAGTTCTCTTAACAAATAACAAAACAAGAAAAGGGATAAAAGTAGTCGTTTGCTATCTCTCAGTATTACTTAGATATATGTATACTAATCAATTTCGATTTTTATCCCAATATAAAAATAATTCAACCTAATTTTCATTTTTGTTTTATGGCTTTTAATTCCTACCAGTGGAGACAATTTCTTGCAGTAAATACCAAAATGAGATATTCTACAGTTGAGATTTGGTTATATGAAATTCACGAAAATAAAGAATGGGATAGATACTAGTATATACACAGTATCGCCATTTTTTACATACAGTTTATATTCTCGTTCAAAAATGTAATGGTATATTAGTGTGATAATGATTTAATTATAACATTTTATTTCAAAACTTTTATTATTTTTAAGGCATTGTATAAAATAACGTGATCATGTAAAATTAACGAGAATCGAGATCGTAACATAACGATTTTAAACGGTCAAGAATGTTTCCAAATATTATCTAAAACTAACATGAGTATTTAAATGTAACATTACATCGTATTTAGCCAATCTTTTTACCATTTTTAAATCTTCTTCTAAATCAATTACACCATAATATCCTATCAGTTCAGTCGACTTTTAAAACTAATCCCATTCTTTACCTGCACAGCTAAAAAACATGTACACACATAAAATATTAAGCCCTTGGCATATTCCTGTCAACATCATTATCAAATATGACTTTTTCTATGTCAATATATCTTTGTATATCTTCTTCAGTTGGATTAAAGTTTATTTTTCCATCTCTAGTAAATATTCTCCCCCAAATTCCACTAGAAATCAAATCTTCTTGAGGCGAATTAATTTTATAAGTCAAAAATTCTTGGAAAGTTTTTTGCAAAATCTCATTGTTTTCTATACTTTGTTCATTAAAAGTAAAGTTCTTGGGACTTAAAGGAAACTTATTGTTTCTAAGTGAAAGCGGATAGTAAGCTATGTCTTCGCATTTCAATGTCCTGTTATAATGTTTGCTGTATGACGTCATTTGAATTTCCAACGCTGTAATCTCTCTTTTTCCGTTATTGGGAAATCTGTAAAAATTGAATACTATTACTAATTATATTTTGGGTGACGATTGAATAAGAACTACAAAATTTTATATTATCAAAACACATTATGCCTGAATATCAGATTTCATAAACTAATTTGATGGTAAATACATTGAAAAAACTGGCATGTCTTATACTAAGAAAGTACAGAAGCATTTTATCTTGGTTTTTCATTTAAAATATTAATGGTTTCAGTTGTTCGTAATTTTTGAATTAAAAAAAAATATTCTTAACACAATTTAAAAAAAGATCTTCACTTTAATATATAGCAATTAGCAACATTTCAACAGGACAAATATCCCACAGTCAAAACATCACGCTATTTGGATGAAATTAAATACCAAAATAGATTATGACCTGGAGTAACATATATAGGGTATTACTTATAAAATCTGCTAAAAAGAAACGCTAGTTTTATATAATAGGTATAAACCCAAGTTGCTAGTTGGTGGTAGTAATAATCGAACCCCTGCAAAATCGAATCAGCGACCTTCATAAATGCCGCTAAACTAAGAATAAGCTCAATAGAAATAAGTATTAACCTATAAACACAGCTTTTGATATCTTCAGTCTTACAAGCGACTATAGTGCATCCCACAGTACCGACTGGACGCTTCGCGTACACGTTCACTCCATCATGAGCCACTGCTCTATAATATGGCGCCTGAAATATAATATATATTTTTACTTAATATAATGTTCGTATACATTATTATTTTCATGTAAATATTATTCTATACAACTTTAAAAATATAAAGAGGTTCTTGGCGATCGCTGGTTCGATTACTGCGAGTTACAAATGACAATATTAGTCGTACAAGTAGGTACTTTAGTAATTTGTTTTGCTAATTTCTCGGAACTTAGAATGCCTTTAAAAGATGAAGTCAATATTTATCGAGTGTTTTTATATGATAAATAAAATTGAAGCGTCTGTCTCATCATTCAAAATAAAACTACTGCATATTAAGTCCACATACCAATATAAAGAATTCTTTTTTTTTTTCAGTCAAAACCAACTTATAATACTTTAAATCCCAAAAAGATTCCAAGAAAAGAAGGAAAACATTCCCGTGAGATAAAGGAACAAAGTAAGAGCTTTATGATATTTAGTTTAAGGCGAATTGTTAGTATTCAATCTAAGCTTTAGAACAAGCGAAGAAGTATTCTAAGAAGTTAGAGATAAGTTGGTGTTAGGTATTAATTACTTACCTACTTATCCAATGAGATAAGCACTTCTAAGGTACGTTAAAAAATCATACATTTTATAGTAATAATAAATTTGACTTACCTTATAGAAGTAGATCTTATTAGTTAATGTCATGCACTTGAACAATTTTTTATTTAATTTAAAAGCCAAATATAACGTGTTAATAACAATAATGTTTAAATGCACATACGTCGACATAACATGCATATCATTATCCATACTATACTATATTATTATAAATGTGAAAGTGTGTTTGTTTGTTGTAGGATAAATTAAAAAATTGTTAAAACATGTATTTATTTAATTTCATTGAAGAACATTGATTGATACAAGTTTCGAGTAATTCTGATCATAAATATTTTTTGGATGGTATTATAACTATAAAGTATTTTTCCGTGGGTATTAAATAATCTCCCACGGTAAAAAGTAGCGTATGCCACTCTCCAGCCCTTCAACTATCTCCATATAAAAAATCACGCCAATCCGTCACTCCGTTTCGACGTGAAAGAAGGACAAATAAACACACGTTCACACTTATAAGATTAGTATGAATTTTATTATATGTATAGATTATTGTAGTTATCTGCTATTGTGTTATTTTTTTTTTTGGTAAAAAGTTTACACAAAAAACATTCCTAATACCAATCACTGACTAATTATAACTCCATATTCTCTTATTTTTATGAAACTTTTATACCCGCCTGCGAATTTAGATAACTCCACAAGGGAACTTATTTAGAAAATAACCTGTAATCCCGTATGATAGAATGTAATTTTTTTACTAAGCTCCTTAAAATAAAAAAATAATTTAGAATATTAATCAAATAAAGCAAAATGTCATGCGAAGCCGAAGCAAAAAAAAATCATTTTTTTTCTGAATAACACAGTGAATGCTTGTTTGTTGAAAAACATATTTGAATAAACAACCCATCTTTGACCTAATATTATTCACATATTACAATCTTTATTCATAATGAAAAAAAAAATAAAAATAGAGTTAAAAGGAGTTAAATATTCCATGAGACGAATTATAGGGGTTCGAACATTCTTCACTGTAATGGCGTGACATGGAAAAGGAATCTCGGAAACGTGACACTTTAAGGCACCATAGTGCTGATGTTTGTCTATTCATTTAAGTACTTTTTATCCATACCCAGAATCATAGTGCGCCGCAACTTTAGAAAAAAAAACATGCTAGTACTACCTACTTTACCTAAGACCAAAAACATTATTAAAACTAAATATTCTACACACTCATATAAAGCTTGGGCAATATTAAATAGTTATGCATTAAATATACACATGCAAACCCATAGACTAGCTAATAGCTAGTATGTATATTTACACTTACCGTGTCACTATTTCTTTCGCTCATATGTATTTTAAATCGGCAAAAAACGTCTTTGTCTATCAGCGCGAATTCCTCGAGACCTGGCTTAATAAGACGCGTGACGTACGATGGTAGCGAGGGATCACTTATCAGCACTAAACTGTCTAGCACTAAGGGATCGTCGTTTATTGGTCCTGGGTAGTCACCTTCCACCTGTAATAAATTATATCTATTGAAAATTTAATGCTATCCTATTGAAGTGAAACTTCTTTAGAATCGTTGTGATTTAAAACTCGATAAAACGAAAATGCGACACGAGAAAGAGACAAACATAATGAGATAGAATGCATGATCAATTGTTGCCATGGTAACCGTTCTTAAGCATATCGTGTCTTTTAAATTATTGATTTGTTTAAATTTAATTGCGATATTTGCCAAAGAGCTTTTACTGCAACCGCGCGTAAAGGTTACACGCACCCATTTATTTCTTATTTACATTAAGGCGAAAGTTTGAATATGTTTGGAAGTTTTTGCCTAAATCCCGTGTAAATTGCTGAAAGAATTTGAATAAACCTCAGTACACAGATCATGTACACCTTTTTATCCATATATTTTATTAAAGTTATACTTTAAGTTAATGTTGTTTCAGTGCTTTTTTTATTTAAGCACATTAAAAAGAGATAATTTTTTTTTCAAAGATCATCATTCACACCGTTGCTGTATTTATGCATATTTAGTTAAAACAGCAGTATTATCTGAATTTACATCCATTTAATACAAACTGTGAACAAATGAAAGTAGAGAACAGTTCCGGACGTGTACACCCCTAATATAAATGTCCCTAATATAAATGAAAAAAAAATATTGATTACCTGACCAGGTACTTTGGGTACTCGCGACACGAGTAACTTCGTTGTTGGTGTTCCTGGCATAATGCTAACTAAAGCTCCAGCTTTTCCCGAATAAATTCCTGAACCTGTAAAATAAAAACACCGAACTTTAAAATTAAATATTATTTTTTTCCATTGTTACAGTCGTATTTGGAATAGATGTGTTTATTGTACCTATTTTTAAATATTTTTCCTATTACTTGCCACTAGTATCAGCTCAAAATTAAAAGCTTATATATAGCCTAAGAATAAGTGAATGAGAAGTCTAGTAGAAAATAGTTCTGACTATATGAGACAATTTTGAACTGTAAGTGTAAGCTATTATTAAGTTTTTAAGTAGTAAGTAGCTATAATTAAGTTTTTAAGGCCGTTTCATGAGTTGTCAATTGCTCTAAAAGTAGGTATTTCTCCATCACGAGCGTACTGAAGATGTAAATGCTAAATAGAATTTTGGTACTTTATTCTCTCCGTCAAAATGAGATAAACTATTAACATTTTTCTACTACGTCAATTTTTTTCACAATTCACAAAATGAAAAAAATATAGGTATGAAATAAAAACTAGTCGAATGCTGGCTTTTATTTCATATTTATATTTTACACTGCCATTTTATATTCTCGTGGAGCTAGAAGGCCGGCAATAGTTCCGGGCAGCAGATGAGTAGATGCTTCCAATGGCAAGCCGCTCCGTGTGACAGCATCACAGAACAGATTTACTCATAGTCTTGGGGCTGATTGCAAATACACGCAGAGAAAAAAAAATATTCTCTGTATCTTTTCTAATTTATATTACACTCTATTTCACTACCACGAGTAAGACAAAAACGCCACTTTCTATGCTAAAAACCATTAAACCATTGAAATGAAATGAAATAAACTTTATACAATTAGACTTATTAAGAGTGGTTTTGAACCGTCAATTTAATGTAAGCGTCAGTGTAGTCAGTCCGTATGGAAGCTAACACCGGCTCGAAAAGCAGTTCTGCTAAGAAGAGCCGACGAGAAACTCAAAATTTGCTCTTTTAAATATCGATGTTAGACATTAATTTTATTAACATAACAATATAAAATGATTTACACATATCATATCTGACACTTAAATGAAAAAGTAGGCAAATAAACTTGACATACATACACTTAAAAAATATTACCTTTCTTCAGGTAATGTCGGGTAAAAATATAATAAGCTACAAACCTGCACTTCCAACTCGCACATTATTCGCGCCAGCCCCTAAGAAGTTCACATTCATTGCGTACGCGTATGCTTCTTGGATTTGCACAGCTGAAAAATAAGTGTTCCTATTTTAATATTAAATTTATTATTAAAAATAAAGATTTATCAAGATTTGGCAGCATTTTGGAAGGCTATTTATTTAAATAATACATATTTTTATAAGTTTTACTAAAAAATGTTTTACAACTTATCAAAATAACGTGTTCTAATTTGGTATGACCACCAGATAAGATAGTAAGTAAGACTTTGCTAGAACGCATTTTTTATCGATTCCCAGAAAAAGACATAGTTTTTGTGTGACAAATCTTTTTGAACCATGATACAAGCGACATATCCGATTAATCGTCTCATGATTGCGATCAAACAAATAACTATTTCCCAACAAATCCTCTATTTGGTTCCCGACCTTTCGAATGCTTTAGAGTAATCACGGTCACGGGGGAGACTAAGATTTAAGATAACTCAAAGGGATTATATAGTTGTTACAGACAGCCTACCCACAAAATAACAAAATTAATTACATAAAATTATTGTCTATACATACATAGTGATGTATAACATAATAATATTCCATGGGAAAAGTGATAAATCCGTTATTAAGTAAGGTTAACAAAACAAGCAATGTTACTATAATATAAAATATATATAAAGTAAATAAACTATCTCTGTGCAAAAATTATTGATGTCGACTCGTTGCCACATTCTTGCGTGAAAGAAGCAAGCAGTAGAAACTTTTGCGATCATACATATTATTAGTAAATATTAAAAACTAGCGACTCACCCTCGTTTCGCTTAGGTTTGTCCGTACGTACGTTTTGACGCTTAGTATGGAATAGGTTTTATTTCGTGAATTTTCCGATGTTTTAATAGTTATTCTGTTATTCGGGAGGAAGACAAATCCAACAAAACAAAGATCATAAAAATCGGTCCAACAGTTCTCGAGTTATAAGTGTTGTAACAAACTCGACTTTGTTTTATATATACATACTAGCGTTTTCCTGCGGCTCCGCCCGCATAATACATTAATCACCAATATATCATATACTAAAACCTTCTCCGAAACACGCTGCATCTTAGGGTATGAGTATTATACCGATCAGTTTAGTAGTTATCGCAGTATAATCGAACAAAAAATCGGCTCTCCATATCGGTTCAAATCAAACATTAAGTAAACAGTAGGAACAAAATTAACGATTCTTGACATTATATTGTGTCTTTGCTTGTCTCTTTGCTCACAGATCAATCGGTAGATTAAATGAATACGTTGGGACATTAACACACAGCGCCATCTAGTTCCATGGTAAGCTACGAGGCTTGTGTTATGGATACCAGATAGTTGATACACTACACATATATAACTTTAAATACATACATATTATAAATATAAACACCCTTGACTGGAGTACAAACATTCGTCATCACACAAATGAATGCCCCCAGCGGGACTTGAACCCGCGACCGCTGGCACAGAAAGTAGGGTCACTACAAACTGAGCCAAGCGTGTCGTCAGATTATATGTAAGGATACTGCTTTAGATTCCAGAACTCTTATAAAAGGTAATGGTCACAATTGCCTGATGACTACTTGTAGGCAGGAGCTAATAAAGTTAAACTTACCAGTTAGATAAGGCATTTCGGAGAACCACATAGTAGGAAAAATGACATCAGTTATATTATACTTCTGCACAACTTGTACCGCAGGCACTTGGAACATTAGATCGAAGCAGATGTAGTGACCAAAAGTGACACCAAAATCTGTAGTAAAGATACCTAAGTCTGGAGTCAAAGCTGGTGTACGAGTGTGTTCACCAAAGAGATTTATCTTGCGATATCTGAAAATAGGAAATTATCTTTTACTCGATTTGCTTGTAGTAAATTAGGAACCTAAATGAGTATTATCTATATTCATTAAAGTATAAGACAATTATAAAATGTAGAGTTATTATTCAAAAAATTGGATAAATCTTAATGTTTGTGTGGATGTTTAAGTTTGCTTCGGCAAGCCTGCCGTAGGAGCGTCGTGGTTGAGTGCGCAAGCGATCCTGTGACTCCCCATTAAGACGGGGAGGTTGTGTTGGGTTTTTGAGTTTTTGTGAGTAGTACTGGCTTTTCTAGCCGATGAGTCCCACATAAACACCTGTATATGTCTACAGGTGGCATGCAACATTAAAGTAAAAAGTACCTGTCGATAACTGCACCAGCCCTATCAAACACAACGTTGGTGTTAAACAAGTAAATTTTTTCTTCAGGGCAGCTCTCCCCGGTTGCCTCTACTGTGCAATTTACAAGCTCTTGTACGTTTATCACTACATATATCTGATGATGCCGCGCAGCTGACGATATTGATACTAAGACCTGAAAGTTTATGAATAAATCTATACTAATATTATAAAGAGGTACAGTTTGTGAGTTTGAGAGTTTGTGATGTTGTAGGGGGTAATCTCTGGATCAACTGAACCGATTTAGATAAAATTTGGTAAGAAGATAGTTTGAGACCCTGGTAAGGACATAGAATACTTTTTATCCCGGAAATCATCCCTTAAGAGGGTGAAAAAGTGGACAAGCTAGGGACGAACCCGAGCGAAGCGAGGGTGTGAGTCGCTAGTATGTAATAAAATTCTAACTGAGTCGAATCTGTACATCAAATATTTTTTGGAAAATCTTATTAAAAGAGTCATTATTATCGATACAGAGGCCGAATCCATAGTTTTTAGAATCTTTGTCTGTCTGTCTGTCCGCATCACGAGAAAACCACTGGATAGATTTTGATGAATTTTAGAGTGATGATGCTGGTTATCCGGGTCAATATATAGGATACATGTGGTGGATACCATATAGAATATACCTACAGATGGGATACTTTTTACTGCGAAAAAATATCCCATCTCTGAGAAATCTATACTAAACGAGAAAACGTAACTAGGGACGAACCCGAGCGGAGCGAGGGTAAGTCGCTAGTAGGTATACAATAAATATATATATGCGACCAATGGTGCTTTCTTCACTTTAGAATTTAGATCAATAATATGTAACCCATCTCAACTTAAGCTAATAAGAATATGTCATTCATAAACAACGCAATACCTTATAAATTATATATTTACAAATATATGCTAAATTATAGTCCGGTCAAATTAGACAACAATAGTGGTCATGCTAAAAAGTTATTCAAGGTTAAAGGTCAAACTTTTCGGCTTTTTGGATTATTCTCGAAAACGGTAAGTTTTATCAAAAATATAGACTAGAAAAAAATTGTAGATCATATTATCTACAAAAATGGTTGTAATACTTTTTTTCTGTGCCTATCATATAGAATGTAACACCTTCAACTTTTAGAATCGCGATATCTTAAGAATGGTGATTGTTAGAAAAAAAAGTATTACGACCTTTTTTGTAGATAATTTTATGATCGATTATATATTATTAATTTATACGAGTAGGTATATATCTAAAAAATATAAATGCCATTTCTAACCTCGTCGAATAATTGAGGTTGTAACGCTGGAATAGGGTGTTCCTTGAGCAAACCATTGATTGGCACAACTACGCTGTCGCGGCTGGAGATCGTTAATTCAGGAAATACTATGATATCAGCATTCTGTAAAAGACATTATGTCATGTTTATTATTTTTATTACAAGTAAAATATTACAACTTATACCAATACGTATATACCCCTGTACACTTTCTTTAAACGCCTGTATGTAAAATAGGGGGGCAGCCCTATATTTTGTAGTTTTTGTATTTTTATATTATTAATTGAGACCAATGAAATCTCATCACCATGGAATCTCATCATCTTCAGCAATACCTATAGATACAATAGTCTCCGAAGTTTTATTGAGATATACCTATAAATTTACGGATATCCTAAAAAGAACTTTATCCTGCTGTGTAACCTATATCGTCTGTATATTGTATCGCTTCAGCTAAAAAGTTAAAAATACTCTTTGTTTTTTCTATTGCGTATTGTAGTATGAAGCTACAGGAGAACTATCACTACGTACTTCATAAGGAGCCAAACAAAATTAGAATAAATTCATTTTCTATCCATCTTTTTACCTGCTCAGCAGCATCTCCTATTATTTTCATGTAATTTTGTAAATTAGTGGCCGAGTTAGACTGCACTTGGTACTCCACCACGGCTGCAACATAACTATTATCTTCTGGAGTAGATCGCTAGAAACAGAAAATGCTCTTACTTTATAAACACATACACACAGTTCTTACTGCAGATTTGAACTATTTCGTGATATAAATACTTAGTAGGGGAGAGGTAGTATGAAAGGGACATTTTTGTTGTTGAGGCTCTAGTAAGTAATTGAGATAATATTTGGAACAGGTTAGAGTCGAATGGGAAGCCTCCATTATTATACTATTGAAATAAAATTCACTAATTGTCATTTATTCATTCTTAGTTATTTAATTCTGCATCTTTAAAAAATGTGTATTGTGTCCCTTTCAATAATAACCTGTATTGAATAGTTATGAGAATAGTTTATGAAATGGACAGTACATAATATTAAGGAAAATCACTTTACACTTTGCTACTCATGTTCGAAAAATATGAAGTATGTGTACAATAACTACTTAAACGAACTACGAAGGCGTAGCAGGGCTGTCTTACGACATAAATAGTGCTGACCCGAAATATTCTACACGACATTGGCGAAGTAATTTGTGCCCAACTGGCACATCTAAAAGCCAAATAACAAAGAATTGAATTGAATTGACCCGAAAGTTTTTATTTTTGTACTGAAATCGTCTCTTTCAATACGTGTCCCTTTCATACCACTTTTCACTAATAGGATATATTTGTAACAATAATAAGTAGGTATATAGATATTACTAAGGATTACTCTGTAGTCAAAAATCAACCATGATTCATTACAACATTAAGTTTAAACATTATTAAGGTTCTTTTGTAAAATGCAGCCTGTAATTGTGTATATAAGAGTTTGAATGAATGGTTGTTTGTTACTCAATCCCGCCAGAATGACTGAATAAATCTGGATGAAATTTGGCACAGAATAGATAGATTATAGTGTGGAATAGCACATAGGTTACTTTTTATTCCGAAAAAAATATACTGTTCCCGTGGGATAGATTTTGACTTTATTTTTCATTAAGCAAGGGATCGACTATCTATTCCTATTCCATACTAATCGTTAAAACGTAGGTACCTAGGGGCTAAAGATTTGAGTCGCTAGTAAAACATTAAAAGCAAAGAGAGCGTAGTCGCGGCAAAGAAAATCAATAAATATGAGCTTTCCGCAGTGTTTCTCTACATAAGCTTTGCCAAACGATACCAACGATGCAAACGTTATTATAGGTATATACACAGTCAACACTCATTATTATATAGATTAGTATTTACTCTATATTTTCAGAGTCATTTTCCTCACTTTTGTTTACTTGCTAATTTTAGCATAAATATTTTGTGAAAAAATACCTACTTACATATAGTTGTATCGTATGAGGGGAATAACATTTTTTATCCCTATTAAACTAATAATATTTTTTTAATTTATTTCTTGGTAGTTTTCTGTTAAAAGTTATTAATTACAAAATATCAAAGTGCAATTTATTATAGATCTACACATAAAAATACTTACACATATTTCATTTAAAATAAATGTTTATTATCAATTACCTATATATTTACAAACTATTACTTTTACTTTTTTAAAGTCATCAACGATATATTAAGTACTAGCAGTACCCGCGGCTGCGCTCGCGCTAAAACTATAAAAAAAAATATTTCTAAAAAGGTAGGTTTTATACAAACTTTCGTCCCCTGTTTTACCATCTTAAGAGATGTATTTCGAAAAATTCTAAAACATATATACCTATATTTAATTTTATTGAAGAGCATTAATTCCAAGTTTCATTTTTTTGGTTTGTATAATAACGTATTTTCCCGTCGGAATTAGATAAAAAATTACGCCAATCCGTCACTCCGTTTCGACGTGAAAGAAGTTTATTTACCAATTTTAAGCACAATACCATAATTGATTTATTATATTCTCACAATATATGTAGTATTTTGTAAAAAAACTTTTGACCTAAGTTTTGATTCTCATTGTATTGGTAATAAAAATATAAAAACGTAGTGGATACTTTCTAACAGGATCCAGTTACCACAATATGATCATGATACAAAAGACATGATTGCGATACATGATACATTTTGTAATAGAACTGGTGCCCATGGAGGAAATTTACTAAGAAAATGTTTCCTTTTCTTTAGAACAATAAATCGTACGATTTGTAACTAAAGATGTTAAGATGCATATGTAATATGTTATAATTAATAATAAAATAGAAAATAATAATAGTAGATCAATGTACCCCGTACGAGCAACTTTAAAAAACAAACAATCTAAAACAATTATTAGATACTACGAGTAGCTGTGTCCCGCGGTTACACCGCGTTCAATTTGTTTGATTATAAACATTTTATAATAATGTATGGATGATACATAGCCTATAGGCTTTCTCAATAAACGGGATATCTAATGCAAAAAGATTTTTTAAATCGGGTTAGTAGTTTCTGAGATAAGCGCATTCAATCAAACACACAAACAAACTGCCTCATTATAATATTAGTATAGAAGTATCCACAAACAAACCCTCCGTATGGTTCAAGAAACAAAAGAGGAATGCTCTCATTCTTAATTATTACTAATGTTCGTCCAGAGGTCCAAAATCTACCATAACTTTTTTTGTAGGTACCTAACAGAAAAGGTCGTTAATAGGTACTAAACAAAAAAAATTACCGACTCCAAAAAAGGACTCAATTCGGCTACCTTATACATTTTTATTTATTTTACGTGACATTCTCGCTAGTTCTGAATCAATTTTTATAATTATTGGGCCCATATAAATTTAATTTAAAAAAATTCACCTCTATTGATGGAGTGATTACTTTTAAGTTTTGGTTAGTTTTCGTTTTTACATTAGATATAAAGAAATATAATATAATAACTACTCATGCTGCATGACGATCATTCATTGAAAGTTGAAACATAATAAAGGCACAAAACCAAGGGGGAAAAGGTAAAATACAGCAGTGTGCAAAAAAATTGAAATTTAGCCTTCATATTACATCTATATGTCTTTATTTGAGTTTAAGAAATAACGTGTGAAAAGTCTATTGAAAATTCGTATGCGAAGAAAGCGTTTCCGTTGGAAAGTCACGTATTTTAATTTACCTACAAAAAGAAGATATGTAGTGTTATTTGATACCTCAATCGCCTTCGTAATACAAAGCAAATCGCAATTTGATTTACGTTTTCTCTAACAGACTTACTTCCTTTGTTAGTATGTATAATGAAAAAATGATAAAGGGATTTACAGACACCACAAACGGTTTGTAAGTTTTGGTCGTTTTTAATGAATAAACCAGCAATTCGTCCCTAGGTAATTCTGTAAATTGTACATATTTTTTTAATTTATGAACCGATTAAAATAAAACAAATACGAACTGTTAAGTAAAGCTTGCCACAATACAATAGTGAAAACCGCACCCAAATCAGTTAAGCCGTTTCTGAGATTAGCGCGCACAAACGCACAGACAAACAGACAAAAATTCTTAATTATTGTTTTGGTTTCTAATGCCTTAATAAAGACCCCAATAATAGTTTTTCTCAAATATCTTCCATGTACAGACAACGATCAATTACACTTTTATTATATGTATCGATAAAACTTGGTTGAATTTTATTGTAAAAATTTTAGCTTTACTGTCGGCGCAACGGTTATAAATATATTATTTTGTACACATTTACTGCTTTATTTATTCATTCTTTATAGATAAATCTTATCATATTTATTGTTACTATTACTTATCTGAATCTATACTAATATTATAAATGTAAAAGTTTGTGAATATGGATGTTTGTTACTCTTTTACGCCAGAACGGCTAAACGGATCTGGATGAATTTTGGCAAAGAGATAGATTATAGTGAAAAATAACACATAGACTACTATTTATACCCAAAAAATATACGGTTACCAAGGGATAGATTTGTTTTTATTTTTCTAGAGGTGAACCAGAGCGAAGCGAGGGTGAGCCGCTAGTTAGTATTATAAAATGTATAACATCACATTTCCTGATTCGCAAAAAAACACAAAATAGTTAATATTAAAAAAAACTTTAGATATAGGAGGTACACTTGTATCTATAGAAAGATTAGGTAAAGGATATGTTAGAATTCCGATATTAAAAGATTATCGGTTTTAGATATAATGCATAAGTTGTTTTGTTTAAATTGACTTCATATGTCATTTATATAAATAATTATTAGTAATTTCAAGTCAGTTTTCAACCGACTTCAAAAAGGAGGTGGTTCTCAATTCGCCTGTATTTTTTTTTTTTTTTTTTTTTTTTTTTTTTTATGTTTGTTACCTCAGAACTCCGTCATTTATTGACCGATTTGGACAATTTTTGTTTTGTTTGAAAGGGTATACTTCCAGATTGGTCCCATTTAAATTATAAAAAAAAATACCACCCCTAAGGGTGGAAAAACACCTAATGATGAATTTAACCTACTTCTAATTGTCATATTGACTTGAAACTTTGCAAGTATTTCTATTTCCGTTGATAGTACAGTGGTTCGGTATTGTTGACCTGATCTGATGGCAAGGCCAGAAGGTGGATAGGTGGAACTCATCAACGGCTAATAGTAGATACTTTGAGTTTGGGCTTATTTTGTTTGATTTGACAAGCCTAACACGTTAGAATCCTTACTTTGCTACTACTGTGTATACTAAAAAGGGAAAAATAAAAACTTTTTAACAAAAAAATAAAAACCGACTTCAAACAAAAGCACTAAAAAGTAAAAAATAACTGATTGGTAGTTTTCATTTACTATACATACCTAATCAAATATTTTCGAAGTCGGTGTGCTTTGGCTAAGTAATTAAAGCCTACCTATTAAATACATACCTAGCCAAATATTTTCGAAATCGGTGCCAGCCCATACAAAGCAAAGCACACCGACTTCGAAAATATTTGATTAGGTATGTATAGTAAATGAAAACTACCAATCAGTTATTTTTTACTTTTTAGTGCTTTTGTTTGAAGTCGGTTTTTATTTTTTTGTTAAAAAGTTTTTTTCTTAATCTACTATCGTAGCTATGCTTTGTTTTTATTATTTTTTGCCGAAAATGCAATTAAAAATATTATTAAATAAATCTAAAATATATTTTTACAAGTGAAAAATGCGCACGAGCACAAAAAAATATTTTTAAAACGATTTTACACTTACATTATTTATTTATATCACTTACTGTACCTAATTTATTACAATGCTTTAAACAATTCTACTAATGTTATGCGAAGGTTTATGAGGATGTATGGATATATGAATGTTTGTCACTCTTTCACGCAAAAACTAATGAATGTATTTTAATGAAACTTTATAATAATATAGCTCATACGTTAAAATAACACATAGGCTACTTTTTATCCCGGAGAAATGTCCGGTTCCCGTGGGATAGATTTGTTTTTGTGTTTCGAACCCGAGCGAAGCGAGGGTGAGCCGCTACTTTGTAAAGTATTGACCCGGATAACCAGCTATCATCATACCAAATTTTATCAAAATCCCTCCAGCGGTCTTTTCGTGATGCGGTCACAGACAGTCAGACAGACAGACAAAAATTCTAACAACTATAGATTCGGTGTCTGTATCGATAATAATATCTGTATCAATAAGATTTTCCAAAAAATATTTAATGTACTGATTCAACTTAGTTACAATTTTATTATATGAATAGAAAAGGTCGGCTCATAAATAAAGAATAGAAAAATAAAATAACTAACTATTAATTTAAATATATCAGGGAAAGTTTTGATAAATAGTAAGTATTATTTATATTTAAAAGAAATTTTAACTTCAAATAATTGAATTTAAATGTAAACAACAGCTGTAACATAGGTACTTTAAAAGTTGAATAATAACTGCTAGATTTCATAGCAATAACTACTTAATATAACAACTAGATTTATGACTCATACATTAACATAAATAATATTTGTAAACTTATATTTTTTATCCAAACAAACAAACAAAATCAAAACAAAACAATAAAACAAAAACTAATTAATTTATTAAATAATAATAAAAAACAAATTCTAACCTGTAAGGAAAATCCTAATATGCACAAAAATATTATTGCTCTAAACTTCATCGCTTGAGTGGAAAACAACGTGCACTTCGCTATCACTGACGCTTACTAATAAACAAAGATGTACAGTGTACACTGGTACAGGTCTTTATATGTACATTTAATATGAGTGCCAGAAAGTGTCTGTTTCCAATGCTACACTCCGATAACGGCGTGCCGTTGTCGGATGAGTGTCTTCCACATTTAGAAAAATTCACATTCACAATTATTATTTTATAACTTTATTTAATTTCGCTATTTTATAAATTTAAAAATATTGTTTCGATTCTTATAACAAATTAAAATACTCAGAAATCCTTAGGATGACTTGTCGGTATTTTTTAAAACAAATATAAATATAAATTTTATAAACTTTTTTATACCTAATAAATATTTTGAAGATACTTTTCTTTTAAAATGTATATAATTTACCATATTTTGAGTTTATGACTTTATGTAATTAATAATTATTGTATAGATTATATCAAATATAAATAAAAATTATTTTAATTATAATATGATTATGATAGACGTCTTTCATTTGTAACTTTCAATATATTATACGTACATAAGATCACAAGGGCAATGGATAACAGTTATTGTTATTTATAGACTTCAGGGGAGATCCCGATTCTCGATGCTAAATATGCGTGCAATTTCCATTCAGATAACTGAGTCATTATGCATCGAAAAGCATTAACCTTTCTCTGCAGTCATTGGTTGTTAGATATTAAGAAGTTTATTTCTTGTAGATGTAGGCTTCTGTTCTACCGTCTACGTCTTGTATTGAAAATAATAATAAAGACGTGTGAACTTATGTACGAACATATTTCTTTGGTGTAACAGAACAAATATAGCTAAAGATTTCATCTCGTATGTCACATCTCTCTGTTTGTAAAAGGAATGCAGCTAACTTTATCATGTCGCTTTCAGCTAATATCATCATGTCGCTTTTGAGTGTCGGTGAAAAAAAAATTTTACTCACATATTTTTTCCAAACGTGCCAAAAGAAGTGTAACTTCAATAATTATAAATAATTAGATAAATAAACATAAAACTAAAATGTTGTCATTACTATAGATAGCTACTTACTCGTAGGTACATCTGAGTTTCACGGTGCATATTTAATTAGATTTTTTTTGGATACAGACTACAAGTAATAAGATTGCCTTATAATATAAATTATAAATAAAACAAAAAATATACAATTTAATAATATTTAAATACAAATTATGTTTTTTATTTTATTTTAACTGTTAGTAATAATAAGGATTTGCAATAACAACTTGATATTTTTACTATACTTAATAGGTATACTTCACCTGCAAGGAACATTATTGTAACTCAGTGTCGATATAATTTAAAAAAGACCTTTTTTTAATATATTTTAAAATTTATACTAAATTCAAAACTGCAGTTCCAAGTCCCAAGCTTTTCTTGACAAGTGTAAATATAATGTACAATCCTCATTACATTGTAGAATCAACAAACAGCAGCATTTCAAAGAAGCGTAGATACTAGGTACTGAGGTATATTTTTGGAGCTACTCATCGAATTTAAAATAAAATTCATGATGTACTTTATAAATAGTATTTGCTATATAAATTTAATTATGTGCTATAAATGGGTATGTCTCCGAAATTGCGTTCCTCGTCTGATTTATCTGGCCAAAAATTATTTTCATTTTTGGCTCTATTCAACATACTCTTATGATTAAAGACATGCCAAATAATATTTGGCATGTCTTAATGTAATAATTTAATAATATTTTTATTTAATAATGTAATAATTTTTGGCCAGATAAATCACACGAGAAACGCAATCTCGGAGAAATACCCAAATACACCTATTGATCTTTTTTTTACATTTTCTCGAGCGATGTGCGATAAAACAAGTTGACGATAATAATCGATTATAAAGTATTTTATAGTTGTAAAAAAATTATAAAAATTGATATAGCGAATAAGCATTTCGCTTATATTTGCTTAAAATGTTCTATTTACTAAATATTAATTGATTGTACATTATATCCCTGTTATTTCTTATTATAAGTGTAAAAGTGCGGCAAATTCAAAATTACGAAACCCGCCAACCCACAACTAATAGTTTGGAACAAAAATTTGACGTCAGTGTTATGTCAACAGATTTGTTTTATTCAAATTTTTAAACTCTATGCTTAAAACACAGATCATATAATACTATACTGTTTAAAATATTTTATTCAAATATTTATAAACTTATTTATATTTTTTCCATGGTATGACAATGTAAGCCATAAATTGGAATAAAAAAAAGTACATGTAAATACTAGGTATTCGAGAAGATAATTTGTAACAACAAACAAAAAAAATTTAATATTTAATTGGACTTGGGCTAATTAAATATTTAAAAAAAAGTCTTTCAATAATGGAATTTTATTAATAAATAACATATTTTATTTTCTTATAACGCTCGAGCTTCGTTGGAAAAAATATCGTTAAGAGGTATGTCCTCTAATGTACATATACCTACCCACATGATATCTTGATTTTCATTCTTATTTTTTACTTTACATAAATAAATGTCCTAGAAATCGAATTAAAAAAAAGAAATAAAATATAACTTTGATCGATTCACATTTTTTATAAGACGTACTGAAATTAACGAAATGGAAACAATTATCTATTTTGAAAGTTACAAAGTTCAATTGAAATAAATGCGTGAGGATAAAATATTAGCTTTATTACGTTTCTCAGTTATCTATCTACCTGCCATTTACACAAGTATTGACATTAAAATAATATTGATAATGCAAATATCACGCTCTGTTCGATCTTATCAAATAATCCTTAAATATATTTTTTCATATTTTTTGGATTATTTCAATAACAAATAAAGCTATTTTTTCTTCCGTGGATAAAATATGTGAAAAAAATCTCGTTAATTTCTATGATACGCAAGGTCAAATTTTAAATTTTTACTTCACGATAACATTTACTTAATACTTATCTAAATAAGTTAATCTAAATGTTCTTTATTGCAATAAAATAAGATTGTGATTTGCTTATCTTTGTTTCAATATACATGATATCCCAGTTACAACGACAATGATAATTTATCAGGAGTCACAATAACTGTATGAACTATGTATGTATATACTATATATATATATATATATATATATATATATATATATATATATATATATATATATATTGTACCTACATATAGCGTTATATAACATTCTATTTATCTCTTCATAAACAATGAATAATGCTATAAATTCAGGAATTCCGTATTAATTAGTAATCGATGATACTTACTTATTACTCATCAATGACACTCATTTATTACTTATCGATTAATTTAACTAAATACGCCAAAAAGGCACTAACGTTATTTTTTTATTCGAAACATTACACAATACACAGACAGCATCAAGCGTATAATATATTTATAGCCTTTTTTATTGATATTTTCTTTGTTTTTGATGAGATGCAATAACTTGATATAAGTAAATGCCTTAAAATGAAACAAAACTTGTTTATAAAAATATTTAATATTTGATAAGATAATATTCTGTACTTTACGAAATTATACTAAATTAATTATATATATATAAATATTAATAGATACAAAACAACTCGAGTACGAGTTTAGTAAGTTATATTTATTATATTTCGAGCTACAGCGCGAGTTTTATTAATTACATAAATAAAAAATATAACTCAAAATATATATGAAAATTAGTTCGATATCATTGTTAAAACATTAATAACATGAGTTTTTATAATTAAAAAAAGAATTATCTTAGGGAATTAGAATCTCTGGTTAGACTTTGCGTAGACTACCTACGTCCTTTCTATATAAAAAAGTGCTAGTTTAAATAAATTTAAAGGTAGGTAAGGTAGGGTAGATGGTAGTTTTGACGGTTGGTAAGCCTACTTAAATAATTATAATATGAGTACATACGTCAACAATGTTGCAATACTCATCTATACTTATAATAAATCTGTAGAGAGGTCAATTCTGTACATGAAATATATTTCCAAAATAACTATCAGGGGGTGATTAGGGATCGATACTGATGCTAAAAATGCAATCAGTAAAATTTTTGTCTGTCTGTCTGTATAACCGTTATAGAAACAAAAACTACTCGACGGATTTTAACGAAACTTGGTACAATTATTTTTCATACTCCTGAGCTGGTTAAAGTATACTTTTCATCACGCTACAATCAATAGGAGCAGAGCAGTGAAGGGAAATGTTGGGAAAACGGGAGAAGTTACTCCATTTTTTAAACTTCCGTCGCGTGTGCAACCTTAATGGTTAAAGCTACACAGAAATCATGTATGACGGAAATGTTCTCCTTAAAATTATATAAAAAATATCCCACGACAGCATATGTCTATCTTTTATGGTTGACTCACAATAACACGTGTAACTCCCGATAGCTTAGCAGTTCGAAGCTTTCTGATTTATATTTGTCTACTCTTACGTTTATAACACTCTCAGTCATCCCTAATTAAAAAAGATAACATTATTAACTATTCCATAAAAAAGAATCATAGAAATCGGTATAGAAACACCAAAGTTATACATGAAATACGCTAATAATAAGCCATTGCGAGTCAGGGGGATGTAAGAAGACAAATAGAACAAATCCAGATTTTTTTCAATTTTTTTGTTTCTCTGTCTGTTTGTCTGTTTGTATGGGCTAATCTCCGAATCTATTGGACCGATTTAAATGAAATTTTGCATGGTGGTACCTTATATCCCCGGACAATGTCTTAGATATTTTTTATCCCGGAAAATTAAATGGTTCCCGTGGGATAGTTAAAAAACTATTATAACTTATACAACTTATGCACCTAATGTAGTAAAATTTAACATTCTGATACCTTATATTGCCGGTCAAACAACAGGTTACTTTTCATCCGGGAAAAATGAACGATTCCCGTGGGAACTAATAGATTTCTATTAGTATTTTTCTAGAGGCGAACCCGAGCGAAGCGAGGGTGAGCCGCTAGTTACTAATAAAGTTAAGCTAGACTTATGTATAAAGGAGCTGTCTGGTGCGTCGTCTTCTGGAGCAGGTGTAGTTGTTGTACTGTCATCAGCTCCTTCAACGTGTTCTCTTGGCGGCGATATCTCCTCATCATCGGTAGTATACTCTCTTCCCCAAATAGCGAAAGAATATAAATCAGGTGCAGACTTGACCAATTTCAACGTGTAAATTGATAATGAGTCGAAAAATGATACTGAGTTAAAATTGAAATACTCAGGTTTTAATGGTTTAATAGTCTTGTCAAGAGACAAAGGAAAATAAGTTGCACTGTTCGCTGAAAGGTCTGTATTTGGTTTTGGGGTTGGTACTGTTGCTGTTATTGTAAGCTCTTCAAAAACTGCGGTCGTATTTGATGAAAATCTTGGGAATCTGCGAAAGTAATATGCTTTACGAATGCTTACTACTATTTTAACTATAGCTAATCCATATCCATACTAATATGAAATATTATAAATGCGAAAGTGTGTTTGTTTGTTTGGTTGTCTTTCTTTCACGTCGAAACGGAGTGACCGATTCGCGTGAGATATTTGAAGGGCTGGAGAGTGACATAGGCTACTTTTTACCGTGGAAGATTTATCTAATTCCCACAGGAGAACACATTATAATACAATCCAAAAAAATATTTATGATTAGAATTACTTGAAACTTGGTGAAACTCTTCAATAAAATTAAATAAATACGTGTTTTAGCATTTTTCGAAATCATCCTATAAAGGGGTAAAATAATGTATGAAAGTTTATATGAAACTACCTATTTAGAGATTATTCTGTAGTTTTAGCGCGAGCGAAGCCGCGGGTACTGCTAGTACTATATAAAAGTAAGTATGATTGTTTATATACTTTTGAAAGTAGTAAATCTAGGCTATAAATCTTGCAAATAGATGTGAAAAGAGCATATTTTCATAAAAATCTGTTCTGTAGTAATCACATGATAAACTCGCAACCAGACAAAAGTCAGAAAATTACAAAGATATTTCCAAAAAAACCGAATTCTACTACATTCCAAAAGTTTTCCAAAGAGTGCGAATATATTTACTACATAAAATCTGTCAGACCATATCCCTTACTATAGTGCATTTTTAGTTACAATGAATAATAAATATCCATATCTATACTAATACTATAAACTAGCGGCTCACTCACGCTTCGCTCGGGCTCGCTTCTACAAAAAAAAAACAAATCTATCTCACAGGAACCTTACATTTTTCCGGGATAAAAAGTAGCTTTTTATTATTCTGATATATGAACTATATTATTATAAAGTTTTATTAAAATCCATTCAGTAGTTTATGCTTCAAAGAGTAACAAACATTCATACATCTACACATCCAGACGTACATACATCCATACATCCTCACAAATTTTCACATTTATAACATTACTATAGATGTGAAAGTTTATGAGGATATATGGATATTTGTTACTCTTTCATTCCAAAACGGTTGAAAGAATCTGGATGAAATTTGGCACAGAGATAGATTACATTCTGAGATTATAATTTGATTCTATCACAGAATATAGTGTGGAATAGCAAATAGGTTACTTTTTATCTCAGAAAAACTTACGGTTCCCGTGGAATAGATTTCTTTTTGATAAGGGACTAACTCGAAGCGAAGTGAGGGTGAATCGCTAGTACATACTAAATGGTTCAGTTCCAACCGCAATTTATTGAAGAATAACAATATTGTTGAAATTTTTTCAAGAAGTTATTAGAAAGAATCACCTTTTCCCACAAGTGTCGATATTATTTCCGGTGCAAGCGAACACGGAACAGACTCTGCTGCCTCCCGTCGCTTCGCCGATATATGACCGTACTCCGCTGAAGGCTCCCGCTCTGTATGTATACTTCTATAATTCCAAAATATATTGTATTATTTAACTAGATACCTATAATTAAGAATTTTGTTGGAATAGTAGTTAGCATGTACGGTTATAGACCCGGAGAACTTAGAGACAGTTTGGAATCTGGGGTCGGGTTAAGTATAGTTACTGGGTCATTTATACAAAAACTCGTTATACTCGACTGCAATCGACATCGAGATACAAAATCAAAATTTTACATAAATTTTGAAGAGAAGATAATATGGCTAATGGCACCAATATATGACGATAAATTATAATTTGAATTTTGTATTCCGTTGCCATATCTGTTTTCTTTATAGCTATATAATAACTATTTTATTTATTTTATTTTTCATTTGATAGTTTTTTGATACAACTTACTATCAAATTTTAGAAATTGTAAGGCACTTCGGCGCTATTTCGCTTTTCGTGATATATAAATAACATATTTTTAAGAAATCTTAAGATATTAAAAGTCTTAACGGTGGAAACCGTCAGTAAAAATTATACATATACCTATATACCTATATATATATATATATATATATATATTATTGTAATCAGCCCTTTTTAACCACGCTGACCAAGTGCGGGTTGGCGGACTTCACATATGTTTTGAAAACTTGCAAGGTTCTCTCAGAGATACTCAAGATGTTTTCCTTCACTGTAAGACAATCATAAGTGGTAATCATGTTCGAAATGATTCGCACATGAAAATATCAAAGGTGCGAGACCCGGGATCTGAACCATCCGCTTCACTCGTTTTCCAAGCAAGCGTATTACCGCTAGGCTACCAATGCCTTTAAAAAATATAGTAATATCAAAAATTTACATAAAAAAACTAATAAAAGACAGGGCTGGGAACCAGTTAAAAAACGGTAAATTACAAATAAACCGGTTAAAGAACGTAACCTTAATCTTAAACCGAAAAAAATACAAAACGGGTCAATGACCAAACGGTTTAAAAATTGAACGGGTTCCCGAGCCCTGATAAAAGAACCATATTGAACCTAAACTATATATATATATAATGATAAACAGAAAAACTATTTGTTTTGGTAAACTTTATTAAAATTACGTCAAAATTAATATAATAAAATATGAGTATGCATTGAAATTTCATAAAAATAATTTATTATTTATACACTTTAAATAATGCAACAAAAAACTTTAAAAAAATCAATAATAAAGCGTTATAGACCAGGGCTCAAGGTTTTGAAAATGGTAAAAAGTGAAAAAAATTGTAGGATGAAACCCATAAGAAAAGGAAGAAAATATAACAAAAATGAAAGAAAAATAATTTACGGGCGATCTGAGGTCGAGAAGTGGAAGGGAGTGAGTTTTTAAGGGTAAAAAACGGCTTATCTCGATTTCCGGTTAAACTACAAGTCCTATGGAAAAAAAGTTAAAATGCAAAGTTGTAGGTAGCTCTTCGTATTCAAAATTCCTTAAATATCATTATTTTAGAAGTTATTACCAAAAACTAAATACCTTTTTTTTTAAATCTTATTTTGTTAATAAAAATCGCATTTTTAATGTGCTATTATACCCTTAAAAACATTTTTCTAGACGTCATTCCGAATAGAATGAGCTATCGCACATATTTTTAGGAGCCTTATTTCTATTTAACACGATTTTGAACTTGTTGACTAGACTACTTTTTATGGGCTAAAATTTTCCGTAGGTCACTCAGAATATAAGTTATCTTAAAATAGCAATAAATAGACATCTACCCATATAATTTACAGAAGATTCTACAACTTTCTCAAAATATTGTAGATGTCTTATTAAATATTAACTTTATTAATTGCATTTTGTTCATTAAAAGTAAAGTTCTTAGGACTTCAGTTAAACTTATTATTTCTAAGTGAAAGCAGATAGTAAACTATGTCTTCGCATTTCAATGTGCTGTTATAGTGTCTGCTGTATGACGTCATTTGAATTTCCAACGCTGTAATTTCTTTTCTTCCGTTATTGGGAAATCTGAAACAAAATTAAGTATTTTTAACAATTATTATTTACTGATAAAAACTATAAAATATTGAAGTCGTATATTATAAAAATATGTAAAATTTTACATTATCAAGACACATTATGCCTGAATATCAATTACAAATTGCTAGTAATAGCAATAATCCAACCCATGCAAAATCGAATGCGCGACCTCCAGAAATGCCGCTAAACCAGGAATAAGCTCGATGGTAATAAATACATATTTACCTATATATAACCACAGCTTTTAATATCTAAGCGACTCTCGTGCATCTCACAGTACCGACTGGCCGCTTCGCGTACACGTTCACTCCATCTGCTACAATGCTCTGTAATATGGCGCCTGAAATATATTTTTTTATTATAATGTTCGTATATATTTGTATTTACATGTAAATATTATTATATACATGTTTAAAAATATACAGGGGCTCGTGGGAGAAAGCTTCCTTTTTCCTCTTGGCAATTGCTGGTTCGATTACTGCGAACGACAAATGCCGTACAAGTAGTTTATTTGACAGTTTATTTCACAGGACCCTGATAAAGGCAACCTAAGTGGTAACCGTTGAGTATATAGCGTAATTTATTTTGCTATTTTCTCGGAATTTAAAAGGTCTTTAAAAGACGAAGTCCATATTTATCAGGTGCATTTATAAATACAATTGAAGTGTCTGTACTGGAATTCTTTTTTTTCGGTGAAAAGCGACTTATGGTACCTATCTGGTATATACCTGGCATATTTAATCCCGAGAAGATTCCAAGTAGGTAAAGAAGAAAAAGATTCCCGTGGGATAGAGGAACAAAGTAAGAGCTTTATGATATTTAGTTGAAGATGAATTTTTAGCTTTAAGCTTCGGGAGAAGCGAAGAAGTATTCTAAGATATTAGAGATAAGTAGGTTTTATCTAGTCCCTTATTAGGTATTCCCTACCTACCTATCTAGCACCTACCTATCTAGCACCTACCTAATGAGCATTAAAAGCACTCACTTGTAAGGTATATAATCCATACATTTTAAGTAGTAATAAATTTGACTTACCTTATAGAAGTAAATTTTATTAGTTAATGTCATGCACTTGAACAATTTTTATTTAATTTAAAAGCCAAATATAACGTGTTAATAACAATTATGTTTAAAATGCACATGCGTCAAAATAAAATGCATATTTAGATATAAAGTCACTTGTGCAATAAATAAAATTTATTTTATAATTTAACGTTTAAGTTCCTTATATTACAATTAAGTTCATTTTTTGCCAAGTTTGAGTCAGTCCTAAACCAATCACAATGTTTTTCATTGGTAAGTAAAATATGTCTATACGTAAAATTATAGGTATCTTCTATTGTGTTCATTTGTTGCTAAAAAATGTACACTAAAACTAACTGACTAACTATAACTATGTATTTAGATTGTAAATTTTCACCAAATAGTGAACTCTACATTTTCTTATTTTTATGAAACTTTTATACCCGCCTGCGAATTTAGATAACTCCACAAGGGAACTTATTTAGAAAAGAAACTGTAATCCCGTATGACAGAATGTAAGTTTTTTATTACGTTCCTTAAAATTAAACATTCAAATAATTTAGAACATTATTTAAATAAAGCAAAATGCCATGCGGAGCAGTGGCAAAAACTTATCAATTTTTTTTATTTTGATTGTCAATACTTGCTGCATTTTTCGATAAACAACCCTTCTGTGAGCTAACATTATTCACATATTATAATCTTTGTTTTTAATGAAAATTCGTTTAAGTATTTTTTATTCAGCCAGAATCATTGTGCTGCAAGTTTAGAAAAAAATGGCTACGGTTTATACTACGTACTTTACCTAAGACCAGAAACTTCATTCAAACTAAATATTCTACACAGTCTCATACAAAGCTTGGGCAATATTTAATAGTTATGCACTAAATATACACATGCAAACCCATGGACTAGCTAATAGCTAGTATGTATATAACACTTACCGTGTCACTATGTCTTTCACTCATATGTATTTTAAATCGGCAAACAACGTCTTTGTCTATCAGCGTGAATTCCTCGAGACCTGGCTTAATAAGACGCGTGACGTACGATGGTAGAGAGGGATCACTTCTCAGCACTAAACTGTCTAACACTAAGGGACCGTCGTTCATTGGTCCTGGGTAGTCACCTTCCACCTGTAATAAATTATATATATTGAAAATTTAATGCTATCCTATTTTTATTTACCATTAACATTAATGCGAAAGTTTGGTCACGATAGATTGCTGAATGAAATTCAGTATACTGATCATGTAAGCCCATAGGGGAATCTGTTGTTCCTAGGCCAGTTTTTTACACTTCCTTTTAGAGATATACACAACCTAATCCCTCAACGACCGCGGACACGCCGGCGTTACAGTTACAACAATAGATTTCTTAAAAATTTAATTAATTTCTTAGAAATTTACCTGGAGGTGTAAAGAGACATTTTTTTCAAAGATTCATTCATTCATTCACATTCATCATTCACACCCTTTCAGAATATAAGTAAAGTTAATACAACAGCAATATCTGAATTTGCATACATTTAATATTAACTGTAAACAGTGTGAGAGTAGAGAACAATTCTGGGCGTGTACTCTTTCTATAATAATGGTAAATTCAAATAGAAAAATATATTGATTACCTGACCAGGTACTTTGGGTACTCGAGACACAAGTAATTTCGTTGTTGATATTCCTGGCATAATGCTAACTAAAGCTCCAGCTTTTCCCGAATAGATTCCTGAACCTGTAAAATAAAAACACCGAACTTTAAAGTTAAATATCTATTTGTTTTTCTATTGTTATAGTCATATTTGGAATAAATGTGAAGAATCATATTTTATTTTAAAATCCTATGGCACAAGTTTAGAATAGGGGTCATTGCCCCTGGTAGAGTGGGTGGTATTTCTGGATAGGGGACGTGATAGGGAGTCGAAATGTTAAATAAAAAATTTTCCGGAAACGTACGAGTAAAAAGTTATTGAGACTTAAAGTTACAACATTTCCATACATTTTCATATATTTCTTTACCACCATTCGGAGTGGGTGGTATTTTTAGATAGGGGAGGTGACAGAGAGTCAAAATATATTAAAAATATTTGGAGGAAACGTACGAGTAAAAAGTTATTGAGACTTAAAGTTATAACATATCTTTACCTAAATAAGTGATTACAACAGATAAACATACCTTTAACGAATAGTACGCATCCTTTTTTATGTACAATACATATTTTCACAACAATTAATGCTTTATTGTATTTAATATTTTAATAATTTCACAACACAAACAATATGATCTTACATTTTGACAAAAGCAAAACTGTCACTTTGTTTTATATTACCGCTTAAATGACAACAGATTATATTTGATTATTTTTGCTTTTTCTGTTGGTAATATTAATAAATAAATAAAAAGAAAAATATTATTTTCACTTCATAAATACATTATTTATTTATTATTCGTCATATCTTGGTTAGGTTAGGTTAGAACATTTAAGATTATTTATTTATTATTCCTCATATCTTGGTTAGGTTAGGTTAGAACAGTTCTCAGGGCAGTTGCTGGACTGCTACTGGGCGCGTCCCCCGGGTGGCGGATAGGGGAATGCCACCACATTGGTGGTACCGGTCTTGACCGGCGCGGACCAAAACCAGTAGGCATGGGCGTGCCTTTAGGGGTTTGTTAACCCCACGGCCTAAGGGAGCACACCCTGACAGAAAAGCGCGAGGTGGGGCGGGTCCGGCGGGTGCTTAATTGCGCAGCCGGACAAGCACCAGGGTGCACCCCCCCCTCAACTCGTAATCCCGGTTCCTGGTGTCGTTGATCACGTCTAGCGGCCGGGACTGGGACCGAGGGCCTTGGCTTTACCGCCTGGGCTGCGAGGAAGAAAACCTCTCTAAAAAATTACCCCAATCCCAAGCGGAGAAGCAGCGCGAGGGGATGCATGGCCGATGGGATGATCGGTCCCTACTGCTTCCCCCGCCAGAGTACCGGCCGACACTCTGGGCGGGTTATTGAAGGCTTATCCGGGTGCAGGGGGCACCGCCCGGATGGACGGGTTATATCCCCCATACTCGTGGGATTCAAAAATGGAAAATCTTAACAAACAAAAAACCCAAACCTTTGATGTGGAGCCCGTGATGGGCGGTGAATTGACGGTGCCTGTGACTGGCGTAGTTGTTGGTGAGCCTGCGATGGGCGTAGTATACGATTCGGATGGGTCTATGTTCTCGTCCGTTTCTTCAACGTTGGGCCGTAAGAGGCCTCGTGCTGTGCCGCTTTTGGCGTCGTCCTCCGGGTCTGAGACCGAGACGGAGTCGACCTCGAACGCCAGGGCGACGGAGGCACGTAGGGGGAAGACCTTCAAGGGTCCGGGGGGTTCTGGTCTGGTGCGTTCACGGGCGGATCTAAAGAAGCTCGAATATGAGGCCAAAGAGAAGGCCTTTGAGGAGACTTTGAAGAAGAGGGCATTCCTCAAGGAGGGTCCCTCTCAACCTGTGGAGAAGGGGTTGTCGGCCTCTGTTGCCCCCTCTCCCATTGATGTGGCCGGAATGCCGGCTGAGGAATTGAAGTCGGTTGCTGGAGCAAGTGTTGCGGCAATTCTAGAGGTGGCCGCTAAGTCGGGAAATTTGAAGGGAGTCTTCGTGAAGAGGCTCAAAGAGTCGGCGGCTTCCCTGCAGCAGGTGGTGGAGGCACTTGCTGGGCGCACGGCGGCTGAGGAGATGGCGCACCTGAGCACCGACAACGCTAGGCTCAGGAAGGAGGTCGAAAACCTCAAGTCGGAGCTCAAGGCCTACCGCCGAGAGTTCTCCGACATGCGGGCCGAAATGTCTGCGGCGAAGTCGGGCCCATCAGATGTAGTTGGCGGTAACTGGCTGGAGGAACTTAGGGCCTCCATAGTCGCCTCTGTGGGCACCTTAATCGATGGCCGATTTGCCGGCATCGAGGAGCGCCTTCTCCCAGAGAAGAGGATGCGGCCCCCATTGGCGGCGGATAGACGGCGTGAGGCTGCTGTAAGGGACACTGTCCCGGCTCCCTCTAGCGGGGTGCCTGCGCCGAGTGTCATGGCGGTGAAAGAAGGTACGGCGTTGGGCAAACGTAAGCCTGCTAAGAAAAAGGCGGCTGCTCCTGTGCGCCCAAGTCCGCCAGTGCAGGCGCCGTCTGTCTCGGCTCCTCCTCCTCCAGTCGCTGGGCCAAGTAACCCGGGGACGGCGGACCAAGAAACCTGGGCAACGGTAGTTCGGAAGGGGAAGGGGAAGGGGAAGGGCAAGAAAGCGTCCCCCCCCAGTGCTGCTAATAAAACGGCACCCCCAGCGAAGAGGGCTCCCCCAGCAAAGGAGGCTCCCCCAGGGCCATCGAAGCCAAAGGTGGCCGCACCAGCGCGTACTGCGGCGGTTATTTTAACGCTGCAGCCCGAGGCGGAGGCCAGGGGAGTGACGTATGCGAAGGTGCTCGAAAAGGCGCAGCAAGGGGTCAACCTCCCTGAGCTCGGGATCACGGGGGGTCTTTCGGTCCGAAGAGCCGCAACGGGGGCTCGCCTTCTGGAGCTCCCTTCCTCTGTCTCTGCGGAGGTGGCAGACCGCCTGGCTGAAAAGCTTCGCCAGGTGTTGGACGGTCTGGCGACAGTGGTGCGCCCGACGCGTAAATACTAGGTATTCGAGAAGATAATTTGTAACAACAAACAAAAAAAATTTAATATTTAATTGGACTTGGGCTAATTAAATATTTAAAAAAAAGTCTTTCAATAATGGAATTTTATTAATAAATAACATATTTTATTTTCTTATAACGCTCGAGCTTCGTTGGAAAAAATATCGTTAAGAGGTATGTCCTCTAATGTACATATACCTACCCACATGATATCTTGATTTTCATTCTTATTTTTTACTTTACATAAATAAATGTCCTAGAAATCGAATTAAAAAAAAGAAATAAAATATAACTTTGATCGATTCACATTTTTTATAAGACGTACTGAAATTAACGAAATGGAAACAATTATCTATTTTGAAAGTTACAAAGTTCAATTGAAATAAATGCGTGAGGATAAAATATTAGCTTTATTACGTTTCTCAGTTATCTATCTACCTGCCATTTACACAAGTATTGACATTAAAATAATATTGATAATGCAAATATCACGCTCTGTTCGATCTTATCAAATAATCCTTAAATATATTTTTTCATATTTTTTGGATTATTTCAATAACAAATAAAGCTATTTTTTCTTCCGTGGATAAAATATGTGAAAAAAATCTCGTTAATTTCTATGATACGCAAGGTCAAATTTTAAATTTTTACTTCACGATAACATTTACTTAATACTTATCTAAATAAGTTAATCTAAATGTTCTTTATTGCAATAAAATAAGATTGTGATTTGCTTATCTTTGTTTCAATATACATGATATCCCAGTTACAACGACAATGATAATTTATCAGGAGTCACAATAACTGTATGAACTATGTATGTATATACTATATATATATATATATATATATTGTACCTACATATAGCGTTATATAACATTCTATTTATCTCTTCATAAACAATGAATAATGCTATAAATTCAGGAATTCCGTATTAATTAGTAATCGATGATACTTACTTATTACTCATCAATGACACTCATTTATTACTTATCGATTAATTTAACTAAATACGCCAAAAAGGCACTAACGTTATTTTTTTATTCGAAACATTACACAATACACAGACAGCATCAAGCGTATAATATATTTATAGCCTTTTTTATTGATATTTTCTTTGTTTTTGATGAGATGCAATAACTTGATATAAGTAAATGCCTTAAAATGAAACAAAACTTGTTTATAAAAATATTTAATATTTGATAAGATAATATTCTGTACTTTACGAAATTATACTAAATTAATTATATATATATAAATATTAATAGATACAAAACAACTCGAGTACGAGTTTAGTAAGTTATATTTATTATATTTCGAGCTACAGCGCGAGTTTTATTAATTACATAAATAAAAAATATAACTCAAAATATATATGAAAATTAGTTCGATATCATTGTTAAAACATTAATAACATGAGTTTTTATAATTAAAAAAAGAATTATCTTAGGGAATTAGAATCTCTGGTTAGACTTTGCGTAGACTACCTACGTCCTTTCTATATAAAAAAGTGCTAGTTTAAATAAATTTAAAGGTAGGTAAGGTAGGGTAGATGGTAGTTTTGACGGTTGGTAAGCCTACTTAAATAATTATAATATGAGTACATACGTCAACAATGTTGCAATACTCATCTATACTTATAATAAATCTGTAGAGAGGTCAATTCTGTACATGAAATATATTTCCAAAATAACTATCAGGGGGTGATTAGGGATCGATACTGATGCTAAAAATGCAATCAGTAAAATTTTTGTCTGTCTGTCTGTATAACCGTTATAGAAACAAAAACTACTCGACGGATTTTAACGAAACTTGGTACAATTATTTTTCATACTCCTGAGCTGGTTAAAGTATACTTTTCATCACGCTACAATCAATAGGAGCAGAGCAGTGAAGGGAAATGTTGGGAAAACGGGAGAAGTTACTCCATTTTTTAAACTTCCGTCGCGTGTGCAACCTTAATGGTTAAAGCTACACAGAAATCATGTATGACGGAAATGTTTTCCTTAAAATTATATAAAAAATATCCCACGACAGCATATGTCTATCTTTTATGGTTGACTCACAATAACACGTGTAACTCCCGATAGCTTAGCAGTTCGAAGCTTTCTGATTTATATTTGTCTACTCTTACGTTTATAACACTCTCAGTCATCCCTAATTAAAAAAGATAACATTATTAACTATTCCATAAAAAAGAATCATAGAAATCGGTATAGAAACACCAAAGTTATACATGAAATACGCTAATAATAAGCCATTGCGAGTCAGGGGGATGTAAGAAGACAAATAGAACAAATCCAGATTTTTTTCAATTTTTTTGTTTCTCTGTCTGTTTGTCTGTTTGTATGGGCTAATCTCCGAATCTATTGGACCGATTTAAATGAAATTTTGCATGGTGGTACCTTATATCCCCGGACAATGTCTTAGATATTTTTTATCCCGGAAAATTAAATGGTTCCCGTGGGATAGTTAAAAAACTATTATAACTTATACAACTTATGCACCTAATGTAGTAAAATTTAACATTCTGATACCTTATATTGCCGGTCAAACAACAGGTTACTTTTCATCCGGGAAAAATGAACGATTCCCGTGGGAACTAATAGATTTCTATTAGTATTTTTCTAGAGGCGAACCCGAGCGAAGCGAGGGTGAGCCGCTAGTTACTAATAAAGTTAAGCTAGACTTATGTATAAAGGAGCTGTCTGGTGCGTCGTCTTCTGGAGCAGGTGTAGTTGTTGTACTGTCATCAGCTCCTTCAACGTGTTCTCTTGGCGGCGATATCTCCTCATCATCGGTAGTATACTCTCTTCCCCAAATAGCGAAAGAATATAAATCAGGTGCAGACTTGACCAATTTCAACGTGTAAATTGATAATGAGTCGAAAAATGATACTGAGTTAAAATTGAAATACTCAGGTTTTAATGGTTTAATAGTCTTGTCAAGAGACAAAGGAAAATAAGTTGCACTGTTCGCTGAAAGGTCTGTATTTGGTTTTGGGGTTGGTACTGTTGCTGTTATTGTAAGCTCTTCAAAAACTGCGGTCGTATTTGATGAAAATCTTGGGAATCTGCGAAAGTAATATGCTTTACGAATGCTTACTACTATTTTAACTATAGCTAATCCATATCCATACTAATATGAAATATTATAAATGCGAAAGTGTGTTTGTTTGTTTGGTTGTCTTTCTTTCACGTCGAAACGGAGTGACCGATTCGCGTGAGATATTTGAAGGGCTGGAGAGTGACATAGGCTACTTTTTACCGTGGGAGATTTATCTAATTCCCACAGGAGAACACATTATAATACAATCCAAAAAAATATTTATGATTAGAATTACTTGAAACTTGGTGAAACTCTTCAATAAAATTAAATAAATACGTGTTTTAGCATTTTTCGAAATCATCCTATAAAGGGGTAAAATAATGTATGAAAGTTTATATGAAACTACCTATTTAGAGATTATTCTGTAGTTTTAGCGCGAGCGAAGCCGCGGGTACTGCTAGTACTATATAAAAGTAAGTATGATTGTTTATATACTTTTGAAAGTAGTAAATCTAGGCTATAAATCTTGCAAATAGATGTGAAAAGAGCATATTTTCATAAAAATCTGTTCTGTAGTAATCACATGATAAACTCGCAACCAGACAAAAGTCAGAAAATTACAAAGATATTTCCAAAAAAACCGAATTCTACTACATTCCAAAAGTTTTCCAAAGAGTGCGAATATATTTACTACATAAAATCTGTCAGACCATATCCCTTACTATAGTGCATTTTTAGTTACAATGAATAATAAATATCCATATCTATACTAATACTATAAACTAGCGGCTCACTCACGCTTCGCTCGGGCTCGCTTCTACAAAAAAAAACAAATCTATCTCACAGGAACCTTACATTTTTCCGGGATAAAAAGTAGCTTTTTATTATTCTGATATATGAACTATATTATTATAAAGTTTTATTAAAATCCATTCAGTAGTTTATGCTTCAAAGAGTAACAAACATTCATACATCTACACATCCAGACGTACATACATCCATACATCCTCACAAATTTTCACATTTATAACATTACTATAGATGTGAAAGTTTATGAGGATATATGGATATTTGTTACTCTTTCATTCCAAAACGGTTGAAAGAATCTGGATGAAATTTGGCACAGAGATAGATTACATTCTGAGATTATAATTTGATTCTATCACAGAATATAGTGTGGAATAGCAAATAGGTTACTTTTTATCTCAGAAAAACTTACGGTTCCCGTGGAATAGATTTCTTTTTGATAAGGGACTAACTCGAAGCGAAGTGAGGGTGAATCGCTAGTACATACTAAATGGTTCAGTTCCAACCGCAATTTATTGAAGAATAACAATATTGTTGAAATTTTTTCAAGAAGTTATTAGAAAGAATCACCTTTTCCCACAAGTGTCGATATTATTTCCGGTGCAAGCGAACACGGAACAGACTCTGCTGCCTCCCGTCGCTTCGCCGATATATGACCGTACTCCGCTGAAGGCTCCCGCTCTGTATGTATACTTCTATAATTCCAAAATATATTGTATTATTTAACTAGATACCTATAATTAAGAATTTTGTTGGAATAGTAGTTAGCATGTACGGTTATAGACCCGGAGAACTTAGAGACAGTTTGGAATCTGGGGTCGGGTTAAGTATAGTTACTGGGTCATTTATACAAAAAACTCGTTATACTCGACTGCAATCGACATCGAGATACAAAATCAAAATTTTACATAAATTTTGAAGAGAAGATAATATGGCTAATGGCACCAATATATGACGATAAATTATAATTTGAATTTTGTATTCCGTTGCCATATCTGTTTTCTTTATAGCTATATAATAACTATTTTATTTATTTTATTTTTCATTTGATAGTTTTTTGATACAACTTACTATCAAATTTTAGAAATTGTAAGGCACTTCGGCGCTATTTCGCTTTTCGTGATATATAAATAACATATTTTTAAGAAATCTTAAGATATTAAAAGTCTTAACGGTGGAAACCGTCAGTAAAAATTATACATATACCTATATACCTATATATATATATATATATATATATATATATATATATATATATATATATATATATATATATTATTGTAATCAGCCCTTTTTAACCACGCTGACCAAGTGCGGGTTGGCGGACTTCACATATGTTTTGAAAACTTGCAAGGTTCTCTCAGAGATACTCAAGATGTTTTCCTTCACTGTAAGACAATCATAAGTGGTAATCATGTTCGAAATGATTCGCACATGAAAATATCAAAGGTGCGAGACCCGGGATCTGAACCATCCGCTTCACTCGTTTTCCAAGCAAGCGTATTACCGCTAGGCTACCAATGCCTTTAAAAAATATAGTAATATCAAAAATTTACATAAAAAAACTAATAAAAGACAGGGCTGGGAACCAGTTAAAAAACGGTAAATTACAAATAAACCGGTTAAAGAACGTAACCTTAATCTTAAACCGAAAAAAAATACAAAACGGGTCAATGACCAAACGGTTTAAAAATTGAACGGGTTCCCGAGCCCTGATAAAAGAACCATATTGAACCTAAACTATATATATATATAATGATAAACAGAAAAACTATTTGTTTTGGTAAACTTTATTAAAATTACGTCAAAATTAATATAATAAAATATGAGTATGCATTGAAATTTCATAAAAATAATTTATTATTTATACACTTTAAATAATGCAACAAAAAACTTTAAAAAAATCAATAATAAAGCGTTATAGACCAGGGCTCAAGGTTTTGAAAATGGTAAAAAGTGAAAAAAATTGTAGGATGAAACCCATAAGAAAAGGAAGAAAATATAACAAAAATGAAAGAAAAATAATTTACGGGCGATCTGAGGTCGAGAAGTGGAAGGGAGTGAGTTTTTAAGGGTAAAAAACGGCTTATCTCGATTTCCGGTTAAACTACAAGTCCTATGGAAAAAAAGTTAAAATGCAAAGTTGTAGGTAGCTCTTCGTATTCAAAATTCCTTAAATATCATTATTTTAGAAGTTATTACCAAAAACTAAATACCTTTTTTTTTAAATCTTATTTTGTTAATAAAAATCGCATTTTTTAATGTGCTATTATACCCTTAAAAACATTTTTCTAGACGTCATTCCGAATAGAATGAGCTATCGCACATATTTTTAGGAGCCTTATTTCTATTTAACACGATTTTGAACTTGTTGACTAGACTACTTTTTATGGGCTAAAATTTTCCGTAGGTCACTCAGAATATAAGTTATCTTAAAATAGCAATAAATAGACATCTACCCATATAATTTACAGAAGATTCTACAACTTTCTCAAAATATTGTAGATGTCTTATTAAATATTAACTTTATTAATTGCATTTTGTTCATTAAAAGTAAAGTTCTTAGGACTTCAGTTAAACTTATTATTTCTAAGTGAAAGCAGATAGTAAACTATGTCTTCGCATTTCAATGTGCTGTTATAGTGTCTGCTGTATGACGTCATTTGAATTTCCAACGCTGTAATTTCTTTTCTTCCGTTATTGGGAAATCTGAAACAAAATTAAGTATTTTTAACAATTATTATTTACTGATAAAAACTATAAAATATTGAAGTCGTATATTATAAAAATATGTAAAATTTTACATTATCAAGACACATTATGCCTGAATATCAATTACAAATTGCTAGTAATAGCAATAATCCAACCCATGCAAAATCGAATGCGCGACCTCCAGAAATGCCGCTAAACCAGGAATAAGCTCGATGGTAATAAATACATATTTACCTATATATAACCACAGCTTTTAATATCTAAGCGACTCTCGTGCATCTCACAGTACCGACTGGCCGCTTCGCGTACACGTTCACTCCATCTGCTACAATGCTCTGTAATATGGCGCCTGAAATATATTTTTTTATTATAATGTTCGTATATATTTGTATTTACATGTAAATATTATTATATACATGTTTAAAAATATACAGGGGCTCGTGGGAGAAAGCTTCCTTTTTCCTCTTGGCAATTGCTGGTTCGATTACTGCGAACGACAAATGCCGTACAAGTAGTTTATTTGACAGTTTATTTCACAGGACCCTGATAAAGGCAACCTAAGTGGTAACCGTTGAGTATATAGCGTAATTTATTTTGCTATTTTCTCGGAATTTAAAAGGTCTTTAAAAGACGAAGTCCATATTTATCAGGTGCATTTATAAATACAATTGAAGTGTCTGTACTGGAATTCTTTTTTTTCGGTGAAAAGCGACTTATGGTACCTATCTGGTATATACCTGGCATATTTAATCCCGAGAAGATTCCAAGTAGGTAAAGAAGAAAAAGATTCCCGTGGGATAGAGGAACAAAGTAAGAGCTTTATGATATTTAGTTGAAGATGAATTTTTAGCTTTAAGCTTCGGGAGAAGCGAAGAAGTATTCTAAGATATTAGAGATAAGTAGGTTTTATCTAGTCCCTTATTAGGTATTCCCTACTTACCTATCTAGCACCTACCTAATGAGCATTAAAAGCACTCACTTGTAAGGTATATAATCCATACATTTTAAGTAGTAATAAATTTGACTTACCTTATAGAAGTAAATTTTATTAGTTAATGTCATGCACTTGAACAATTTTTATTTAATTTAAAAGCCAAATATAACGTGTTAATAACAATTATGTTTAAAATGCACATGCGTCAAAATAAAATGCATATTTAGATATAAAGTCACTTGTGCAATAAATAAAATTTATTTTATAATTTAACGTTTAAGTTCCTTATATTACAATTAAGTTCATTTTTTGCCAAGTTTGAGTCAGTCCTAAACCAATCACAATCTTTTTCATTGGTAAGTAAAATATGTCTATACGTAAAATTATAGGTATCTTCTATTGTGTTCATTTGTTGCTAAAAAATGTACACTAAAACTAACTGACTAACTATAACTATGTATTTAGATTGTAAATTTTCACCAAATAGTGAACTCTACATTCTCTTATTTCTATGAATCTTTTACACCCGCCTGCGAATTTAGATAACTCCACAAGGGAACTTATTTAGAAAATAAACTGTAATCCCGTATGACAGAATGTAAGTTTTTTATTACGTTCCTTAAAATTAAACATTCAAATAATTTAGAACATTATTTAAATAAAGCAAAATGCCATGCGGAGCAGTGGCAAAAACTTATCAATTTTTTTTATTTTGATTGTCAATACTTGCTGCATTTTTCGATAAACAACCCTTCTGTGAGCTAACATTATTCACATATTATAATCTTTGTTTTTAATGAAAATTCGTTTAAGTATTTTTTATTCAGCCAGAATCATTGTGCTGCAAGTTTAGAAAAAAATGGCTACGGTTTATACTACGTACTTTACCTAAGACCAGAAACTTCATTCAAACTAAATATTCTACACAGTCTCATACAAAGCTTGGGCAATATTTAATAGTTATGCACTAAATATACACATGCAAACCCATGGACTAGCTAATAGCTAGTATGTATATAACACTTACCGTGTCACTATGTCTTTCACTCATATGTATTTTAAATCGGCAAACAACGTCTTTGTCTATCAGCGTGAATTCCTCGAGACCTGGCTTAATAAGACGCGTGACGTACGATGGTAGAGAGGGATCACTTCTCAGCACTAAACTGTCTAACACTAAGGGACCGTCGTTCATTGGTCCTGGGTAGTCACCTTCCACCTGTAATAAATTATATATATTGAAAATTTAATGCTATCCTATTTTTATTTACCATTAACATTAATGCGAAAGTTTGGTCACGATAGATTGCTGAATGAAATTCAGTATACTGATCATGTAAGCCCATAGGGGAATCTGTTGTTCCTAGGCCAGTTTTTTACACTTCCTTTTAGAGATATACACAACCTAATCCCTCAACGACCGCGGACACGCCGGCGTTACAGTTACAACAATAGATTTCTTAAAAATTTAATTAATTTCTTAGAAATTTACCTGGAGGTGTAAAGAGACATTTTTTTCAAAGATTCATTCATTCATTCACATTCATCATTCACACCCTTTCAGAATATAAGTAAAGTTAATACAACAGCAATATCTGAATTTGCATACATTTAATATTAACTGTAAACAGTGTGAGAGTAGAGAACAATTCTGGGCGTGTACTCTTTCTATAATAATGGTAAATTCAAATAGAAAAATATATTGATTACCTGACCAGGTACTTTGGGTACTCGAGACACAAGTAATTTCGTTGTTGATATTCCTGGCATAATGCTAACTAAAGCTCCAGCTTTTCCCGAATAGATTCCTGAACCTGTAAAATAAAAACACCGAACTTTAAAGTTAAATATCTATTTGTTTTTCTATTGTTATAGTCATATTTGGAATAAATGTGAAGAATCATATTTTATTTTAAAATCCTATGGCACAAGTTTAGAATAGGGGTCATTGCCCCTGGTAGAGTGGGTGGTATTTCTGGATAGGGGACGTGATAGGGAGTCGAAATGTTAAATAAAAAATTTTCCGGAAACGTACGAGTAAAAAGTTATTGAGACTTAAAGTTACAACATTTCCATACATTTTCATATATTTCTTTACCACCATTCGGAGTGGGTGGTATTTTTAGATAGGGGAGGTGACAGAGAGTCAAAATATATTAAAAATATTTGGAGGAAACGTACGAGTAAAAAGTTATTGAGACTTAAAGTTATAACATATCTTTACCTAAATAAGTGATTACAACAGATAAACATACCTTTAACGAATAGTACGCATCCTTTTTTATGTACAATACATATTTTCACAACAATTAATGCTTTATTGTATTTAATATTTTAATAATTTCACAACACAAACAAAATGATCTTACATTTTGACAAAAGCAAAACTGTCACTTTGTTTTATATTACCGCTTAAATGACAACAGATTATATTTGATTATTTTTGCTTTTTCTGTTGGTAATATTAATAAATAAATAAAAAGAAAAATATTATTTTCACTTCATAAATACATTATTTATTTATTATTCGTCATATCTTGGTTAGGTTAGGTTAGAACATTTAAGATTATTTATTTATTATTCCTCATATCTTGGTTAGGTTAGGTTAGAACAGTTCTCAGGGCAGTTGCTGGACTGCTACTGGGCGCGTCCCCCGGGTGGCGGATAGGGGAATGCCACCACATTGGTGGTACCGGTCTTGACCGGCGCGGACCAAAACCAGTAGGCATGGGCGTGCCTTTAAGGGTTTGTTAACCCCACGGCCTAAGGGAGCACACCCTGACAGAAAAGCGCGAGGTGGGGCGGGTCCGGCGGGTGCTTAATTGCGCAGCCGGACAAGCACCAGGGTGCACCCCCCCTCAACTCGTAATCCCGGTTCCTGGTGTCGTTGATCACGTCTAGCGGCCGGGACTGGGACCGAGGGCCTTGGCTTTACCGCCTGGGCTGCGAGGAAGAAAACCTCTCTAAAAAATTACCCCAATCCCAAGCGGAGAAGCAGCGCGAGGGGATGCATGGCCGATGGGATGATCGGTCCCTACTGCTTCCCCCGCCAGAGTACCGGCCGACACTCTGGGCGGGTTATTGAAGGCTTATCCGGGTGCAGGGGGCACCGCCCGGATGGACGGGTTATATCCCCCATACTCGTGGGATTCAAAAATGGAAAATCTTAACAAACAAAAAACCCAAACCTTTGATGTGGAGCCCGTGATGGGCGGTGAATTGACGGTGCCTGTGACTGGCGTAGTTGTTGGTGAGCCTGCGATGGGCGTAGTATACGATTCGGATGGGTCTATGTTCTCGTCCGTTTCTTCAACGTTGGGCCGTAAGAGGCCTCGTGCTGTGCCGCTTTTGGCGTCGTCCTCCGGGTCTGAGACCGAGACGGAGTCGACCTCGAACGCCAGGGCGACGGAGGCACGTAGGGGGAAGACCTTCAAGGGTCCGGGGGGTTCTGGTCTGGTGCGTTCACGGGCGGATCTAAAGAAGCTCGAATATGAGGCCAAAGAGAAGGCCTTTGAGGAGACTTTGAAGAAGAGGGCATTCCTCAAGGAGGGTCCCTCTCAACCTGTGGAGAAGGGGTTGTCGGCCTCTGTTGCCCCCTCTCCCATTGATGTGGCCGGAATGCCGGCTGAGGAATTGAAGTCGGTTGCTGGAGCAAGTGTTGCGGCAATTCTAGAGGTGGCCGCTAAGTCGGGAAATTTGAAGGGAGTCTTCGTGAAGAGGCTCAAAGAGTCGGCGGCTTCCCTGCAGCAGGTGGTGGAGGCACTTGCTGGGCGCACGGCGGCTGAGGAGATGGCGCACCTGAGCACCGACAACGCTAGGCTCAGGAAGGAGGTCGAAAACCTCAAGTCGGAGCTCAAGGCCTACCGCCGAGAGTTCTCCGACATGCGGGCCGAAATGTCTGCGGCGAAGTCGGGCCCATCAGATGTAGTTGGCGGTAACTGGCTGGAGGAACTTAGGGCCTCCATAGTCGCCTCTGTGGGCACCTTAATCGATGGCCGATTTGCCGGCATCGAGGAGCGCCTTCTCCCAGAGAAGAGGATGCGGCCCCCATTGGCGGCGGATAGACGGCGTGAGGCTGCTGTAAGGGACACTGTCCCGGCTCCCTCTAGCGGGGTGCCTGCGCCGAGTGTCATGGCGGTGAAAGAAGGTACGGCGTTGGGCAAACGTAAGCCTGCTAAGAAAAAGGCGGCTGCTCCTGTGTGCCCAAGTCCGCCAGTGAAGGCGCCGTCTGTCTCGGCTCCTCCTCCTCCAGTCGCTGGGCCAAGTAACCCGGGGACGGCGGACCAAGAAACCTGGGCAACGGTAGTTCGGAAGGGGAAGGGGAAGGGGAAGGGCAAGAAAGCGTCCCCCCCCAGTGCTGCTAATAAAACGGCACCCCCAGCGAAGAGGGCTCCCCCAGCAAAGGAGGCTCCCCCAGGGCCATCGAAGCCAAAGGTGGCCGCACCAGCGCGTACTGCGGCGGTTATTTTAACGCTGCAGCCCGAGGCGGAGGCCAGGGGAGTGACGTATGCGAAGGTGCTCGAAAAGGCGCAGCAAGGGGTCAACCTCCCTGAGCTCGGGATCACGGGGGGTCTTTCGGTCCGAAGAGCCGCAACGGGGGCTCGCCTTCTGGAGCTCCCTTCCTCTGTCTCTGCGGAGGTGGCAGACCGCCTGGCTGAAAAGCTTCGCCAGGTGTTGGACGGTCTGGCGACAGTGGTGCGCCCGACGAAAAATGGGGAGGTGAGGGTAACTGGCCTGGACGACTCGGTCACCAAGCAAAAGGTGGCCGATGCAGTTGCACTTGCGGGGAAGTGCCCTGTGAGTTCCGTCTGGGTCAGTGAGATCCACAAAGGGAAGGGTGGGATGGGCACGGCGGTAGTCAGGTGCCCGGTTACGGCGGCCAAGACGATGGCTGATGCGCGCAGACTGTTGGTCGGATGGTCATCGGCCAAAATTGAGGTCCTAGAACAGCGACCATTGCGCTGCTTCAGGTGCTTGGGCATAGGGCACACTTTACCCCTGTGCCCATCGAAGGTGGAAAGGGGGCGCCTTTGCTACCGCTGCGGCAGTGAGGACCATCTGTCCGCTGCCTGCAAAGCGAAGACCCCGCGCTGCGCCGTTTGCGCTGATGCCGGGCGCCCCTCCGGGCATGTGATGGGTGGCCGTGACTGCAAGCCACCCGTCACGAAAGGCAGGGCGGCTCATCAGACCAGAGCCGCCCCTAGTGATGGAAGCCGCCAGGCTGGGGAGGAAGCGCAGATGTCAACGTAATGCCCAGACATCTTCAGCGCTTCCTCCAGGCGAACGTCAACCACTCGGCTGGAGCGCAGGACCTGTTGCTGCAGTCCATGGCCGAGTGGGAAATTGACATAGCGGTGGCTTGCGAGCCCTACTTCGTCCCTACCCAGTCGCAATGGGTGGGGGACTTAGAGGGTTCCGTGGCTATAGTGTCTGGGAGCAGCACCGGCCCCCGTCTCTCGGCAATCGAGAGGGGCCAGGGACTAGTCGTGGCAGGGTGGGGAGAGTACGCGATCGTAGGAGTGTACTTCTCCCCCAACCGCAGTCTGGCGGAGTTTGAGGTTTTTCTCGATTCCGTCCGCGCTGCGGTTGGTAGGTTGTCGCCGAGACCAACAATCGTCCTCGGCGACTTCAATGCCAAGTCCCTGGCTTGGGGGAACCCCACCACGGACAATCGTGGACGAGCCGTCCAGGTGTGGGGCCTACTCTCCGGGCTGTCCCTCCTCAATGTGGGGACGGCATTCACTTGCGTGCGGCAGCAGGGGGGGTCTGTGGTGGACCTAACGTTCGCCACCCCCGACGTCGCGCGCAATGTGATAAACTGGAGGGTAGAGGTGGAGGTGGAGACCCTGTCGGACCACAACTACATCCGATTTGAGGTCTCCACCCGTCCGGTGCCAGTGGACCGCCCAACGGGGCCCTCTCGTGCGTTCCCCAGGTGGGCCCTTGGCCGGCTCGATCCTGAGCTGCCCCGGGAGGCGGCCATTGTGGAAGCGTGGTGCTCCCAGGGGAGTGTGGTGGGCGCCGGCTCCGAAGTGGAGGAGCTGGCTGGCCGCATGCGCGACGCCCTCACAAGGGTCTGCGATGCGGCCATGCCGCGAGTTAGGCGGCACGACCGACGTCGCCGGTGTGTGTACTGGTGGTCGCCCGAAATTGCAGGACTCAGGGCGGCCAGCAGTAGGGCCAGGAGGGCATATGTCCGGTGCAGAAGGAGAAACGGCCTGGACCCTGAACTGGAGAGCGAGCTGCGGCAGGCCTATAAGTCTGCAAAAAAGGCCCTGCAGCTCGCTATAAGCCAGGCCAAGGCGGTGGCCCGTCAAGAATTGTTGGCGGGCCTCGACAGGGATCCGTGGGGGCGCCCTTACATCAGCGCGCGGAACAAGCTCCGCGCGCATGGCGCCCCGGTCACGGAGACCACGCCGCCCGATGTTCTCCTTCGGCTTGTGGGAGGACTGTTTCCGGAGTCGTCGGGTCACAACCCCCCAGTGATGGCTCCTCCCTCATTCCACGAGGGAGTTGAGGAAATCCCCCCGATCACTGAGGGGGAATTTAGCCTGGCCCTCGACAAACTTCGGGCCAGGCGGAGGGCTCCGGGACCGGACGGTATTCCGGGGCGGATTCTAACCATCGCCCTGGAATACCTGGGAGGGGACCTTCGGGCTCTGTTCAACGCATGTCTTCGTGTTGGGCAGTTCCCGAAGGTCTGGAAGGAGGGGAGATTGTGCCTACTGCCCAAGGAGGGTCGTCCTCTGGACTCTCCTTCGGCGTACAGGCCAATCGTGATGCTGAGTGAAACGGGCAAACTCTTCGAGAGAATTCTCGCTGCCCGTATCACTCGGCATCTGGAGGAGGTGGGGCCGGGCCTTTCAGAGGCTCAGTTCGGGTTCAGGGCGGGAAGATCAACGGTGGACGCCCTGAACGCCCTGAAGGTCCGGTCCTTGGCCGCAGTGGAGGAGGGAGACGTGCTCTTAGCCGTCTCGGTAGATGTGGCCAACGCCTTCAACACCCTGCCGTTTGAGACTCTACGAGAGGCACTACGCTATCATCAGGTGCCTCTCTATCTCCGGCGGGTGTTGGACGCGTACCTCCATGACAGGCAGGTCATGTGGATGGGGGCAAATGGGGTGGTCGGTCGGCGACGTGTCGACTGCGGGGTTCCACAAGGGGCCGTTTTGGGCCCGGTACTGTGGAACCTCGGCTACGATTGGCTCCTGCGGTGTCCGCTCCTTCCCGGGCTGGCTGTCATCGCCTACGCTGATGACACCCTGGTGACGGCCCGGGGTCGTTCATATGAGGAAGCGGCACGCTTGGCCACAGTCGGCACAAATCTGGTCGTCGACCGGATTGGGATGCTGGGCCTGAGGGTCTCCATAACCAAAACGGAGGCCCTCCTTTTCCATGGCCCACGCAAGGGTGCCCCTAGAAATGCCTGCCTGCGCGTCCAGGGGAGGATGGTGGAGGTAAAGGCCCAAATGAAATATTTGGGCCTGACCCTGGACGCTCGCTGGACGTTCCGTGTCCACTTCGCCCAGCTCACCTCGAAATTGATGAGCGCCGCCTCGGCCCTCGGCAGACTTCTGCCGAACGTCGGGGGCCCTGGATCTCCTTGCCGGCGGCTTTATGCCGGCATCGTGAGGTCCATGGCACTGTACGGTGCTCCTGTTTGGATTGACGCCCTCGCTGCTGAGAACAGGGCCCAATTGCGCAGGGCGCAGCGGGTCCTGGCGGTGAGGGCGATACGGGGGTACCGTACGGTGTCCTATGAGGCGGCGACGCTTCTGGCGAGCGATCCGCCCTGGGAACTCCAGGCGGAGGTGCTCGCCGAAGTGTACCAATTTCGGGCGAGTGAGCGTGGGCGCGGGGAACGTCCAGCGTGGGAGGGAGTCGCTCGGATCAGGCGCCTAGCTGACGAGGCCCTGATCCGGCGCTGGAGGGAAGATCTGGGGACTCCGGCGGCTGGCCTGGCGACGGTGGGTGCGGTTCGTCCGTACCTGTCTCGCTAGGTCAGGAGGCCACACGGCGTCCTGACGTTCAGGCTGACACAGATGCTTACCGGGCACGGGTGCTTTGGTAGGTATCTGTGTCAGATTGCACGTCGGGAACCGTCGCCCGTATGCCACGAGTGTGGTGCGTCCGAGGACACCTCGCACCACACCCTCGCGGTATGCGCCGCATGGACTCCCCAGCGCTATGCCCTGATGGCGGTAGTGGGTGGAGACCTTTCGTTGCGAAGCGTGGTGGGGGCCATGCTACGCGACGCGAGGTCCTGGTCGGCGATGGTCTCCTTCAGTGAGACCGTCATCTCACTGAAGGAGACGGCGGAGAGGGAACGCGAGGCTAACGCCTTAGCAGACCCTCTTCGTCGCCGTCGGCTGGGGGGGAGGAGGCGCCGGTATGCGCATCTTCTCCCGCCACCCTAGAGGAGCTACTGCGGGGGGGTCTCTCGTTGACTCCCCTGCACGTCATCGGGGCGGTCGGGATGCCCTGCGAACCGAGGGCATCCTGATTTAGGCGAGGCTGGCCCGCGTGGTACGGGCCGTCCGCAGGGGTGTTGCAGTGAATGCGAAAGCGATCCTGCACGCCCCATTGCACTGCGGCGAAGGGTTCCGCTGTGGGTTTTAGTGAGTAGGAGTCTCACAGTACCCTGCCCATGACGGCGGCAGGGTCCCCATGATGGGTTTCCCCAGCGAAAAAGAAAAAAAAAAAAAAAAAAAAAAAAAAAAAAAGGTTAGAACAGTTGCCACAACGCCATAAATGACTAGAAAACTAGAAAATTCGAATTTCACGCCAAGTACAAATAAAGACAATCATCTGGAGATCATTTTGATAATTGAAAGTGACGTTTTGACATTTCCAAGTGTCTAAATGGTAGTAATGTCAAAATAATGTATGGAAATGTTGTAACTTTAAGTCTCAATAACTTTTTACTCGTACGTTTCCGGAAAAAATTTTATTTAACATTTCGACTCCCTATCACGTGCCCTATCCAGAAATACCACCCACTCCGCCAGGGGTAATGTCCCCTATTCTAAACTTCTGCCAATCCTATTTCTTGTTTTTAGTATCAGCTCAATATTTAAAGCTTTAAGCGTTACAATAATTGATAATTTTGAACTGTTAACGTTCTATAAGCATTAAGTTTTAAGGCCGTTTATTTCTGATTTGTCAATTGCTCTAAAACTATTTCTCTTAACGGTCTTCCATTTCTCCCAAAAATTCTATTCTATGTATCTTTTGTAAATTATATTTCACCTTATTTCACTTGCACAAGCATGACAAAAACGCAAGCAGACTAAAAATCATTAAACGGTTTAAATCGTAAAGTATGCAAAAAACTTGATATACATTATACATACATTTAAAAATACTACATGTCTTCAGATGTGTCGGGTAAAAGTACAATAAGCTACAAACCTCCATTTCCAACTCGCACATTGTTCGCACCAGCCCCTAAAAAGTTCACATTCATTACGTACGCGTACGCCTCTTGGATTTGTACAGCTGAAAAATAAGTGTTCCTGTTTTCAATGTTGCATTATTTATTAAAAATCCAAATAATATATTGTTACATTCTATGAGTTCGGGGATCGAGAAATTAAAGCACGTCTTTTGCACGACTGATGTTTTATTGCTCTCACGGGGACAAATGTTCTTTGTGAGAAGAATTATGGATGATGAGGTGGATGTTATGTCTCTGGGTTCTGTTAATTTTAACAGAGACAGAACATCCACCAATGTGGTACATTTGTAGTTGGTTCTTTAGCGTAGGTAGACTAAGTTAATTGTACACCATATAAATATAAATACAACATATAAATTCAATAGAAATTATAAATGAGCAAATTCTTTGTCCACGTGAGTGTAGCCGTAGGCAAAAAGCTATAGCAAAATAAGAATGTGTGCCATTCTTATTATTTATATATGTAACTTAAACAAGAAGGACTGTAAGCTTCAGGTGTGCATATCATTGGGTCTTTAAAAATAACGTAGATGTTAGCCTGTTTGTATATTAGTTATAGTTAAAAAGCCCATATTAGCCTAGTTATATGATTCTAAAGTCGTAAACATTGTAAACGAGTTGTATCATTGTACTCTTTTACTCCAAATACAGGAAGATGGAGTAGAAAAATGTGCAAAAAATACGGGGCAGTGGAGCTTGCTTCATACCTAAAATGAAACTTGATTTACAGAATATACCTACGTTTAACTTCTTTAAAAATACTGATAATTTTTTTGAGTTAAGATCGCTTAACTTATTTTTTTCCATATATCTTTAAAAATAATATGAAACACGAACTTATTTTTGCAAATAATGAAGTATGTATTGCGAAAAACTTTTTTTTTCGGTAGTTTGCTCGCGATAGCAAAAGCTAGTAAAACATAATAATATTTCACGGGAACCGTAATTAAGGTACCGGAACAAAACAAGCCATGTTAGTATAATCTATAATCTAGACAATAAACTATCCCTGTGCTAAAATTATTAATGTTGGCTTGCTGCCACGTTCTTGCGTGCAGCAACAAAAACAAACAAACTTTTGTAATCATACGTCATATTAGTAAATATAAAAGAAATGAGTTTGAACATTTTTGGGGTGCAGTAAGAACCAAATCAACAATTATTGATAATATATTAGGTATCGCTCGTGCGTATCAACCGGTAGAGTAGATCTAAAGATACTACTTTAAATCAACGCACTCTCAAAAAAGGTAATATCACAATTGCCTGGTGACTACTAGTAGGCAGGAGCTAATAAAGTTTAAACTTACCGGTTAAATAAGGCATTTCGGAGTACCACTTGGTAGTGAAGATGACATCAGTTACATTATACTTTAGCACGACTTGTACCGCTGGCACTTGGTACATTATGTCGAAGCAGATGAAGTGACCAAAAGTGATACCAAAATCTGTAGTAAAGATACCCAAGTCTGGAGTCAAAGTGGCCGTACGATTGACTTCACCGAAGAGATTTATCTTGCGATATCTAAAAATAGGAAATTAACTTTTACTCGATTTGAGTGTGGTAAATGGGCACTTCATGAATCCGATCCATATTTTTGAAAGAATCATAAAATTATAAAATGTTTAAGTTATTTACCAAATATAAAACCCTCAAACAAATCAAGGTATTTAAAATGTTCACCTTTTATTCAAGAGGCAGATTTTACACAAAAGATTTAAAAAAAAACAACGAATGCAGAAAAGATACATTTTTATGTATAATTTAGTATAATACGAGTATTATGAGTATTAACTAATAACTACTTTGTTAGTCAATTATGTAACTGCCAGTAATCAGAAAATCGCAAAAAGAAACACACATGATGCCTCCCTCTTGCCTAGAAGATGACGACATGTGTCGATCTTGCGGCTGATCTCTCCACGAGTATCGGAACCTTTTCACAGCCTACAAGAGTAAGGAACTATAAAAGGTTCTAAGTCTTTGCACACAAGTTTGTGCTCTATACTCATTAGTATATCTCTTGGGTAATAGTAAAATAGATAGGTCTTAGTAAAATATTACTGTTATATTTAAGTTTAGGTATATCATATAGTATATTGTATTATAGTTCTTGGAACGAAGTTCTTTATCATACGTTATATTCGGCACACTTGGCGAATGAGAGCTAGACGGAAAAAAGTGTAATATCTCAACCGTCACGACAGGTTTTATTATTTACTAAGAGTACCTCATGTTAAGTCATCATAAGTACCAGGCGAACAAGGAAGTCAAGGAATGTGTGTTGTCAAATATGCGTGCATTCTGTTGTAGGCCTTTATTGAGCTTCAACATAATGTACATTGCTTGATGTTTATGATAATTGATACTCTAGTACTCGTGACAATTTTATGACCTAATTCTTGAACTAAGGGCAGACAGCAAATTAATCTTCTTTTGTACCGGGTGTCCCACGACACCTCTCTTGGTTTTTTTATTACAAAACTTAGGTACCTGTCGATAACTGCACCAGCCCTATCAAACACAACGTTGGTGTTAAACACGTAATTTTTATTCTCAGGGCAGTTTTCCCCGGTTGCCTCTATAGTGCAATTTAAAAACTCTTGTACGTTAATCACTACATATATCTGATGATGCCGCGCAGCTGACGATATTGATACCAAGACCTGAAAGTTTATGAATAAATATTGTAAATTTTAAATAAAACTATCTTTTCGGATTTTTGGTTCCCGACGTTTCGAATGCTTTACAGCAATCATGATCACGGGACCTATTTCCTGAATATTATTTATATAAATAAGAAAAAGCAAAGGTCCCAAAATTGAACCTTGAAGTACACCACATGTTATTGATGCTTGACTACTTTGATTTTCACCTATTTTTACTATTTGAAAGCGATTTAAAAGGTACCGGTTTACGGTAAGTTACGGTTTTAAAGGTAAGGTAGTAACATATATGGATGTATTATACCATCCTCTTGATTACTCTATCTATTAAAAAACCGCATCAAAATCCGTTGCGTATTTTTAAAGATGTAAGCATACATAGGGACAGACAGACAGCGGGTAACGACTTTGTTTTATACTTGTAGTGAAGAATTAGGAATAATAAAAATAGACCCAGATAAACCTTTGTGGATCGCCCATTACAAAAAAAGCATTAAAATTAATATTATTACAAAATAGTGAACTAGAGACAGACACTATACATTATGCAGTTAAATTACAAAAGTATATGTTAAATCATTTAAAAATATATATGTATGTATAGCTGGTTTCCTAATACAATCTTCCATCCCCATTTTCACCCCCTTAAGGGATGATTTCCAGGATAAAAATCCTATGTCCTTCCCAGCGTCTCAAGCTATCTCCTCACCAAATTTCATATAAATCGGTTCATTAGATCCAGAGATTACCCCCTACAACGTCACTATATATATATATATATATATATATATATATATATCGGAAACAGCACCAACGATTTTCATGAAATTTAGTATTTTCATTTGCATTATTCCACGCAAAATATGGGCGGTCATTTGCACGCTCGGGCATAAGCATCGTGGGCAAGCGGCCAAGGTGCAAGATTAACAATCACAGGTATCCAGGTTCGAATCTCGGTCGCGTACAAAGTTTTTACTTTTGTTTTTTTTAATATTTATTCAAGTCTTTAGTTTTTTTTTTTTTAAAATTGTACTTTAGGCCAAAACCTCCGAGCGAAGCTCGGTAGCCCAGCTAATAATAGTATAGATATATACTTAAATATATTATATGTTTGTAAAATGTAAATGCCATTTCTAACTTCGCCAAATAATTCCGGTTGTAACGCTGGAATAGGGTGTTCCTTGAGCAAGCCATTGATTGGCACAACTACGGTCTCGCGATTGGAGATCGCTAGTTCAGGAAACACTATGATATCAGCATTCTGTAAAACGCATTATGTAATGTTTGTTATTATTACAAGTAAAATATTACAACATAAAAACCAATCTAAATATACACGTTCTTTAAACACCTGTTACATGTGCCACCCCTATTTTTAATTAGACCAACTATACAATAATCTAGCCGTCCACATGAAACATTTATGAAATTTCAACAGTACCTATAGCTACACTAGTCTCCGAATTTTTATTGGGATATACGGGTATACAGACAGATGAAAGAAAAAGAACTTTATCCAGTTGTTTAGCCTATATAGTGTGTATATTGTTTTGCTTCAGCTAAATATATATGTATAAAAATACTCTTTGTTTTTTCTATTGCATGTTGTAGACTGTAGTGTGAAGCTACTTACTTACAGGGCTAGCTACTTACTTAGTTATCACTTGGTACTTCATAAGTAGCAAAACGCGCAATTCAAAGCAAAATTAGAATAAATCCATTTTCTATCTATCTTTTTACCTGCTCAGCAGCATCTCCTATTATATTCATGTAATTTTGTAAATTAGTGGCTGAGTTAGACTGCAGTTCGTACGCCACCACGGCTGCAACGTAACTGTTATCTTCTGGAGTCGATCGCTAGAAATAAAAAATGCTCTTACTTTATATACATATACACACAGTTCTTACTGCAGATTTTTACTATTTCGTGATCTAAATATTAAGTAGTTACGAGCACTAATAGGAAATATTTGTAATAATAATAAATAGGTATATTATATTCTAGCGACTCACCCTCGCTTCGCTCAGGTTCGTCCCTAGCTTGCTTCCCAATACAAACTTTCATCTCAGGTTCTCAAACTATGTTCTTACCAAATTTCATCTATATCGATTCAGTAGATCCAGAGATTACCACCCCCTACAACCTCACAAACTTACTAACTTTATAATATTAATATAGATAGATATTACTAATGACTAATGAGTAATAATTGTTCCGAGGTCGAAAATCAACCATACTCGTATTTCATTAAATCATTAAGTTTAAACATTATTAAGGTGCTCGGGAGAAATTAGTATTTGATAATTTTTTACCTCTAATACCACTGACAACCTCTGACTACGTGTTTGAATTTAATCTATTGTAATTCCTCCTTAAAGTTTGCTTTGCAATGACCATTAATATATCTCAGGGCCAGTCGTTTAAACAGAACATTCTTCAATATGGTATATTTGTGGTTGTTGTTTAGCGTAAACTAAGTTAAGTGAATCTAGAGTGGTTATATAAATGAACACATAATATAAAAAAATCTATATGACAACATATAAATTCAATGGAAATGAAATCTGAGCAAATTTTTTAGTCCACGCGAACATATCCGCGGGCAAAAAGCTATAGCAAAATAAGAATAGCACTTTATACCTATATGTAACTTAACAAAAGGACTGTAAGCTTCAGATGTATGTACATATCGTTGGGTCTTAAAAATAACGTAGACTTTAGTATGTTAGTTAAAAAACCAATATTAGCCGAATTACATGATTCTAAAGTCGTCAACATTGTATACGAGTTTTATCATTGTACTCTTTTACTATATATTGTGAAAGATGGAGTAGAAAAATTTGCAATAAATAGATACAATGGAGCTTGCTAATTACCTAAAATGAAAATTTATTTATTTAAAACAATTTTAGCTTCAAATAAATGTTTTTTCTTACGTTATAATTAAAGAAAATAACAAATATACTTAACTATATACAACATATACAAAACAAATGTACACTTAGTTATTACTGTATAAGTTATGTCCGCGTGGAATAGTGTCAAGAATGCTAGCCGTAATCCCCCGTTGAATGGCAGTGCCGATTCTTTGGGCAAAAATTGGCGTCTTTGAAGTGCTTTGCACTTTGACTTGACCATGTGTTTCTACAGCAAATGTAATAAAAACATAATTTTGACTAAGGAAGGCGTATTTACGTAACTTGAGTATTTCAGCCATCTCCGCCGCGGCTCCCATTTTAGATGTCGTTTCCCTAACATGAAACGGGGGAAATGTGTCAACGCATGTAGCGTCCCACAATAGGGCCCGTCCCCTTTCCCAAGGAACCAGCGACAGACCATCAGGTCTCTTACCATCATCTCGACTTATTCCAGATGACTTAATAAGAGCAGGAATGTCAATAGTGGCAAGAGCCCTTTTGATGGTATTATTTAGGGAACCATGTCAGAAAAGTCTACCTAAACTTCTTCAACAAGAAAGTATATGGAGTCCATAACAGCTAACCTCTTTTCCACACAGGCATCTGTGCTCAGTGCACAGCGGTGTACCCGCCATATTCCTCATATATAATATAATAAATAATATAAATTCTAATAACAATTGTGACATAATAACTGTTAGATTTCTTTGTCATAAGTATATTATCATAACAACTAGGTTTTTGAATCATACATTAACATAAATAACAATTGTAAACTTATATTTTTTTATCCAAACAAAACCAAAACAAAACAATAAATTAATAATAAAATAATATTTAAACAAAAACTAATTATTTTATTGAATAAAAATGAAAAACAAATTCTAACCTGTGAGGAAAGTCCTATTAGGCACAAAAATATTATTGCACTGGACTTCATCACTTGAGTGGAACGTGCACTCCGCTATCATTGACGCTTCCTAATAAATAAAGATGTACACACTACACAGGTCTTTATTAATAGGTATATGAGTGCTAGAAAGTGTCTGTTTTCAATGCTATGCTCCGATAACAATGTGCCGATGGAAGACATTTTAAGAAATTTACATTTACGATTAAAAAGTTAAAATGGTTAAAATAAAATATGTTTTTTTAACCTTATTTAATTTTATTATTTCATAAATTTACAAATAGTCTTCTGATATACTTATAACAAATTAAAATACTCAGAAATATTTAACTTGTTGGTGTTTTGTAGACATACAGCGTAAAAAATAAACCTTTCGTGAGTATTCAGATCCTTTTTCTTTTATTGAATATCACAGTATTTTTAAACTTAGCATAACAATAGTCCTGAAATGGGTCAATACCTTCTATTTGAACATCTTTATCCATGCTAGGCTAGAGACTTCATCAGAAGAATCCATATTCCATATCTAAAAGTCCATCTGATTCAGTCCGTCGTCTGGTTTTGAAAATGCAAAAACAAATCAAAAAGTTTTTTTTTAAATGGAAAAAATGTGAAAAACGCGATCGTTTTTCGTCCGGTTTCGGTCAGAAAAAAAATCATATCTCGAAAACGAAATGAGATATAGAAAAACTAAAAAGAAAACCCTAGAGTCAGCCAGCCGATGCAAAGCAAAGCACAATGACTTCAAAAATATTTGATTAGGTATGTATAGTAAATGAAAACTACCAATCAGTAATTTTTTACTTTTTAGTGCTTTTTTGGAAGTCGGTTTTTATTTTTTTGTTATTTCTAAATTTTTTCGAGCGATGTACGATTAAACAAGTTGACGGACGATAATCGACAAAATTTTAATAGTATTTTTCCCTTGAATAGTCGTTAGAAAACCCGAACACATACACTCTATATTGGATAAGATATTTAGTAACAACTAATCGACATCCCCAATCAATAAGTCGATAATCATAAAATCCAAATTTTACAGAAGAAATTATTTATTGTTTTTGTTGAATTATGACTTTTCAAGCAGTGGGAGTATTTAGGACATTGATACATCAAATAAACGCTAATTTTTTTTTGAAATGTACCTATAATGTCAATATGGAATTATCTTTAGCCAAAACCTAGCAATGTAAGAAAATATATACCTATTACCGAAAATGTGATAGGTAAAATATTTACACTAATCTGCCCTCCCGAACCTAAAGTGCAGTAACAGCAAAAACACGAATTCGAGAAAAACGCGCCTAAAGTTTAGAATCCATAAAAATATATCAAAAAGAGACTTTTCGATAAAACCTTGAATGGAAAGTGAAAGAATATGTACCAAACTAAAATATTAAACATTGTTACGTTAGTTTTTTTTATAAAAAAGTATAATTATGGCAATTTTAATTTTTTAGCCCCTATTACTACACACACTTTATTTGTATAATCTTTTCAAAAACTGTTTTAAATGCAGTAAATCCTGTTATTACTGCATTTTAGACATTTCTTCCATGATTGTTACTAACTAAAGTGCAGTAATATTATGAAAATACTGCTATTTAATCTGTTTTTTTGAACAAAACACTGATATTCCACACTTATAGTAATATAAAATTACCTTTAATTTTGATAAAAATATGTAATTTCTTAAACAAAACTGGACATGCATTTATGACTATGCTATTAAAACTATTCATCAAAACATTGTACATTATAATCTAATAGTGTAAATTGTTTTATATGACTAACAATATAACAATCTTTACAAGATGTTGATAATCTTAACTAGTTAATCCACCATAAAACTATATCACATGTATTTCTCATGCATGGATCAATAAAATTTACATAAAATCTTTCTTCTGAACATAACTAATTACTAAATGAGTATTCTTGTCTTACAAAAATAATAGTCTGAAAAGATTATGGAAGGGAGAACCAAGGATAATTAACTTATATGGGAAACAAGTTGAAAAAGTGTCCAGTAGTGAGCAGCAAATTATAGCTCAGAAACTCACCGTTACAGCACTAGCGTAGCAAGTAGATGTGATGTGAAGTTAGGAGTTTTTAACGAAGTGAAGTGTGCTGAATTATTATTACTTGAAAATAATATATAATTATATTGCTGTTTGCCTATGCTAGAACTATTTTGAAAAGTGCGCCACAGCAAAGCGGAAATCTTTCTTTCCTTGTTTAATTCACCTTCTTACTTTTATGACGCTATGTTTTAAACTAGCGACTCACCCTCGCCTCACTCGGGTTCGTCCCTGGATACTTTTTTTTTTTGAGCGGAACTCTAATTCTTTTTAAAAAATAAAAGTAGCCTATATTACTCCCTATAATATCAGTTACCTTCCACTGAAAGTCCGTCAAAATCAGTCCAGCCGTTTCAGAGATTATTCGGAACAAACAGACAGACAAAAATTTTTAAAAGTTAGTTTTTCTTATAAGTATATAATTTCATATGCATTTAGTGAAAAGGTTTATTTTGACATTACAAACAGACACTACAATTTTATTTATCTGTATAGATGTATAGATTCGTATACTTGTTTTCTGTGGCGCCACCAATTTAATGCTTGTCAGCGGTCACTTTTTATACGAGAAATAGTTCTCCTTAGTTCTACCCTCCATATCTTTGGTACAGACACAGCATGGCATGTCAAGTCAGCCTTAAGCCACAGATCCTTGAGACAGACAGACAGAAGGACTGCCTCAAACCGCGATATTGCCTGTCCTGTGTTTTAATATTTTAATAATTTTACCTATTAAAACACACAAAACAGGCAGTGGTAGCCCAGTGGTAACGCGCTCGCTTGGGAATCCGAGTGAAGCGGGTTCAAATTCTGGGTCTCGCACCTCTGATATTTTAATGTGCGAATCATTTCTAACATGATTACCACTTGCCTTACGATGAAGGAAAACATCGTGAGGAAACCTGCATGTCTGAGCAAACCTAGCAAGTTTTCGAAAGACATGTGAAGTCCGCCAACCCGCACTTGGCCAGCGTGGTGGACTATGGCCTGATCCCCCTCGTATGAAGGGAGGCCCGTGCCCAGCAGTGGGACGTTAAAAGGGCTGAATACACATACACACCTATTAAAACGCAGTATTAGGGAATAGTATTTGACTTTAAGTATTTTAGGTAGTATGACTTGGATGGAGCAAACTAACTAATATGCAGTAAAATTTATAAATATTGTAAACTAAATGGTCTTTTACAAGCAACTACGAAACATCCTACAAGTTAAACTGCAGTAAAGTTATTAAATACTGCATGTCTTTTAGTTTTTCACAAGAAATTACAAAATCCCCCACAAGTTAATGTGCAGTATGGAATGTTAATACTGCACTTTAATTAGGAATATAAATAAAAAATATTTTTTCTTAACCTTTGCAGTATAATCAATTTGTATAGAGTCGAATAATACTGCATTTTAATAAGTTTTTTCTTGAATCTCCTAGAACAAACTACTATTTTAAGTGCCACAAAATATGATAAAACACTGCAGTTTAGTTAGGAAATAGAGAAAAATCTTGTGCAGTATTAATTGTACTGCGGTTTACCGTTTAGCTGGTAAACTTGGAATATTTTAACAGATTTGTGATATTTTTTCTGTTACACTTTCCGAAAAAACATTAAAATAAAATACTTTTATTAGCGCTACAGAAAAAAGAATTAATTTGACTGATAGCTACTAAAATGGGGATTTCGAATATATATTTAACTCAAAACCGACCAAAATGTCTATTACTACACTTTAGGCTCAGGTGGGCAGTAATAACACACAACATTTACGGGATTATTACAATAAATTTTTCGAACATTATCATAAATAACATAATAAAATGGCCTTCTACAACGTTATTTTCTATGACAAGGACGATGCATAATGTGTTATTACGTTGTTATAGATAGATTACTTACTAGCCAAGCGCAATCGCCTAAACCAGAAATAAAGCAATAGAGATTTTGGGTGAGTCTAAAGGGAAAAGAGTGACACATAAGGGTACATGGTGGTGGTTTCTTTCGGGAATACTCTTACCAATCTGCTCTGACTATCTCGAATCTCTCATGCAAGTTGATGGTGATATTGACCGAGAGACAATTTTAATTATATTATATACTACCGACTCACCCTCGCATCGCTCGGGTTCGTCCCTAGGTAGATTCCTCATACAAACTTTCATCCCCATTTTCAACCCATTAAGGGATGTTTCCGGATTAAAAAGGACCCTATGTCCTTCCCAAGCTCTCAAACTGTCTTCTTACCAAATTTCATCTAAATCTGTTCAGTAGTTACAGAGCCTATTCGTTACAAACAAACAAATAAAAAATCAAATCTTTCCTCTTTATAATATTAGTATAGAGTTATTAGTAGTGCTTAGGTCTTATCTACACTTACTAATATTATAAAGAGGTAAAGTTTGTGAGTTTGTGACGTTGTAGAGGGTAATCTCTGGATCTACTGGTATTTAATATAAGCATTCAAAGATTTTATGATTAGCATAACCGATAATGTCATTTATTGCTTTAAATTTATTGCTAGGCGATCTGGAAAAAAATTAAACAAATCATAATATTAATATAGAACTTTACAAAAGTAAAATAAAAATACTCGATAGGATAATTGCCTGTCTTGTACACCTGTATGTGTATTGTGTATGTTTGTTAGGTACTCCTTTACGCTAAAACGGTTGGATTGATATGGATGATATTAGTATACCTAGAGCTACACTATAACCTTTTTAACGTTGAGAAATGCATTTACGCATATCACCTGCATGAATACAGATGGCTATGTGGGACTCAACGGTTAGAAAACCCGTTACCAGTATTACCCACTAAAACCAAACGGAACCTCCTCCGTCTTAATGGGGTATCGCAATTAGATATTACGAGGTTTCTGACTTGGCTAAAATATATTTTATTAATAAAAAACTAAACTAACCAAATGTTTTATTAAATAAGGAAATGAAAAGTAAATTAATTTATATAGAATTTTACGAATATTATATATAACATAATATAATTTAAATTAGCAAGCGTTGTTCTACACTTGAGTGTAGAGAATGTTCTCTATGGCTTTTTAGGCTTTGGTTATTGAGTTTCTCTCTGCGTATGGCCTGAGATCGAGCGCGACGCCCTCCTGCCGCAGACTGCATTCGGACAGACCTTCGACGATCCACCATACCTTAAAATGAACAATATCTACACATATAATAAAATTGTTACTAAGCCGAATTTGTACATGAAATATTTTTTGGAAAATCTTATTGAAATAGACATTATTACCGATACAGAGGCCAGATCTATAGTTTTTAGTATTTTTGTCTGTCTATCTGTTACCGTATCACGGATAAACCACTGGAGGGATTTTGATGAAATTTGGTATGGTGATAGCTGGTTATCTAGGTCAACATATAGGATCCTTTTTACTTTTAGGAGCCGCGGGCCACGCCAGTACAATATACCTACGTACCTACATATTATACGCTTTCTACTATTTTTATTGACGCAAAAGCTTGTAAGGAAGGATGTGGATATATGGATGGATGTTTGTTACTCTTTTATGCGAAAACTGAATACATTTTAATGAAACTTTACAGCACCAAAATATACAGTACAGTAAAAAAAATAACAAATACATTTCCTCACTCGCATATTCGTACTAATATTATAAATGCGAAAGTTTGTGAGGACGTACGTCTGAATGTATAGATGTATGGATGTTTGTTACTCTTTCACGCAAAAATTACTGAATGGATTTTAATGAAACTATACAATAATATAGCTCATACACCAGAATAACACATAGGCTACTTATTTTCTTGGAAAAAATGTACGGTTCCCGTGGGATAGATCTGTTTCTGTTTTTCTACTGTTTTGTACTATTACTAAAGATTATCAAATTCTAGTAATTATCATTTTTTTTTCTTGTACGTAATTAGAAGATTAAAAAAAACATTTGTTCATTCTATGCGATATAAGCGAAATAAACTGTGCCCAACTGGCACGCCTACTCGTAAAAGCCACAAACTAAAAGAATCAAATTCAAAAATACGTTCGCTTTGCTCGGATGCGCTTCTAGGTGCCTAGCAGTAGTCTATATGTTACTCCAAGTCATAATCTATCTATGTAGTAAATTTCATCCAAATCCATCCAGCCGTATTAGCGTGAAGAAGTAACAGACATACATATACGAGTACAAATTTTTACATTTAGAATACTACTCAGATGGTTTCCTTCTAAATAGAAATATTATTATCTAGATTATACATCTCATAATGACAGCAGTGAGGTCGGTGATTGAACTGTACGATTTCAACATTAGAGCACTCCTTTCTAATTGCATTTGATGTAACATGAACATGCACAGGCCATTCTGAAGCTTAGACGATAGTCTACAAGGCTAGTAGTTTTTTCTAATTTAGTTAAGCTCCCTCATTGTTTTGTTCGCTAAGTTTAAATAGAACTTTTTTTCTAAAACAACTTTTGGGTCTAACAAAAATAACTTTCTAGGACCTCCTATCAAAAAAATACCAATTCTATCAAGCAAATTGTTATTAAATTAAATTAAAAAAATTTAAGTAGATATAATAGATGTACCTTTAAGTTTAATAAGATCTGTTCCAATGTAATCTTCAATGTCTTCCAACTTTTTAACCCCTTCTTGACCGGCTTTTAACATATCATTATATAACTCCAAATACTCTGAATTAAGTCGACTTTCGTCAAGTTTTCTTCCATAATTATTCCGCCTTGAAAAACCTAGGGATTTTGATAGAGGAACGTTATCTCCTAAAAGTTCTGTTGTTATATCGTCAGAACACAGCACCTAAAATATTTTGACGCCATTATAATGTAGCCTATAGCTTAATTTCATTTTCACATATAATAATAAAATAATAATGGCTGAGCCCCAAGTTTTGAAATCGATTGAAAAAATAGGTAAACTAAACGTACCAAATCTATGATAGAAGATCAAAATTTAAATTGAATACACAGGTGTTAAAATGTAAGTTGTACCACATCGGAAATTTAAATGTTAAATTGTACGGAGATACCTCTAGCACTATTATTGCCAATATAAGCAATGACCAGAGCGAGATCATTTTTCGAGCCAAAAATATTTGACGCACTTCCACTGTTCACTGTTGTTGTTGATCAATGATTATATATCATCATTCAAAATGATACTTCGCTATTCATCTTCTCATTGTTCATGAAACAATGACATATACAAAGCAAATGAGTGGAATGAAATACAATTCAATTTTTTCGCTTTAATCTTTGGTAAGCGCGCCAGTTGAAAATACAAATTTCACATTAGGAATTTTACTTAATTGTCGTTCAACGTTACATTTTTGATAGTTTTTTTTTTTATCATGATCACGGGAGAGTCTGCCCCATGTAAAGCCACGTCGAGAATCAAAAATCAAAATAAATCCGCGAAAAAGATAGTTTTATTTTAAATGGCAAATATTCGCGTAGAAAGTAATATAAATAGTTTTTTTAGTAGTATAATAAGGATAAGGCGATTCGATAACGGCTCGGTTTTAGTTTTTTTGCCTACGGAACCCTAGAAATGTTTATAATGGCATCGATCGAGCTTGGACATTGATATCTTGTAAATAGCTAAATGAGCTGACTATAATCACAGGCAGATACTTTTATAATAAAAAGTTTTTTTTTAATAAACATTCTTATCTATTTTCTGTTCTTTAATTAGTAGATAAGTTTTTAGGACTTATGTTGTTCTTTGGGTAGGGTCGGTTGTTCACACAGGCACAGGGCACTTTGTAGCGGAAGTAATGTAACTGTGGGTTGATTACAAACTATCAAACTACCTATTTAAATTATAACAAGAAACAAAACCCGCCGCCGCTTTCACGCGCTTAAACGATTTTCACTTATTAAATAAAATTAAATATCTTATAAATCTATATAAGATATTTAATTCTATTAAGATAAGAAGAAATAAAACAAAAAATATGATTTCTTTTTTCTTGCCCGTCTAATTTTCGGAACAGCGTAAACCAATTTTCTAAGCGCAGGATATGGAATAAAAACACAAATGTTATACATTAATTTTAGTACAAAATAAGTTTAGATGTAAAATTGTATAAGTATTGTAAGTATACTCGAAAAATGGCTCCCACAACTGCCGTGTCAGAAGTGGTAACTAAGAAGTCAAACTTAGGTATTTTTAATGTAAAAATTTGAAAATTTTGTTCAAACGGAGATTATGATAATATTATGTGATAAAAATTACTCTACAGATACAAATATTTTGATATATTTATTCATTTATTCAAACTGTTCACTAAAGAACAAAATTATAGCGAATAGTATGTAATAGTTATTGACAACATTCTAAGTGGATATACTTAAAGTAGTGGCTAGTGCGAATTATTCAATCACGACATGCATGGAAAAGAACTAGAATTTAATTAAATATACTAGCGGCTCACCCTCGCTTCGTTTACATTCGTTCCTAGTGAAAAACAAAAAGAAATCTATCCCACGGGAACCGTACATGTTTCCGGGATAAAAAGCAGCCTATGTACTACTCCAGACTATAATCTATCACTGTGCTAAATTTCATCCAGATCCGTTCAACCCTTCTGGCGTGATTGAGTAACAAACAACCATCCATCCAAACTTTCACATTTATATACCTAGTAGTAAGATGTACCTTTAAGAATAGAGTGTATAAAGAGGTGGAATTTGCAAGCTTGATTTTGGAAATAATTAGGTAATCCCTACAAAACCTGATGCGATCCTATATAATAATGATTTCAATAATATCATGGAGTCTCCTCAGGAACAAAGAAAAAACAGTTTAAATAAATGTTTATAGATGGATGAATAAATTGCATGTAGGTTTTGCATTTGTTATTGAAGTATGTATAAAATTATCAAAAGATAAAAAATATGTCTCAAAAAGGCCAATAGGCCAGGCTCAAAAATATCTTTAGTATTTATACATACCTTAAAAATATATCTAAGTAAAAGAAAACAATATAATGCGCATGCGCTCGTAAATCAATTTGCATAATTTTATTGATTAATAAAGTAAGCGTTTTTTTTAAGCCAACCAACCCAAATAGGTATAGTATACTACACCTTTTTGCTATCTATTATTTATTTTTTGTTAATTTTACACAAATAATGCCATCTATTGATATTTATTCGAACTAATTTTTCTTTGTTCCTAATGAAACCTCACGGTACTAGTATACTCGTAGTAAGTATTGTGTCATAATATGGGCTAATATGGATCAACATTTTATTTTATAGATAATAAATTATTAATGCAAAAATTCCTAAAGAAAATTCAATAAAGTTTTTCATATATTTTTTTTAAACCTTATTTAGACGAACGAACAATTTTGAAAAATATTAGCCAAGCCGTGCCCCCCGCTCTAAAGTGATATGGCTTGTAAAAACAGCATGTCATTTTTATTTATATAGATAAACATGGGTCAATTGCATGATAGTAACTACTTGCTTAATCTTGTAAAAACAGGATTCTTATAAGATAAAAACTGGATGAAAAACCAATATAAGTTGTTATAATTATTTTCATGCTGGCAAAAATACTTATTTTATGTAAACACAAATTTTGTGTGATTTAAGGCTTAATTTAAAGCTGGACACAGAATTTTTTTTATTTCGAGAAACTAAATTGTCTCAAGATTGTCTCCATGGAATTATAACTTTGTAAGCACGCGGAAAGTAATGAGAAAAAGTAAAAATGTAATACGCTGCTGTTTTGGAATAAGAATGTTTTAAGTTATTTTGGTTCTTACTTTTGTAATACGATGATATTATTTAATCGAAAAAAAATGCTCGCAAACAAGACCTATTATAAATAGTAGGTATTAAATACATGTAGTAGGTATATTTATAACACATGTGTAGTATATCAAAGCAGTGCGTTTTATACAAATCTTCTAGGTGAAATTCTCCTACAGTTGTAATTAACGATGATGTGATTTTTCACATCAAAATCCATTTTAAAATGAAAAAATAACAATAAACAAACAAAACAATCTTATAATATTAAAACAAAAACAAAACAGTTGGACTCGCACACGAAGGGTTCCTTACCATAATGGCTTCCTTTTAATTTGCATTGCAACCTTATAGAAATTCGCCATCTTGGTTTTTTATTATTTGTTGTTATATCGCAATAGAAATATTCATGAGATACAGCCCTCTGATCATAGACTGACGGACAGCGGAGGCTTAGTAATAAGGTTCCGTTGACACCCTTCGGCTACGGGGTGTCCTTTTTGAAAGGGACCTCAGGAGCCTAGTGTAAAAGGTTTCAAAAACAAGCAATAGAATCATTGATATTTAATTTAAACATAGATACACATATCGTAACAAATATCTATTCAAAAAGTGACGTCGACCTGTGACGGATATAAAATCCAAAAATCGAAAGTTTTAATTGTCTAAACTGAAATTCGAATACGAATCGCACACTATATAAAGCACTTTTTTAAACTAAACAACGTGCGTTTTAACTTTGTCATCTTTAATGCAATGAACAAGAGATTTAAAAAGCACATTCCAATTTCGAATTGTGCGTTTCTTTTTGAGGACACTTTTAAGACGCTAATTGCGTATCTTGAGTTATTTATTGTATATCAACGAATAGAATAGATATTTTTCAATTAAAACTCTGCCATAACTATAATATATAACCACGCCGAATATTCCACGACTAAATCACTCAACATAACAACGAAACAGCTGATAATGAGTCTGATATGAGAAAATAAACAGTATTTCATATTTATCGTGGGTCAAGTGGCCGGTAAGTGATGAGCACGCACCAAACTGCTTCGATCCGGTTATGTTTAAACAATTCGTTATTAAGACATAGACCGACTGTTTTGAAAATAGTTTCTCAATGACATTGAATGCAAGTTTACTAATAATCATACTATTATTATAAAGGCGAAAGTTTGTGTGTTCTTTTGTTAGCGCGCGGCTGGACCGATTTTGATGAAATTTAGTATATACTTAGATAGATTATGACCTAAAGGAACACAAAGACTACTGTTAGCAATAAAATGTGCCAATAAGTACCGATGCCATTGCATATCGGACTATTATTATATTATACGGAAGTTTGTATGTGTGTAATTGTTACTTGATCACTCTGAACCGGCTGGCCGGATTTGGATGTGTACACATGTAGATTGCCCAGTCACACATAGGCTACTCTTAGGCTATAGAGGATAGAATATATCTTAGGCGCGCAAGGACAAACCCGAGTGAATTTAATTACTTATATTATAAATACAAAAGGCACCTAGGGACTAAAGCGAGAATAAGTCGCTAGTAGTAAATAAGTATTATTTTTGAATTGCTTACATTTTAGATAACCGTTAGTTAATCAATAATTACATAATTATTGTAATGGAATTAAATTGTAGTGTTAAAGCTCTGTTAGCTAAATTGTCAGTCTATTTAAGTGCATTCGAGGATGGCTTGACTTTTTCTCAGAGAAGACTTTTTCGTCAGATCCCGACCTCTCAGATCAAATAAAAAACTTTTTTATTTGGTCTGAGATTGACCTTAAAAGAACTGAGCGTTATGTAGTAAGGATAAATCATTTTCATATACATATCATTAGTTTTCTCTTAGCTTTCGATTGTAATAAGTGAACTTTTTAATCAATCGAATATTGCCAAAAAAAAATTCCCTGCTGTAAAAATTCATGTTTAACAGCTGTTACAAACTTATTGAAAACGACACCTGTGGTAGAAGTCATAGGATATTTGCTAGTACCTAACGTTTGTAAAAGTAAAAGAAGTATTTAGACACTAAGTAAAGACCCAGCGTCCTTGAATAATATTCGTCAAACATTTTGCACCATTTTAAAATAAAACATCATTAAAAATTTCTAAAAAAAATATAAGAATTAGTAAATTCACTATCTTCGCAAAATTTTAAATTCCTGAGTCAAGCTCCCTTTCTTTAAATATATTTAGCCTTTTTTTTACTATTCAATTCAATTAAACTTATACTGAATGTCTCAAAATGATATTATTTATATTATAATTTATATTTTATGTAATAATAATAATGTAGTATATATGTTACAATTGTCAGATAGATCATCTATTAATTTATTATGTGACATGAATTTCTTCAATGTTCATCAATATCCACTTTGAACTGGTATAACGGTCGTCTGTTTTTATTATCTTTTATTTCGTCAAAGAGCAGACTGACCTCTGTATGCCACATAAGTGACTGGGCTATTGTTATACAATAATTTTATTCAGTAAATTATATTTTTCAAACTATAAGGTTTCATCTATAAGTTTCAAAATAGTATAAGGTTCCATATACTTTATTATGTACCAGGTACCTGTGACGTAAGTCGGTTAAGACTTTAACAGAATACCGCTTGTAAAAATTAAAATAAATTTAAGGTTCTTTGAAATGTTTATGTGACCTTGAGGTAAAAAAAGAATTACCAAAATCAGGTCATAATTGCAAAGAAATCGCATAACATACACAAAAAATACACCCGAATAAATTGCTTTTAGATGTCGTTCAAGATAACCCACCATCGCGTATGAAGACAGCTTTAATTCTGCTGCCGTTGTACAGAATATCTTTTCTTTCATCCTCACTTGCTTTTTTCCTGTTTACAATTTTTTTACCCTTTTTGGCCCTTTTTTTACTCGTGTCCCTCATCTTTTCATCCCTTACGTCGTTATTAGTCTTTCTAAATCAACAATTACATTTATATCATTCATACATTGTTCGTCTTCTAATTATAAGTAAACTAAAATTAAGTGTTGAAAATATTTAGAGTTAAAAATAAATTACATGTTTCTCCAAATGTATGTCAGGAAGTTAATATTGCAGCCCAAGTCAAAAGTCATACTCATACTGCTCAGTGCTCTTACATCACGACCTATATTCCATAATCTACTTACCTATATACCTATATTATTTTAGACTTATAATACCTACTAATAATTTAATCAAAAAGTCAACTTTGAAATTCGTCATTTAACTCATTTGGTTGTGGATAAAAAAATATTGATAACAAGAAAATTATGTTTTTAAAAGTTCAAATTTATCAAAATGTAGTAAGTAGGTATACTGTATATATCGATGATGACATACTGAACTGACGCTAAAAATATATACAGACGAACATAGACCTGTTCCTAATTTTTTAAAGTCGTCGTCGACTAAAACCCAACGGAACCTCTCCCGTCTTATTGGGGCATCGCAGGATCGCTTACGCCCTCACGACAACACCTTGTTAGCCTGCCGAGGCAGACCACAACAACCATAAGATTGCGCTTACAGCTCACTCTGCTATCAGAGAAGTACCAGGAGCAGCCCGCATGGCACACCGCCCACCGAAGTGGTTTCACTCCCGGCTGGATTACCGCATGCTAATGATCACCCCAATCAGTTACCACGACCAACACACCATAAGATGGAACTCAGCAAGGCAGTAGATTTATATACCTTAAAAGGAACGTGAATAAACAATTTTAAAACTGCACCTTTTACAATTTTTAAGCGATATCATTTTTATACCTTGTATAGACAGTATTATGTTAACTATGTATTTCTCTATTAGAAAAATTGTAAAGTGTGTTTTTTGTTTTTTCATTCTTCCACGCAATAAAAATGATGATGAAACTAATGATGACCAACTTTGAATTATGTTTATAGAATGACTATAATATTGAATGATAAATATAATAAACCTCATAATGAAAACGTAATAATTTTTATGTACACTAAAATTTAAAAAAAAATGTAAAGCTTGTTTTTGGATGTAGGAAATAATATCCGAAACTAGGTAGGTACTCATCCGATTTAATCAAAAAAAATCATGAATAATAAGTATAGAATAGGCCTTCTTTCTGTATACCGCTTACAGTATACCGCTAAATATTTTATTTCTGTTAAAAAAGGGCATTTCGTGGAGACCAATTTTACAATAAAGAAAATAAAATTTAATCACGACTTTTAGATATAAATAATTTATAAGGTAGGTACTAACTTGATAAAAAAATATTTGTATCTATCATGTATTCACAGTGCATTATATTTTTGAAAGCTATAAAACTTTACGGAGGTAGGCGGAAGATGAACGGTAGCGAGGGATAGATTTATTTAGTACGAGTTATACAAAATCAGCTGTTCAAACGTCAAACAAAAGCCGATAGCCATTTGATAGCAAAAGTTCAATTATAATTAGATAAGATTGGTGCGAAAAATCTCATATATAGGATCATGTGTACGGCATCCATTTAGTCAGTTAGCGCTCCACGACTTGAGTAGCCGCGGCTGCAACGAAAGTTTAAGATTGTACAATGCCACCAGTCGCTGTGCCTGAAGAGGTAAGTAACTATTTTATTTTATTACCTTTATACCTTTATTATTACAATTATTTAATCAATTAAACATTTAATAATGGATTTTAATTTATTAATGCATAAATAACGAAAAATAGTATTAATTAATAATAATGAAAAGTGCATTTTTTTAAATTATATTAGTAATACATATATTAAATAAATAGTGTTATATACTATGTATGTAAAATTTTGAGTGTAACAGTTGTAAAACTAATAATAACTTCCTCTTATTAAGTTATAATTTAATAATATTCAATGTCGATATTCATAGGCTCCGAAGAAACATCTTCGTGTGGCCCTTATAGGACAGAGTACTTTCGCGGCGGAAGTGTTTAAACTGCTTAAAAAAGAAGGACATGAAGTGGTCGGTGTGTTCACAGTTCTGGACAAAGGGAATAGGGAAGACCCTCTCGGTATGTATTATTTGTGTATTTTATGCTAAATACATTTAATGATAACAATAATTTGTCAGTTAATTTCTTCTTTGTGGCACGAGCAACCAAGCATTTTTGATTTCAAGTTCATACCAATTGAGCAAAATTTTTGTTACTTTAAGATTTTATCGGATATGAAGGCTAGTTATTGGAGAAATTTATACTAAAAAAATTAAAATTACAGATTAAAAATTGTGAAATTGTATTGTAAAAGTGAAAACGTACCTAGTTCGTTCAGACGATTTACCATCATCACATAATATAAATGTAAAATAAAAAATAAAACTTGTTAATCAAATATTTAAATTTATATTTTAGTGCAAGTCACAACTCATACTTTAAAAGTTTATTTATTAATTATTTTACTTTGGAATTAAAAAGAATCATTAAAATTGGTTCAAATTAGGTATCTATTATTGAGTAGATAGCTACTGTTTTTTTAAAGTCGGTCAAAAATACATTCCTTCTAAGTTTTAGTTTTCTAGAAAAATTATCCTTACATTTACATACAATGTGCCTCGACCCTTTAAGGACGATACCCTAAAATCTTAGTTCATAATACTACTAAAACGATCGCTGAACCCTTTGTAAAGTGTTACTTATTACAATTTGTTACGTAACTATTAATCAGCTTCATTGGTATAAATTAACAGCTAACCTATATACTCGTAAATATGTACTTATCTATTTCTTTTAATTAGGTGCCGTATATAGATTTTTTCGTACTTTCTATACTTACTTTCGTAAAAATACAAGTGATTTTCGTAAAAATAGAATTAATTAATTATTTTACTTAAATAAAATTAATAATATGCGAATATATTTATTATGTTTGTTGGTTTGCCCTTTTTTTGCGAAACGGGATAACACTTTTTTGAGTGGCGTTTGGCTAATGGGTAAAAATAGGTAGGTAGATCAAAAATGATAATTTTCATAACGATAAAAAAAAATTATACAACTTTTGCCAAATTATGTTAGAGTAATTGTGTAATAACATGCTATTTTTTAATACTTTTTTTCTTTTTAACAGCTACTATCGCAGCGCAGAATGGAATACCAGTGTTTAAATATAAAACATGGCGAATCAAAGGAAAAGTTATACCTGAAGTGTTAGAAGACTACAAATCAGTAAGTTTTTTTTTATTTTTATATTGCCTTAAACCTTACCTTGAATTTGTAAAATCATAATTTCTATTTTACCCGCGTCGGCCACGGAGACGGTACATACGTTTGGGGTAAGAGGTGTTTGTGTGTCTGTAACCATTTTTCTCGGAAATGGCTAGGCCGATTGGGAAAAGTTTTTTGCTTTGTATAAATCTCATTCTTGAGCATGTTCTTAGCTAAATTTTATAAAGTCACAAATCGCCAAGGGGTACTACAGTATGCACATGGTTCTCCAAAACGGGGTTACTACATAAGTAAAAATAAGGCAGTTTAATTTTTTAATAAATGTATTGTATTTACTATTAAAATTATAAAAAGCCATGTGACATGAAAATACCAGAAATTCAGCCGCCGTGCGTAATCTGTGTTAAAACAAAAACATAAAAACTAACTATAAAAAAAAGAAAATCGAATGACAGAAAAAAAATACTAATAAACTGTTGTCTTTGCCTATTTAAATATTAAAGTGTAATAATCTTTATAAAAAACTGTGTCTCACCTTAATGACAGCAACTTTTTACTACAGAGTGATTTCCCACGGAAACACTTTTATATGAGAAAATAAAAAGCAGCCTTTATCGTCATAGAGGCTTCTTTCCAATATATTACTTTACATTATAAGAAATAATTTTGTACCAGTACCTACATGGTTTTTAAGATTTTTTTATCAGAAATTCTTTAATTAAACTCTAAAAGAACTATTTCAATCAAATAGGCTTTCAAATTAAAAGAATTTATAGAATTTATAATAAGATATATATCGTACGTAGAAGTTATTAAGATATATATCGTAGGAAATCTGCATCTGAGAGAACCTAGCAAGTTTTTAACATGTGTGTAGCCCGCCAACCCGCACTTGGCTAGCGTGGTGGACTATGGCCTGATCCCCCACGTATTGGAAGGACGCCCGTGCCCAGCAGTGGGATGTTAAAAAACGCTAAATATATTGTATACATTAACAAAAATATCACGCTTCCTAACAACACGTCTATGAGGCATGAATATTATCTCACAGTACTTACACTTGCCGCTGCACTCCTGACCCCAGTATCTTATCCATAGTTTTGCACCAAATTGTTATAAAATTATAATTAATATAAACAATACGTGAAGTGTGCTTCTGACAAAACACTGATATCCTTTGTACGAAGTCAAAGAGAATGATTATAATTAATCATAATAATTGCACATATTTTCACATAAACACACCAGCCAAACATATAACATCCTATTTGGAATTCGGTTAAAAATGACATTTGATTTATGATCTGCTTGATTTTTGATTTTTCATGGTACTTCAAAAATGTCTCATATTTTAATAGAAAAACATACTTACTGGAAAAATTAAATATATTATTTACCTTCAGGTAAATGCAGACATCAACGTGTTGCCATTCTGCACACAATTTATTCCCATGGAAGTTATTCTACACCCTAAATATCAAAGTATTTGCTATCACCCCAGCATCCTGCCCAGACATAGAGGAGCATCGTCAATTAATTGGTACGTGTGAATAAAAATAAAAGGTATACTTATAGTAAAAGGTCTCGTAAATAACTTATTTCAATCAATTTTTTATTGATGGTGAACTAAAGTTATTGTTAATGCTTGAATTTTATTTACCTATTGAATTTATGAATTCAGAGTTTCTTAAATGACATGAATAATTATAATTTTTGTGGTTTATCTGATATCTCATCAGTATATAATATACATACTATAATGCAGTTGGCAAAATAGATGATGTTAGTTAAAGAATACTGTTTTATAATATTAGCCTGTTTTATATTATTATATTTTATGAAATACTTTCTTCCTTAGGACTTTAATAGAAGGCGACACAACATGCGGTCTGTCGATATTTTGGGCAGACGACGGTTTAGATACGGGTCCGATATTACTACAGAAGAGTTTCCCCTGCACCATTGATGATACTGTGGACACTTTGTACAATAAATATCTTTATCCCGAAGGTGAGACCAAGTCGAGGGCTAGTCGATAGTACTTATATTAAAATTATTTTTGTTTGGTCGAAAAGAAATTAGGTATTTCCTTTTATTAAGATGAATTTTTAACTAACGGTCTAGCGTCCATTATTATGCATCACAAAAGAATGCTTTATGTATGAATGCAGTAATTATGCAATTTCAGGTGACAGCGGTGTATTTTTTTTACATAAACTAACATTTGTTCGCAGGTATCAAAGCTCTAGCAGAATCAGTCAATATGGTGGCCAACGGCACTGCTCCAAGAATAATGCAAACAGAAGAAGGAGCCACCTACGACCCTGCTTTATTCAAACCAGAAACACATCAGGTATAATATTCTCTTCTTTTCGGATTTTTTCGCTCACTTATACTGATTTTTGGTTCCCGGCGTTTCGAATGCTTTATCGCAATCATGGTCACGTATATAGTTGTTACAAACAGCACCTACACACAAAATTATACAATCATTTTCAAAAATACAAAAATGGCACCAAAGTATAAGTATATCATATTTGTTAATTTTAGATTTTAAACATTTAATATTCAACTATAAAACTTATTAAAATTATAAAAGTTGTTCGCCGTGAAATTCGCGTAAAAATCCGGAAAAATCATTCCATATAAATATTTCAGCCAAACTTACTATAAACTAAACGTAAATAATTCATTTTCTATAATCAATAAAACTATGAACGATTTGAGTAATTTGCAACAGCTAATCGAGTAGAAATCTCGCCCGATGCAATAACAAGTTCCATGAATAAGCAACTACACATTAACATACTTAGCCCAACTCAGGAAATAAATAATTAGAGATCGACTGTTTCTGTAAACAGCTTGATAATTCATTATTGCTTAAAAAGAACATAAATGTGTTATAAAGTAAAAAAAACTAATATTTATTGGAAAATAACATTCTTCTCGCTTCGCTCAGGTTCGTACCTAGGTACGTTTTGACGCTTAGTATGGAGAAAGGTTTTTTTTCGTGAATTTTTTCGATATTTTAATAGTTATTCTGCTATTCGGGGTGACTAATCCAACAAAACAAAGATCATAAAAATCGGTCCAGCAGTTCTCGAGTTACAAGTGTTGTAACAAACCCGACTTTGTTTTATATATGTATATTGTATATACATATGTAGATACTACAAAGCTTTTGAAATGTATTTTATTGATTTTATAAATTACGATATGCTTTTCAAGAGCTTTTTAATCAATTTTAGATCGATTGGTCAAAAGGCGGTCTGGCGTTACATAACTTTATTAGAGGTCTAGATTCTTCGCCTGGAGCTACAACATTTATAAAACCACAAAGCAGAGACGGTGTTGATGAAAGCAGTGATGCCAATATTGAAATTAAATTCTTTGGCTCGTCTTTATGGGAAGGGGAATACGAGAGCAAAGGCGATAAAGTATATATACCAGGGCTACTGAAACCGGCAGTTATTCAAGATGCAGGATTGTTAATTACAGCTAATGATGGTATTAAGGTAAATGTTTTTAAAGAAAAAGAGTAGGTATTAAACATAAATAAAATTAATTAAAAAAATCATGTCATTTGTTTATCTTTTTACAGTTGAACGTACAAAGGTTAAAAGTCAATGGTAAAATGATCAATGCTCAAAACTTTTTCAAAGCAAATGAAAATAAAGTATCACTAGAGCTAACAGCTGAAGAGAAACAGTTCATAGAAAACGCTCGCATTATTTGGAAAGCCATACTAAGATTAGATATCGACAATGATACAGACTTCTTTGATTCTGGAGCTGGATCTATGGATGTTGTAAGATTAGTTGAGGAAGTTAAAGATTTAGCTAACATAGAACTACAAAACGAAGATATATACATGAATACGACTTTTGAAGAGTTTTATACAATTGCTATACTTAAAGCAAGAGGCGATTCTGGTACCAAAGAGATTGTTTATGAAGGCGTAGAACTAGAAGTAAATAAAATGAAAATAAAATTCCCAACACAATTATTTATTAATGGAGAATTCGTAAATTCGGATAACGGGAAAACTTTAACGTTAATTAACCCTTCAGACGAATCTGTAATTTGTAAAGTTCAAAGCGCATCAGCCTCAGATGTCGACAGGGCGGTGAAGGCAGCTAAAAATGCTTTCGAAGAAGGAGAGTGGTCAAAAATAAGTGCAAGGGAAAGAGGTCAATTTTTATTTAAGTAAGTAATAATTGAATGTTTCAATAGTATAATATATGTATGTATGTAATGAATTGTTATAATGAAGTATAGGAAGATTGTGTGAAAGAACAATAATTAGTCTTGAAATTAATATTATCTGTGTAATTGGCTAAAAATTAATGAATATTTATTTATTATTTCTAACAGATTAGCAGACTTAATGGAACAGCATAAAGAAGAACTAGCCACCATTGAAACAATAGACTCAGGCGCGGTGTACACTCTTGCTTTAAAAACACATGTAGGCATGTCTATCGAAACTTGGCGGTACTTCGCCGGCTGGTGCGATAAGATTCAAGGTGCCACAATTCCCATAAACCACGCAAGGCCTAATAGAAATCTCACAATGACTAAGAAAGAGCCGATAGGGGTATGTGGTTTGATAACACCCTGGAACTATCCGCTTATGATGTTGTCTTGGAAGATGGCCGCTTGCTTGGCGGCGGGGAACACTGTTGTTATGAAACCAGCGGCGGTAAGTGAATCTAAAACAGTACAAAACTATTCATTGTTAAAAAATACTTTTTATATTTATTGGTACAGTAAAATACTATCATTCAAAATTATGAAGCTGTCACAGAATGTAAAGACAACATGACTGTTGACCGTAATCTAGTTGACTTATGAATATAAAATAAAAAATATTTTAATTTTGACGAAATCAACAAAATCACTATATAGATGTGTGCCTGTAATCAAAATAAAATTGAGTTAATTAAATCCCGCCACAGGTATGTCCACTAACAGCTCTAAAGTTCGCCGAGCTGTGTGTGCTGGCGGGTATTCCCCGCGGCGTGGTCAACATCTTGCCGGGCAGCGGCACGGTGTCTGGACAGGCGCTCTCCGACCACCCGCTTGTCAGGAAGCTGGGTTTCACTGGGAGCACTGAGATCGGTAGGCGAAGAATCGAAAATTTTATAGAATTGAATATTTATTACAAGTTACAACAATAATACAAATGCATATTTACTGCTTCGTTTTCACCCAAATCCATATCGTGGTGCTTTTCTAGAAAATTGTAACGAACGGACGAATTTTCAAAGAATGTTCGTCTAAAATGACGTATATACTTTTTTAGTATTTTGTATTACCTTCCTCGTCTATAAAATTAACAATAAATAGTTATAGTAAGCATACGAAAAATATAAATCAAAATGCTATAGTTAAGGAGTTTGGTAGAAAAACAAAAAGTTGGTTGATGTTCATCGGTCGGTTGTATAAATTAATTTAAAATATAAAAGCCGAGTTTCTGGAGTTTTTCCGTCCAGTTTTATAACAGTAACAATCTAAAATCACTTGTGTTATTCAAACAGGTCAAACAATAATGAAGTCTTGTGCTGCGTCGAACATGAAGAAGGTGTCTCTGGAATTAGGCGGCAAGTCGCCTTTAGTCATATTCGAAGACTGTGAACTTGATAAAGCAGTTAGGAATGTAAGTAGAACAACAATATTATCTGCAGTTTATGCTGTACTATTTGGTTCTTAAAGTTCCACATTAAACTTCTAAATTAGCGTAACCCAAGATTTATATAAGCTGGTATAATATTTAGAGCTCAAACCAAGATTGAATAAAGTTAAGTCAAATTAATAGCGTAACTAAATCCTAAAATTATAGCTAAGTTAACAGGTGGAATATTATAGTTAAAATTTCTTCAAATTAAAGCAATATATAATATCCAATGATGTCTATCTAGGGTATGGCGTCAGTATTCTTCAATAAAGGTGAGAATTGCATAGCCGCGGGACGGTTGTTCGTCGAAGAGAGAGTTCACGACGAGTCCGTGAGGCGAGTGCTAGAAAAGACGAAGAAGATGAGCATTGGAGATCCTTTGAACAGAGGAACGGCGCATGGACCTCAAAACCACAAAGCGCACATGGATAAGCTCGTTGAGGTAAGTTACAAATACGTACGGCGGATAACTGTTATATGTACCTATATGCAAAAAAAACGCGTGTGTGTACTTATGTACGCACCTAAGAAGTAATACTTCTTTGGCGTAACAGAACAAAAATAGCTAAAGATTTCATCCCGTATCTCATAACTCTCTGTTTGTAAAAGGAATGCAGCTTACTTTATCATATCGCTTTCAGCTAACTTCATCATGTCGCTTTTTGGCTGTCGGTGTGCGCGGGCATCGTAAAAATTTTACTCTCATATTTTTTTCCAAACGTGCCAAAAGAAGAATAACTTCAAAAATTTATTACTCCTTCACGTATGATCAACAATCAAATCGTTTTGACAATTAGCAGAAAGCTTCCAGATGTGGATCTGTATGAATAATGCTTTGCTAATGCATTATTTGTCTATTTATGTTTTCTAACATATATTTCAACTTTAACAGTTCTGCGAGCGTGGTGTCAAAGAAGGAGCTAAACTAGTATACGGTGGCAAACGTGTGGACCGTCCTGGCTTCTTCTTCATGCCAACTATCTTTACTGATGTAACTGACGACATGTTCATTGCTAAGGAAGAGTCCTTCGGGCCTATCATGATCATCAGTAAATTTAGTAGCAAGTGAGTTCTTTAGTTTGGTATCTACTGTTTAATTAAATATTATTATATTAGCATACAAAAATGTTTAGGATACCCATTTAGAGTATTTTTAATTTGCACCTGAAAAGACTAAAACAAAATTAGTGCGATTCTCGATGCTTGAAGTTTTATATAATTGTATATATGTTCATTTTTTATGTTGTAGTCGAACCTATAGTCATCAACAGAAAATTAATAATATAAATAATAATAATTAATAGCATAAAACAGATTAATAACAACAAAAAGGCTTTTTTGATGTTTGATTAGTACATTCGACAAAATTGATTGCGCCTAGAAAAATTATTTAATCTAAAAACGCCACAAAACGACACGTTTGGCTCAGTTTGTAGTGATCCTACTTGCTGTGCCAGCGGTCGCGGGTTCGAGTCCCGCTGGGGGCATTCATTTGTGTGATGAGCACGAATGTTTGCACTCCAGTCATGGGTGTTTATATTTATAGTATGTATGTATTTAAAGTTATATATGTGTAGTATATCAACTATCTGGTATCCATAACACAAGCCTCGTAGCTTACCATGGAACTAGATGACGCTGTGTGTTAATGTCCCCACATATTATATATTATTATTATATTATATTATATAAAAGGGCGCAATTCTGACTATTAATTTTGGACATTTTTAAAATTTTTAATTGAATCCTAAACTGGAATTCATAATCATAGAAATAGGTCGCTAGAATCGCATTATCGCTAGAATAAAATATTAAATTTACAATTGAGAACAACACAATAAAATCTATCCAGAAACATGGACGACGTGATACGCCGTGCAAACAACACGGAATACGGCCTGGCGAGTGGCGTGTTCACGCGCGACGTATCCCGCGCGCTGCGCTTTGCTGAGCGCATAGATGCCGGTACTGTGTTTGTCAACACGTACAATAAGACGGACGTCGCCGCCCCCTTCGGTGGCTTCAAACAATCTGGATTTGGGAAGGACTTGGGTATGTACATACTATGATAGGTAATATGCTACATTAACATTTTAGATGCTAGATTTTATGTGTATTTATGCTAAAAATGCAAATACGGATTGGCGGACTATTACGGACTACCCCTTTATCCCTTTAGTCATCCAAAAATTAAAAATGAAATGTTCTGTGATTAAATATTTATATTTTAAATTATTTCCTTTGTTACAGGTCAGGAAGCGCTTAATGAATACCTTAAAACAAAGACAATCACAATCGAATACTAGTGAAAAATGGATATAAGTAGGTAATCTCCAAATGCTGCACACGCCAATAATACTTATTATGTGAAGAATTATACATGTTTAGATCTTATTAAAATTAAGGGACTGTTGTATAATAGCTTTATAAATTAGATTTTAGATTATGAATAATATTTGTATATGATAATTTGTAAATAAATATGTGTATTACGTATTAGCTCATATTTTATGTAATATTAAATAATAATTATTTTATGGAAACCGACTTTTTTATTTAAATTTTATTAATCCAATGTTCAATATTCGGGTCGAATATTTTCATACATTTTCCTGACAAATGGAACGGGAGGGATATTAATTATCTTATATAATATGGAGGGTGGAAGTAAGGAGGACCGTCTTGTATGGGGGATTAGTTGAAAAAGTGTCCACTTGTAAACAGCAAATTATTGTTCGAACACTCACGGAAATAGCGCTAGTGTAGGAAATAGAAATGATATGAATTTAGCAGTTATAAACAGAGTGAAGTGTGCTGGGTTGAAAATTGCTTGGCTTGTTACGATTTTAATAAAAAAATTTTTTAATTGCGGTTATTATTTAATACTATTTTCTATTTGCTATTTACAAATAATTGGGGAACTTAAAAATACTGAATAATTTTATTCCCTATTCATGTTTGTCTGTATATTATAATAATTTAAAAAAATGCGCTGTAACAAAGCGGAAATTTTTATTTCATTTTTTAATTTAATATCCTACTCTAATAAATTGTGGCGCTTCTTCCACTTGCTACTACAGCGCCACCTTAATTCACTTCCTTTCAACGGATACTTTTTGATACACTGAGATGGTCCTCCTTACTTCTACCCTCCATATTAAAGAACGAAAGTGTTATGTCAAATTGGCAATTGGCATATCGATTATCGACAGCTATGTTCATGTTGACATTTAAGTGATTTAACTAAATCTAAAAAGAAAAATCTAATTAATTTTTGTAGTAAAGAAATATAGCAAACAAAAAATGGGCAAGGTTCCATTTCGTGATATTTCACCTGCATTGCAAGCTTTTAGAAATTTCCTTCTTGGTGTAAGTGGTGTTTTTTGTATGTTTTTATTGTTATGTAAGTAACCTAAAGTTGCCTAAAATAATTTAATCATTGTTACGATAGAGAAAACATACAAATGCACTGAGATTCGAGCCTTTATTAGCAGCCAGGACTCAACCTCCACCCGAAATTCCTGACGGACCCACCCATAAGTATGCTATTACGTTTTAAATATTTAAAAAATGTTTGGCAATTATTTGACATACTTTGGAAAACAACATTTATTAATTAATTTCCCTCTAAGCCATAAATTAAAGAGAAAAAAAATATAGTTTTGCTATCTCTGTTTCTGTATCAATCTGAATTAAAAACTTAGTTGTTTTACTAGTTCAAATTTTAAGAAGTCAAAATAAAATAATGGAATTTTTAAAACTGTCATATTTTACTGAAAATTTTGTTGCATAAATATAACTAAAATAGCTAATACTTGGTATTTTATAGGCATGCCCACAACTACTATTATACTCGAGATGGTCGGCGTGAAGTTACACCACCTCTAGTTATAACCCAGCAGTTGCTTCCAGACAGTAGTGCCGACAAAGAGTAAGAATACTAATAGTGTATTTATGATTGAGATTATAATTTTTAAAATTAATTTATTTCACTCAGAAATAAGAATTTATGAACTCTGTGTTAGTCTTTCCAGAGTTTCATTCTCATGTATAACATATATTTTTCATTAATATGTATGTACATTTAATTCAAAAATATAATTTAGTAAACCATTTCTTGATTTAAATAATCTTTAGTTTACTTAGTTAATGATGGTAAAGTTATTATTCTTTTTATTTCAGTACTCCTAAAACTGCAGTGAATGTACGGCCAACTCCAGGAAAATTGTATAACTGGGACAAACATTATGAATAATTATTAGCTTGTGCACTGTAAATTGTTTCATTAAATAATAATAGACTACTTTAAAATATTGCTGTTATATTTAAATCCTGCAAGGGAAAAAAATGTCTAACAATCTCCGAAGTTAAATGTGGGAATTCTAACAAAAGAGTAAAATTAGACTAACTCAACAAATTATAATATATGATTATGTGAATTTATTATAGGAAACATACAGAATACATATGTGATTCTAGTTTATAATATAATTTTGACATATAATATTCAGTCAAGTCGTAAGTCAATCGTAAATTTCACATAAGACTGGGATAGCCATTTTATTGCCATATGGCTGCAGATATATAGTGATAAGGACTAGAATAATTCCATCCAAATTAGACTATAATTGCACACAACTGCAAAATTTGGAAACGAGGGGAAGCCTTGGTCCAGCTGTGGGATTAATCAGTAACAGTAATTATAAAAAACTTATAAATACTTTTTGTTGAAAATTTACTTAAAAAAATATGAAAAGAACAATAAAATGGTTTCAAATATTTTATTATACACAAACAACACAAATAACACTTATAGTACAAACAAAACAAAATGTGTGAAAGCCCATTTAAGTTTTACAAAACAAAACTAATGCTTAACATTATAAGCTTATGGCAACTCTACATGAATTATTATAAGAATTAAATAAAAACCATTTTCTATTGACATAGTATTAATCTAGTACAAACAATTCAACCTTTATTTACTCCTAACGTCGGTCCACACATCATTCACTAACTATGCAAAATGCTATTATCTCACAGGAACTATTCGATACATAGAAATATACTCATGAATAATGTAGCTTTCTATTAGTAAAAAAAAAATGTTTTGTCTATCAGATCAATACTTCAGTTTTCTTCCTACTTCCAAACTATCTATTATTTTATTTTTTGCGTATATTTGTAATAATTTGAAATAGTTTTTTAATAGCTTTAAAAAATTGATTATATGCCATACCGTTACAATCTTAACCCCTTTTTAATATTCCAATACAAATGAGATTACATTTTTTATTTATCATTAAAGATTGTGTAATTTAATTTTAAAATACATTTTCGATTAAATATATTTTACCATAAGTTTCCAATTCTATCTTATTGATATTTTTATACATCATTAATATTACTTGAACGAAAAATATTAAAAAAGTTGCCTTATTTATTAGAAACATTATTATCGTATTTTAGTCCAATATAATATACTGAAACGCTAAGGCCCCCTGCGCAATTATTAGGCAGCCAGTCGAACATATGACGGCGTATGGGAGCCCACGCACTAGACAGCCACGAATTCTTACTACTGTTGGCTACGGAAGCCATTATGAACGCGCCTGTTTACACGGCAGCTCATTGGCTGGCGCAGCCACAGCGAGTGTAGGCGAATGTATGTGGCTGCCGTCAGTCTCCATAGAGTATGTAACCCTTTTTATCATTCTCCACTTGTCGTAACAGCCAGACGTATTTTGTGTTGTGAAACTTTTACAAAATGATTTCGTCCCCACTGGCCGTCGCCATAGCTGCTCTAACTGGCTGTTCAATTTTTCGCCCGCCGCAGTCAGGCCGCCTGTCCGTCAGTGCGCGGGGGGCGTAAAAGTTATCTCAAATTATTCTACATCCCATTTGTGATAATTTAAAGACTTATACTTCGAAAATACACATTATCTAATATTTTAAGGCTTAGTTCATATGATGTAACAATTTTATCTTAAATTTTTAAAATTATTTATTAGAATAATCACACTACAGAGATTGTAAATTTTGATGATTTATGATATCTTTATTCAAGAATGTCAAATCGATATATTGGCACATATTTATTATGTACGTACATGATCACTTAAGAGCAAAAATTTCAGATATATTATACATAAATTCTTATGTACTTACATATTTATACATCTAAATACGTATTGGGTGCGTAAAGTGGCGAAGCGTTGGCATACCAATGCAACCAATATGATCGCATGGGGTGGGGTCACTGATTCAAGGGGCCCACATCGGACCACAAAAAAAACTTTTATTTCAAAACATTTTTCCAAGGACTACTCTCATAGAAGTTTAAAGGCTAGTTACGGCAATGCCGCCAGTTATCATAAATATGATGGTAATAATTTCCGTTACAACTCGTCATATCCCTCACTAGACGAATGTAATAGGAAAGTAATTTGTGGTTACAAACATACAAACATTTAATTTATACATTATATATATTATGGAAATATGAACTATAAAAATTCGGATATTTAGTTCTCCTTTATGTGGTCAATATTTTCCAGGATAAAAATAATAGTGTTGTAAAATACAAAATATGTACATACTTAATATCACATTGCCGGTAATAATACAATTTTTATAGAGAGAATTTATAAAAATCACATCCTTATTAAAGATTATAGATCTAATAGAAACAGCTCAGTAAAAATACAAAAAACATCCCATTAATTTTATAAATGTGAAAGTTTGGATGGATGTTTATTACTCAATCACACCAGAACAGGTGAACGGATCTGGATGAAATTTATCACAGAGATGCATAGATCATAGTCTGGAATAGCACATAGGTTACTTTTCATCCCGGAAAAATGTACGGGTTTTTCATTAGGGACGAACCCGAAAGAAGCGAGGGTTAGTTACTAGTTTCATATAAATAAGACAGATACATTAATCACTAGTGTCAGTTGTCTCGGGGGTCCGTATGTGCATCATGGAGAATGTTCCGAAGCTGAATGCTTTATTTCTGGCCGGTCTCCTGGACCGATACCTAAACCTGTGTCATTTATCTCCATCCACTTGCTTCCTAAACTGCATTGCATCACCATAGGCCTTTTTCACTGCTTTTCTATCTGTGGGTTTCCTTGACTCTACCAACTTAGCTTGATCTACAGCTTTATCTAAGCCCAAAGACTCTAATTTATTTGGTGGTAGCCATTGCCACGTACGTTTCACGTCGAAGAATAACACGAGGTAGAGTACAGGCTCGTGGGCATAGTTTTTCTTCAGATTTAAAACATCCTGCGGTGGCACTGGTAGGGGTACTCCATTGTAGATGTACCCTTTTGGCATCTTTGGATCAATTATTAAAGCTGGGTACCAGGGGTATCCTCTGTAATATAAAAAATGTCTATAATTAATACTTTCTCAGATTTACAGGAATATTTGACATTTTAAATAAAACTATCTTATTGGATTTTTATCGTTAATTTTTGGTTGTTATTACATTTACTAGTAACTGCAAAGTAAAAACTACTTGTATTAAGCCAATATTTTTTAATAACATATGTAATTAGACAACCAAAAATATAAACTTTTAAAATAAATCTTACAAGTTTTTTAGCGTTTTTATTCTAAATTTTTGTTGTTTGGAACAAAAAATCAAAGAAAACGGGAACACTGCCACTTTTAATTACTAATTCTTAGATTCTGACTAATATAATCCTTTACAAACCTGCACTTAGCCCATACAAGTTGCAAGGGTTCCAACTGGAGGTCCGACTGCGCACTCTTTACTGGCGTCTTTGACGTGGACGATCTCGTGCCGCGACCCTGAAACAAAATAAATTCATTAAATCAAATCATAATTATATATTTCTCTTATATATGTATATTATTACTATTATATATCCACTTTTAAAAATGTACTTTATTTTGAGAAAGTTAATTTTTCTAAATTGAATCGAATCATCTAGTACATAGATAGTAGACTTTGATAATTTTATTTATTTATTTTTGGGGTTGTTTTAATATTGGGGGTGATTTAAAAAAGATTTAGTCTATATTTAAAAAAACGGTGTTAATAATAATATTTTTCCATACAATCCTCGAAAAAAAAATCTTATAAAATAGAAAATAAAAATGTTTATATTAAGCAGGCGAAACCACGATGAGCGACTACACATTATTTGTTAAATACAAAAAACGATTTTGAATCTTAGCCCACACTAATAAAGATCAAAATACCTTGACGGGTGTAGTCGGCGGCTCCGCATCAGACGCGTCGGCGCGGCGCGCGCGGCGCCGGGGCTCTGCGCCACTGCCGCCCTCTACTGTCGAGTCCATCGTCTCATTGTAACTTGATCTATGAACATACATAAAATATTTGATTTAAATCATAGTTTTTATACCTTTAATGAATTTTAAAACACAAATTAAAAAAAAATGAGATAACCTAATAAATTCCGGACAAGTGCGAGTCGGACTCGCCCACCGAGGGTTTCGTACAAATTTGTAGGAAATCTGTGTAACTTTAATTTCCAACTTTTTTTTATTTTTTGAAATTTTTCCTTTATTTGTGCTATAAGACCTTGCTTTTTGCCAGTGATTCAACGGGAACTACCATATAGGTTTTCGACCCAAAACCTATAGGGTACTTCCGGTTGACCTAGAATTGTCAATTTTGGTTAAAAGCAAGGTCAGTACAAACAAGGAGAAAATTACGAAAAATAAAAAAAGTTGAAAATTAAGGTAAATTTTGGTACTTACAAGTTTTCGCGAAAATCTAAATTTGCGGATATCTTTTTATCGTGTTGACTCAGGACCTTGATTTTTATACACCTAATAGTGAATATAGACCTTGGTATCTGGTATAAATTTCAACTTGCTAGTTCAACCCGTTCCTGAGAAAATCGGCGGTGACACACGGACAGACAGACGGACAAGAAAGTGATCTTATAAGGGTACCTTTTGAGGTACAGAACCCTAAAATTATTCTAGATACGTAATGTCCGAATAGAACATAATGACCGATGAGTAAATAAAAAAAAGGAAAATTGAACAATTTACCTAATTGTTTTTTTTCAATTCTTTCATTTAATCAAATTAAACTCTAATTTTTCTTTTTTTGGGAAGCTTCGCAGCTGCGATACAATACCAACTTTGTGGAAACATTTTGCGCAAACCGATAGACCTGCGTCATATATATGTCCGGCCTTCAAAAGTGCTTGGATGAGTCTAATCGAATAAAGTATCATTTCTTTTTAAAGAGTAGGGTATTATGTGTTAGTAAAAAAAAAACGACGATTAATCCGTGATAATATTTCTTTATATTGCTATGTATGTATAGCCCCTTAACTGCTTCGGTGGTCTAGTGACTAGCATGAACAGCCACAGATCCTGAGGTCCTAGGTTCGCCAAGTTTAGATATTGAGTTTTTCTGTTAAGTAAATCTCAGTAACAGCCCAGAGTTCGGAACACCCCGGAGTGGGTGTTGGAGGAGTTTCACGTCCGTGCTTCCTAGAGCACGACTGGTCGTGTCGAGTAGTTGTCCCACTGGAGTATGAGAGCGACAATGAAGAATTGAATGAAATGAAGAGTGGCCGCTGTGGCCGAAATCAATCAAAAGTACATCATAGCCCACTACCATAAGTCATTGGAACTGAGACTAACAAACAAAAACCCTATCTCCGCGTTAAAGAAACTCTGTAGGATCTGTGAGGTCATTTAAATATTATTTGATTGTAAATAATGTCTCACCCATCACTTGAACTAAAGGAACAGGAGTGGTCTGATGCGTTGTCGTCGTCATAGTGGGTGCAGGACGAACACGACTGAGACCACGCCGAGCTACTGCTGGAAGACCTGTAAAGGAAAAAATTGACGAAAACTTCGCACAGATTACAACGTAAATGTCACTTGAAATTGGGAAGATTTTTATTTAAAAAAAGAAAAGGTTAAATGTAGTTTTTTTTTTAAATAAAAAAATTGTTCCTTTCGGTGAAACTTAATATCTATAATATTTATGATACTTTTCTTTAATGTCCCGTTCATTTGTGCCATTCTGTATATTTAAAGAAGTAGACCATAAAACAATTAGAACAGTCAATTTTGTTGGTAAAGCCGCAAACAACTATATTTAGATCCAAAACCACACACTAGAGGAAACAAAGCACGACCTATAACTAAATGATTATCTATACTGTATTCACCGATTGAACCAAGCACTGTGATTTTACAAATTTTTTTACAATGCAAGTCATAATTAGTCCGTCGTTACATTCCGTACCGTTCAGACGTCTCTCGTCTAATTACCTGATTTATTTCAATGGAGATGACAGTGATACGTCGAAAAGCGTAAATTAATAAATATGTATACAAATATTTAAAAATACATTTGATTTTACTTTAATGTTGATTTTATTTTATTACAAATTATTAATAATTCCTCACTAAAGCATTAGCAACACGAACGAGTCTTATTATTTCAAACCAGTTGCAAGCTTTAGTGAATGGAGCTAGACAGTTTTGTGTCCTTATCAGTTTGTATGCTAATGTGGGACAGAGAAAGCGCTTTGCATGGTTCACTCTGTGAACAGAGTATAGCTATCTATGATTACCTAGACAAAGCGAGGTCACTATCAGAGCCGACCTCCCCGGGCGGGCCTCGGTACTGTAAGAACGAGGCGCTACTTGGAACACCAGCTCCCTCTGCATTTGCATCACCCATGTTCCTTAAAAATATACTTATTATTAATTATTTATGTTCTTTATAACTTAAATATAATAGTTCAAGGGTAAATAAGTATTTGATTATTAATTCCATTACTTTACTAAATCTATGGTTCACGCTGTGCATAAAAAAAATTAAACCTGACCAATCAGCGACCGTTCAATTTAACGGCCCAAAACATTTAGTGAAATTGCCCAGGAAAATTATAAAGTAACTAAGATAGTCCCGTGATATTGTGAGAAATGGAAACGTTTGACAAAGTCCCGTGCAATGAAATTATAATTTCATTTCGCGAAATTCATTATATTATATTAAAAAACATACACCCAAATTAGGGCAAGAAATGTATAACTTTTTTTGTTGTTATCTACTATATATTATGTATTCATGTATGTATGTATGTATTCATGTATGTATGTATGTATGTATTTATGTACCTATACTTTTTATGAGCTTGTATATATTTATTATTAATTGTACCACCCAGTTTACGATTCCACGAATGATTTTACCAAAGGCTATTTGTCAGAGATCATAGCAATAAGACCGGCTTCGCATGCTTTTTTGTTATCTTTCTTTTTTGCTACATCTTCTGTATTATTTTGTGTGTGCAATGAAGTATTTATCTATTTATATATCTATTTTTCAATTTGAATTCCATGGCTAATACACATCTAATGCTCAAAGCATACCTAAACAAATCAAACGATGATACAGACTTATCTTTATCTTGCTTGCGCGGACGCCCGCGACCCTTCTTCCTCGGCGACGGCTCTAGGCTCGTACGTCCCATACTCGCCGATAACGTTGGTAGAGTGGCTGTGAAATTTATACTAATATTAAAAATTTTAAAAACCCCCGACCATCTTGGACCGATTTTTATCAAACATAGCTAAGAACACTCCCGACGAATTCACCTTGCAATCAAAAAAAAACAAAATCAGTTCTCAGTTCGAGAGCTACGATGCCACAGACAGACATACACATAGACACGTCAAACTTTCAACACACTGTCGTTTTTGCGTCGGGGGTTAATTATAAAATTTACAAACAAATGAAACACACTTTCACAATGTGAAAGTGTTTCATTTGTTTATGCTTCTTTCACGTCGAAACAGAGTGACGTGATGAAGCAAGAATTGTTTTTTAAACTATTGGAGTCATAGGTAATACATTAAAAAAATACAATAAAAAATTGCGCTTACATTATATTGATTTGTAACAAGACACTTTTAGACAGACAGACGTTGACCTGTCCAAACATATAAATAAATCTTCAATATGTTGGCATATACATATAAAGCCTACCAAACACATACCAAACATCACCTACCAAATTCAATTGTGAATCTAAGCCATCCAAAGATCCACTCAAACAAAAACAAGAATTTATAAAAATCGGTCCATCCGTTTAGAAGGAGTTCAGTGATATACACACAAAAAAAATATATATAAACTAGCATTGCCCGCGGCTCCGCCCGCGTTCAGATGACCAAAAACTAAATTCTTAGGTGTTACATATTAGTATACTCTTACATTGCAGTTTTTGTATTTTTCCTCAGAAATAAGATATTTTCCCGCGGTAAAAAGTATCCTAGGATCGCGCGCTACATCGCCCGGTTTATATAGCTTGAGCAGGCGGTCGAGCGATGCGGGGCAGAGGGGATGGACTCGCCGTAGGCATCTCAATGCTCGCCAAGCATTAAAAATGTTTCGCTACTAATTACTTCTAACAACGATATCTCAAAAACTATTCATCTGATTGATTTAGTGTAAAGAGCAATTTTAATCTGCATTAAATGACTAAGCTAACTAAAATATTCATTTGGATAAGGATTAATACCGAACTAAAGAAAATAACTTTGAAAATAACGTAATGTTTTTAATTAAAAATGTTAACATAAAAGTGGTTATTGTAAGTCAACCGTAAGAGATAGAGATATGCTATCGCGGACTTTTTTGTAGCATTTTTATAGATTTTGAATTCTCTAGTACATTACTTAACTGTATCTTTGCTAGTTTACGCGGCGTTCGCGTGGAAAGTTCCCATTTGGCGAGATTTTTTGCGACCTCTTCAACATTTGTCGCCGTATTTCAGCTAATTTACATAAAAGCATAATAAATTATATACCTAAACCTTCCTCAAGAATTACTCTTTCTATTGTTGAAAACCGTATAAAAATCCGTTCAGTAGTTTTCGAGTTTATCGCGTTCAGACAGACAGGAGGACAGACAGGAGGACAGAAAGACGCGGCCGGGGGACTTATTTTTATAATAAGTATAGATATCAACACAAAGATTGCTTACCATCAGATCCGAAGCTTTTAGGGGGCGTCGCTAGTGTAGAGGGCGTCACTAAAAGTGTCGGCTTCCTCAGACCGCCCAGAAGACCCAAACCTATAAATTATAAGACAATATACAACAAACATGGTAAGTACTACATATACTAAAAAAATATGAAACTTGTGTTAACGTTGTATTATATTTTTGTATTGTGTTGTTGTATTCATCCCTTTTTAACGTCCTGCTGCTGGGCACGGGTCTTCCTTCAATACGAAGGGGATCAGGTCGTAAAGTTCTCCAGATCTCCAACATGCAGGTTTCCTCATGATTTTTCCTTCACCGTAAGACAAATGGTAATCATGTTGAAAATGATTCGCACATGAAAATATTAGAGGTGCGCGACCCGCTTCACTCGGTTTCCCAAGCGAGCGCATTCCACTGGGCCACCTCTGCACATTGTATACAATAGTATACAAATCTTTAAGTAGAATCAGATATTTTTCAATAAAAGCTTCTAAAACGCTATTTTCAACATATGACACCAAAAATTACAAATGGGGTTTTTAAAAAAAATGTAACAGAAAATTACTTTAATAATTTAAATAGTATTTCATATGCACTGGCTAGCACTATAAATTATTGATATTATTATTTATTATATATTTATATTACATTATAATCAATATATATATATATATATATATATATATATATATATATATATATATATAGTACCTGGGCGACCGAGCCTTGCTCGGAGTGTTTGGCCAAAAAAAACGTTAAAAAAAACAAACTAAGAATTTGAATAACTACAAAAAAAACAAAATTAAAAACTTTGTGTCCGATCGGGATACGAACCCAGACACCTATGGTTGTCAAATTTGCGCATTGGCCGCTTGACCATGATGCTTATATCTGAGCATGCGAAATTATCGAACATAATATTTTGCGTGGAATTATTAATTATTAATTTATTGAAATAATGCAACAGGAATCATAATGATAATGAAGCTCTATTTATTTATTATAAAGGCTTACTTACTAAATTTACATAAAAACATTTATTTAACAATATAATTTTACCTATTTGTATATTAATTTAATTTAAAAGTATGCACAGCTTTTTATAAAGGATTTCCATTAAAATTTTATTTGGTTAAAAGTATATAAGGAGCCATTTTAGTTGTACAATAAATAAAAGAAGAAAAAAAAACTAATCTAAATATTTAAATACACTTTCTTTTTAAATAAATTTAAACTATCAGAAAAAATGTCTATATCACATTGCTGAAATATAAAATTATATAATTTAGTAACTATTTATTAACTTATAATTTTTTAACTAATAATTTTGTAATCTGGAATTAAATTATTTTAAAAATCTTTAATATTATTTGAAATTATATTGTATATATATAAATTATCATTAACAAATAAATAAACAATGACAGTAAATTAAATAATTTAATTGAGTAAATACTAAACATTTCACAATAATACATATAAATAAAATTTCTTTCTATACATTAATTCTGACAATAGTTATAAATTAGGTATTTAATTTCATAATTAAATGTATTTATTTAGTAAATGTATTTTTCATGTATAGACCCCTCTCGGTTAAAAGCCTCCTCCAAAGTAGTCCTGCATAGAGCTCTCCGTTGGAGATTATGCTTGCATGATTGCAAAGGGTTTCTTTTCAAATTTTGTTTCCAATATACTATAATTTGTTTCTGATATGCCTATAAAGTTTATAATTTTATCTTTGTGTTCTTTTGATTTGTTGTAGGAAATGCTGCTTTTAATTCTAGAAGTTTTTCTGGTGAAGATATGTATTACCTTTGTTCTTTGTATGTCTGTCTTTCTTTGGAGGGTTACAGTCGAACTCCCCCACAGTGACCGGCCATACTGGGGGATAAAAATGAGGAGGTTCCTACTGTGTTTAATATACTGTATCTTGCTGTGTTGTTTTTAGTTCTTCCTGGTTATCATTTGTGTGGTTCAAAGTTAATTTTGGTTTTTGTAATATAAAGTCTTTAATATTAGCAGGTTTGGTTTTCTTTGTATGTTGTTTATTTGTTAGTTTTTGTTTATAATTGAGGTAAGGCGTTTCTGAAGATACAGGCAGACTTCTTTTATTTGAGTATTGGCGGGAAGTGTTCTTATTACTATCCACAATAATTAGTTTGTCATATTTAATGAAAGCTGTTTTGCCTAGGTCTTTTTCTTTATTTTCAGTTGGGCTTGTAACTCCTTGCGTTTGTTTAAGACTTTATTTTTTCCTCTAGTTCATGATAGGATTTTTCACCTTTTTCTACTCCGAACATAACCAAGTTCTTGCGCCTAATATGTCTTTCTAAATTATTTATTGAGGATTTTTTTATTTCTAAGTGTTTAAATTTCTCATTTAAGTATATTATTGTTGATTGTATTTTTAATGTCTTCTTTCATTTCTAACATTTCTGTTTTCTGCTGTCTTATTTCTTGTTGTATGTTTATTAGCAACTTTTTTATCTCCTCCATCTTAAGTGTGAAGTCGGAAGTAGAAAAGCTGATTGAAAAAGAGCACCAATTATACCTAGTTGAATTGCAATTTTATACAGAGTATTAGTTTTTGAGGTTATAAACTTATGTTTTAATATTTTACGCTTTCACTTCACAAATTATTTTGTTTTATTGTCATCACACACAGAAAAGATGGTTTTGCACTAATAGTATCTGTATGTTATGTTTCTCACTTTTGTATTTGTTTGGTAGGTGAATTTTTAAAAGCTCATTTGTTCTTCAACACATCAAGACTTGGTGATGTTTATAGATTAATATTTCTTAAAATTATTATTAAACTAATTAGAATTTATCATTTTCTTTAGATTATTTCCACTTAAATATGTTTAAACTTGATGTAAATACGGACACGATATTGACAGTTGTACAGTGGCGCCTCCCACCCACCAGAAGTGACAACTGACAATGCAAAAATTGTGAAAATGCAAAAGAAAACCGCATCAAAATTCAAAAACACGCGTTTTTCCAGACATAAGACTAATCTAGATCGATTTATCGCCCCCGAAACCCTTTGTATACTAAATTTCATGAAAATCGTTGGAGCCGTTTTCGAGATTCAGATTATATATTGAGATATATATATATATATACAAGAATAGCTCGTTTAAATATATAAGATAAGTAGTTACCACTAGAAGTTTCGGGTTGCTTTGATGGCGATTTTTCAGGGGTCGCCAACTTCTGCGTGCGCTCTACAGTTTTCTTCGGCATCACCGGTGTTTCCGAATCGGTCGTAGGCGTGTCTGGTGGAAATAAAAAACATTTATACAATATTAAGGTAAAAAAAAACTTTTTGAGAGAGCTAGACGAAAGTTAGTTAAGTTAGAAATCACAAAACTTTTTAACCGACTTCCGAAAAGGAGAAGTTATTAAAAAAAGAAATAAAAAAATAAAATACCTTAGTTCATGAAATCGTAATTACAATATTTTAAACTGAGATTTCCCAGTAAGTAATCAATGGTACTTGTTTTGGGATTTTTTGGGGAATTGTTATTATTTACTAATAGAGACTCACCCCCTTTTGACGCTTAGTATGGAATAGATTTTTTTTATTTATTTTTTTATTTTTTTCCCGATGTTTTGATAGTTATTCTGCTATTCGGGGTGAAAACAAATCCAACAAAAGAAAGATCATAAAAATCGGTCCAGCAGTTCTCGAGGTATAAGTGTTGTAACAAACCCGACTTTGTTTTATATATATAGACTAGTGACTCACCCTCACTCCGCTCCGGTTCGTCCCTAGGTGATTCTTTAAATTGACGTAACTTTTTTATTTATAAACATATTGAAATAAAACAAATACTAAATGTTAAGTGAAGCTTACCACACACAATATATTAGTGAAAACCGCACCCAAATCAGTTAAGCCGTTTCTGAGATTAGCGCGCACAAACGCACAGACAAAAAGAGAAAAAATATAAAAATCATTTTTTTGCGTTCTATTGCGTTAATAAAGACCCCCAATAATAGTTTATCACAAATATCTTCCATGTGCAGACAGCGATCAGTTACTATGTATAGATGAATAGATTACCTATTTCCCTCGGCTGCCTGGGCAGCGAGTGGGCCGCCCGCCCCCGCCCGCGCCGGCCGCGCCGGCCCCGCCCGCGCCCGCGGCCTCGCCACCAGTTCCTATTCACTTTGCTCTTAGATGAGGCCGCCGGGGAATCGTCCCTCTGGAATGATTTGAGATGCATATGTCATAACAATAATTAATGTAGATTTTACAATAGAGATTACCTCTCTGCTTGTTACTTCGCCCTTTTACGGTACGACGAAAGCAACAACTACAATGAATGTATAGAGATAGCAAACAAAGTGATATATAGATTTTTTCAAGTGAAACTTTTTTAGAATCGATGTGATTTGAAACTCGATGAAACGAAAACGCGACACGAGAAAGAGACGAACACATTAATATTTAGAATTAAGCCGGCGAGAAAATTAGATACAATACATTGCCATGATGCTATGGTAACCGTTGTTATTGTCTGACAAATATATAATATTTTGAGATTTATTTTGAGATAGAATACATTACACAGGAAGTGAAAAATAATAAAATTAATTACAGAATAATATGCAATTTACATTTATGTCAAATAAAATGTAAAATAACTTTTAAACTTGGTAAAAATATTATTAAAAAACTAGGAAGTTGTTACAGATGGTAAATTAATAAGTTATTAAAATGATAAATACCGTATTATTATCGTCGTCCGTATCTCCCCGTACGCTGGGTTGACGTCTCTCACTGCGAGCTATCGACACTCCTCGCTCACTGCGTGTGTCTGAAACAATTAAATAAGATTATTGAATATCAGCGGCATTTCATTTAGCTGTTTTTCGTTAGATTGTTATGGGATATAAAGTCAAGTCCCGGTACGTCATCTCATGTTGTTATTCGCAAATCAAAAAAATGGGGTGTAGTCTCGGCTAATATTATAATGAAAATGTATAGAACACAATACTTCCTTAGACTAATAAAAAATATTTAAATGTTATAAAAATTAAATTAACAAATATTGTAAGGTAATTCGGTGCCATTTGCATATTTCTTCCAAATTATTGTATAATTTTGTGGGTAGATACTGTCTATAGCAACTATATTGACTTTTGAAATGTCTACAACCTTAGTCTCTCTCTTGCTGTAAAGCATTCGAAACGTCGAAATATAAGATATAAAAGAAAACCACGACAAAATGAGAAAATACAGTTTAATTTAAAATGTATAAAACAAACATTATCAATTTGCTCAATTACTCACTGTTACAGCTGTACTGTCACGGGGGATGTCACCGGCCAGCACGAGCTGTCACGTCACGTCACACGTCATACGTACCAGCGGTATGGTCACTGTCGCTGCTGTCCCGGGCGCGGGGCGGGCGGGACGCGCGGGGCGCGGGCCCGTCCGCCTCCCCGCTGCCGGCCAGCCCCGGCATGCCCGCCTCGATCACGTCGCGCCGCGCTTGACGGAATATCGGGATGCATTGCTCGCGCATCTTTATACCCGCTCTGTGGGTACAATTTGTTTATATCACTAAATGTACAGTCACGAGCAAACATATAATGACCTTAGACAGTTCGGATATAATATCTGGTTGAATGACTCATTCATTAATACCTATTCTCTAGATGACATTAAAAATATGTTACATCGAATTAATAACAAAACTATGTTTAACACACGCGATGCAAACATATAGGATGTCACTTTGGTTGCAAAATATGTCACCTTAACTCTTAAGTGCAAAAATATGTGACATGTCTGGTGTTATTATATTAATATCTGCTTAACTCAATGACATGTCTGGTGTTATGTTATTAATATCTGCTTTACTCAATGACCAAAAATATATTTCACGCAGGCAGTATTATATATAGTATCGGAAGTCTGACATTGTTTCAAGTAATAATAATATTACAATATTATTGCCGAATTAACCATTGTCATATATTTATGTTCGTGACTGTACTATAATCTACAGATACTGGTAAATTTGATGGTTTATTTATGTGATTAGTACCATTCTTTCTACAGAGATTTGTGATCCACTTATCGCTTATTTTATTGTTATATAAGTTATTGTTCCATTAACTGCCTCGGTGGTGTAGTGGCTAGCATGTACGGCTGCACACCGGAGGTCCTTGGTTCAAGTCCCGGGTCGGGCCAAGTTTAGTTATTGAGTCTTTCTGTATAGTAAGCCTCAATAACAACCCGGAGTTGGGAAGTTGGCGGTGTTTCATCTCCGTGTTTCGGAGAGCACGTAAAGCCGTCGGTCTCTGGTCGTGTCGAGCAGTCGTCCCACCGGAGTATGAGAGTGACAGGAATAGAGAGTGCACTTGTGTCTGCGCGTACACTTGTGCACTATAATATCTCCTGCGCAGTTGGCTAGTCTCAATGAGATTGACCGCCGTGGCCGGAATCGGTCAGGAGAATATCATTGTTCCATATCACTACCGAATTCCATCTTTTATCAGAGTATAGTCCAGAAAAATTTAGAATAACTAAGACAGACCAAAAATTTTACACTTATTTTGGTAATTTTAAAATATTTTGTAAAATATTTTTCAATTTCGCTTATGTCCTTATCCATACTAATATTATAAATAAGAAAGTTTGTTTATTACTCTTTCACGCCAAAACGGCTGAACCGATCTAGATGAAATTTGGCACAGAGATAGTTTATAGTCCGGAATAGCACATTCGGTTCCCGTGGGATAGATTTATGTCTAGGGATGGACCCGAAGCTAAGCGAGGGTGAGTCGCTATTAATACATAAATATTTAAAAAATTACACTGATTAAAGGGAATGCAAAGACATTGTATAATAAAAAAAAATAAAAAAAAACCACTAAAGCTTTATAAGCTATGTAAATCAGCACTTACTTATAAAACACTGTATCTTTATTGTTATACGTGAGACAGTTTTCGATCATGAGCTGGAAGTCAGCTTCGACGTCATCTATCGTCTTGTAAGCGCCGCGATCTAACTTCTTGCCCATGGTGCTCAAGTCCATGGGATGTTTCACTATTGTACTGTAGTCGGGTACCTGTTATAGACATAAAAAATATACTTTAAATTTAAAGTATTATACAGGTTTAACTATGTAAGAAAAAATTAACCCACAAAAAGTGCAAATAATTTTTGTAAGAAATAGTAAATCTGTATATATAATAAAATTCTAAGTCAAATGTGTAGTCTGTGAACATTCTCTATTTCTATTTTATTTTTGTACTATGTCTTTGGATAGCTTGATTTAAAATTTTATAAACATTATATTTTTACATACATACACAATAATTACTAGAACAGGCTCAAAAATGAAGCTAATAATAAATGCATAATAATGTCCCTCCCGGGCCAATCTCATTGAGACTAGCCAACTGCGCAGGAGATATTATAGTGCACAAGTGTACGCGCAGACACAACATACTCCGGTGGGACGACGTGAGACACGACCGGTGAGCGTTAGGCGCAGGACCGACGACTTTAAGTCCTCTCCGAAGCACTCCGTGGGCGAAACACCGCCAACTTCTTAACTCCGGGTTGTTACTGGGACTTTCTTAACAGAAAGACTCGATAACTAAACTTGGGCCGACCCGGGCCTCGGACCCAGGACCTCAATGTGCAGCCGTACATGCTAGCCACTACACCATCGAGGTAGTTGATAAGTGCATATAATTGTTACTGTGTGTGTGCGCGTGTATATGTGATATCACCTCCCACTTGTGTACCTCAAGCAAGTCCACAGGCTCAGTGAACACGTCGCTGTGGTCGGCGTGCCGTAGCAGGCGCAGCAGCTTGTGCAGCGCGGCGCGCTCGGGCCGCAGCGAGTGCAGCACGCAGCGCTCCCACACGCGCGTGTACTCCGCCTTGAGCCGCTCGCGCTTGCGCACCAGCTCGCACAGCAACCTGGCACGCGTATTATTTTATTTATTTATTTTTAATTGTAAAAAATTGGTCACGTAGTATGGGTACGTTCCCTTATATGTATGCAACCCTTATATGTATTGTATGTATTCAACCCTTTTTAACGTCCCGCTGCTGGGCAGGGACCTCCCAATACGGGGGGGATCAGGTAATAGTCCACCACGCTGGCCAAGTGCGGGTTGGCGGACTTCACATGTCTTTTGAAAACTTCCTAGGTTCTCTCAGACATGCAGGTTTCCTCACGGTGTTTTCCTAATCACCGTTAAGACAAGTGGTAATCATGTTGGAAATGATTCGCACATGAAAATATCAGAGGTGTGAGACCCGGGATTTGAACTCGCTTCACTCGGTTTCTCAAGCGAGCGCGTTACCACTGGGCTACCACTGCCTCTATGTATACACTGCCTTATATGTATGTACATAGAAGTAACACATAAAGATAAGTTACAACTTATAATGATATAGTAATACATAATTGAACTAGCCACTTGCCAGGTGAAGCCGCAGGAAAACGCTAATATAAAATAATTTAGTAAAAAAAAACAAAAGATTTTTGTCAACTATAATGTACTTTTAGTTCACCGAATTTACGGAACCAGAAATCACTAAACAAGATTTCATATAAGAAATAGTTCAATATATATTACACCTAGATAGTTATACTGTTTAAATTTCTCCCTCCATCTAATCTGACTTCTTCTCCCTGCCCATTTCCCAATCACTTGGGGTCGGCGCAGTACATCTTCTGTACTGCTGATAGGATTTGACAAGTATTACGACCGGCTGCCTGCCTGACGTCAACCCTCCTTGGGAATAATCCATCTAATCTGACGTTAGTCATAAATACCTTGCTCTTTCTAAATCTTGACGTATTCTCTGCCAGTACTTAAGCTGATTGCACAACTCTCGAACATTAACCGTGCCATCTTGGATGCCTCTTGTACCTGAAAACAATACTCACTATGAATATATGTATACAATGATGCGAGCGGATTCGGTTTACTAAATTTTATTTCAATTATGTACTGGTATTTGCATGTATAATTAATACATAATCGCTAGAAATGAGACAATAATAATAGTACATGCATATGTATGATATAATAATTTAGAGACAGAGAGAGTTTTTTAGTTAGTCTGTTTGTACGCACTAATCTCAGGAACTACTAATCCGATTTGACAAATTCTTTTTGCATTACATAGCCTATTTATTGAAGAAGTCTACCTATTTAAATGTTGTATTCTTGTTTATCTACACAGGTAAATCTCGCGACGAGCTTTTATATCATATAAATTGTGTAATGTAATAAATTGTTGGGTTTGATTTAATTTAAAGTTTATTTTGTTCTTTTTAGAGCATTTAAATAAAAGATTGCTTTTTTAAATATTTTTGACTATTAATTTATTTTTTATTTTATTTGTATTCTTTTCAGCAACCCTTTCATTTTATATCCATATCGTAGAAGGGCATTAAAAATAACTAGTCCGCCATATTGGGTGCTCCTCCGTGTTGGATTTAGAATAACGTTACACGGCTAGCCATACATTGTCATCCAAACTAAACTTGTATACAAAATCTCAGCTCAATCGGTTGAAGATATCTAATTCAAAACTGAGTTGCAAGATTCCACTCGGACAAACATACATTGCAAGTTAAATAAAAGCTTGTAAAAAAAACAAACTCACCGTGATGGCTAGTCAAGCTCTGCAGCCGCCTCAGCAGCGGCACACCGTTGCGACTGTGCCGCTTGAGCGTCCAGTACGCGAGCAGCCGCTTCATGAGCTGGGCGCGCGCCGGCGGCGGGCCGCGCGCCAGCGCCGCCACCTCCGCCACGCGCTCCGCCGGCAGCGTGGGCACCAGCACCACGGGCGCCCACGTGCGCTTGAGGGCTAGCACCCGCCGCGCCTGCGCACACGACTGACGGTCACTGGTTTAGTTTAAGCCTTTGATAACCTATCTAATAATACTTTCTTAGATTTACACGAATATTTGACGTTTTAAATAAAACTATCTTTTCGGATTATCTCGCGGATTTATTTTGATTTTTGGTTCCCGACGTTTCGAATGCTTTACAGCAATCTTATCTTAGTCACGGAAGAGAATAAGGTTGTAGACGTCTCAAAGGCGTTATATACTTGTCACAGACACTGCCTATCCACTATTTAACAAAAATGATTTCAAAAATGGCACCAAAGTACCTTACAATATTTGTTGGTTTAAAAACCTATCTAATGTTACACGCGATACACGTGTATTTTACACGTATTCGTTTAAATGGGAAAGAGAGAAGCTCAATTTTAAGTCTACAATATACTACATACATGGTATTTAATAGACTGCATATTATCTTTACTTCACTTCTTTACATAGGTTTTTTTTTGCATTTTTTTATCATTTATCTTTTTTAACTTTCTAAAAAGGCCCTAAATTGTTGTGTGCCCAAGGGCCCCCACAAGACGACCCTGCTTAAAAGACGAAATTTATATAGGCCTACTACCCTAAAAGTGCAGTCACTACTCATTAAATCCGTTTAAAAATAGATGAAGACTTCGCATAACCATCATAAACAGAAAGAATACACCGAAACTAATTAAATTAAAACATTAAAATATTTGGAGCATATCATAATATACATAATTATATTATACCTGTTTGATTTTCTCTCGGCCTTTTTGTCTGATGGCAGATAAATCTGATGATTTATTATCGCCTTCAGACTCTTGAGCTCTTCTTTCCTGAATGATTTATTAAAACATTTTAATTTCTGCTGTTTCTAAATATACCCTCTTATTTAGCAACTAAGTACAAGAGCCGTATTTAATTATTTTACAACACGTTTGGCTCAGTTTGTAGTGACCCTACTTGCTATGCCTGCGGTCGTGGGTTCGAGTCTCGCTGGGGGTATTCATTTGTGTGATGAGCACGAATGTTTGTACTCCGGTCATAGGTGATTATATTTATAATATGTATTTAAAGTTACATAAATATGTGTAGTGTATCAACTATCTGGTACCCATAACACAAGCCTAGCTTACCATGGAACTAGATGGTGCTGTGTGTTAATATCCTAAATTTTATATTTATTTTTCACTATCGGGTATACGAAAATTCTAAGGATTCTGATGTAATATAAAATGATTGTACGCAAAATTTAAGAAACCTTAAACACCATACGTAAATCCAACATATAATTATAGATAGCTGATATATAATCTTATTTGTGCACACTTTATCATAGACTAGCATTGCCAGCGGCTCCACTCGCGTTCAGATGACCAAAAACCAAATTCTTAGGTTTTACATATTAGTATGAGTATACTTTGCAGTTTTTGTATTTTTTCTCAAAAATGAGATATTTTCTCGCGGTGAAGAGTATCCTATATGTTTAGCAATACCAAATTTTATCAAAATCCCTCCAGTGGTTTTTCTGTGATGCGGTAACAGACAGACAGACAAAAATTCTTCAAACTATAGATTCGGCCTCTGCATCGATAATAACGTCTATTTCAATAGGATTTTCTAAAAAATATTTAATGTACAGATTCAGCTTAGTTACAATTTTATTATATGTATAGATTATACTTTTATTTTACTGAACTTACTTAAATGACTTATTTTTATTAACTACTAGAAGAACCCGCGGCTTTGCTCGCGCTAAAACTATAAAGAAAACTCTAAAAAGGCAGGTTTCATACAAATTTTCGTGCCCTATTTTACCCCCTTATGGGACGAATTTCGAAAACACGTATTTATTCAATTGTATATCAGGACATTTATACCAAGTTTCAAGTAATTCCGATCATAAATATTTTTTTGGATTGTATTATAACGTGTTTTCCCGTGAGAATGAAATAAGTTCGCCAATCCGTCATTTCATTTCCACGTGAACGAAGGACAAACAAACAAACACACTTTCACATTTATAACATTAGTATGGATTATTACATATTTTAGGAACTAATCATCGATCAAAAAGTACTAGATACACAATCACCGACAAAAAAGCGTCACAAACTTTTGAGCGCGCTTTTAATTAATATATTTTTTGTGAAAATAACTTTAAGCATTGCATTTAAGGTTCAATTTACATTGTAGTATTTTTTTTCAACTAGAATAATTACCTAAACACGATTAGTGACAGTTTTTAGAGAACTTTTGCATGAGATTGTGTATCTAGTACTTTTTTGATCGATAGAACTAATGATGTTTTGTTTTTAATTTATTGCATGAACATGAAGTGATAACCTATAAATTCATCTCAATCTCAATCATTTATCTTTGATTTGTAAAAGTAATCACGAACGTAATTAATGTAACTTTTGTTGATTATTCTAAGAAAATAAATAAATGAAAAATTAAATTAACAAAATACAGTATGTGTGAGACATTATTTTCAAACAATATCGCCATAATTTAGCTGCTTCCAAATAAAAAACACAAACGAAATTTTTTTTTTTTACTTGTAATATATGTGCCGGCGTGTGCGCATCACAGTACGCCATTTTCGCGACCTGCACCGGCTGGCTGGGGTCCCGCCCTGAGCCCGCCGCCTCCATCTTCATGTACAATCTGGAAAACAACCTTTCTTAGTTTGCCTATAAATGTGAAAGTTAAAAACATAAGGTACGCATTTCCTAACAAATGTCTCTTCAAAAAGCGCCGACATGTCACGTTAAATCAAACCAAAGAATAAAATTCAAAAATCAAAGTTCTAATTGTCTTAACATAAATTCGAACTTTTGCACACCACGTAAAGTATTTTTTTTAACGAAAGATTATATTATATACTAGCGGACCCGACAGACGTTGTCCTGTCTACACGTCTTTAATTTGAAAATTTCAAACTTTTTTTAATAATTTTTTTGATGAAAATTATTATTCAAATTGTGAATCTAAACCATTCCCAGATCCCCTTGAACACACACAAAAAATTTCATCAAAATCGGTCCAGTCGTTTGAGAGAAGTTCAGTGACATACACACTCACAGAAGAATTATATATATAAAGATTAACGAAGAATTTTGTCATCCGAAAAGCAATAAACAAAAGAGATTTGAATAAGGCACAATTCAATTTCGAATTGTGCACTTTTTTTGACGACACTTTTGAGACTCTAATTATGTGTTTTGTTTTTTTGTATTAAAATTGCCCATGTTGTTTTTTGAGCCCATTTGAACATTTGAACGCGCTTTTAATTATTTTTTTTGTCAAAACAACTTTAAGCATTGTATTTAAAGTTCAATTTACATTGTTATATATTTATTTTGATTAGAATAACTACCTAAACACGATTGGTGACAGTTTTAAGAGAACTTTTGTATGGGATTGTGTATCTAGTACTTTTTTTATTGATGTATTCGAAACATGTTTAGGAGTTGCGAGGTACAAAATACAAATTGTTTAAAACCGAAGACTTCTATCTGTCAAAGACTATTTGAAATTATCGCGCCAGGAACCCCAGTTGTTCCATTACCGCCTACCGATTCGCTTCTCACTTATATTGTTATAAAAGTATATATGCTAGAGATATTTGTGACTAAGTTAAAGCTAATATATTACTTGTATTATGTAACTTTGAACTTTCGATCATTCCTACCATGTACCCATTATAGACGAGATCTAGTATTTAAAATTATTTGAATCGATTTGTTTTTTTTTTTCTTTTTGAAGTTATATTTCTTTTGGCACGTTTCGAAAAAAATATGAGAGTAAAATTTTACGATTCGCGCGCATACCGACTGCCAAAAAGCGACATGATGAAGTTAGCTGCATTTATTTTACAAACAGAGAGTGTGACATACGGGATGAAATATTTAGCTATTTTCGTTCTGTTACACCAAAGAAGTATAACTTCTTACGTGCGTACACAAGTACATACACGCACGTTTATTTTTTTATTTTTACCGTAGTCTGCTGGAATTGGAACCGGTATATCAAGTCCTTAAAAACTGAAGTAGGTAGAATTGTCTCATCAAAGCGCCAGGAATTTAGAAATCAGCTGTAGGTATATGAAATAATAATCATATTAATACAATTAACTCCAATTTGCCGCAACATAATTTGATATGGAATGTCAGCAGATCGTTTTTTTGACTGGCTTTATTTAAAGTAAAAACGCCAGAATTATTCTTGAATAGAATTATTCTTCAGGAGCCGTTAAACTAATAGCGTACAAATAAAAATTACATTAATTTGGGCTGCAGAAGGCATTGATAAGCCAAGTTAATTGATATTACATACTAATGCAAAACAATACCTTAAATCAACTACTAAAACCATAATTGTTTCAATAATATAGTTTCGAAAAATATCCCATTTACAGATTAAAAAAAACATCTAAAAATGGGATTTTCAGTTTTTCCAAATTCATAATATTAATACAACTATTACGATAAAAAACACTGATTTTTTTTCCAAAACGGAGTTAACTTGCGAATTAAGGTATGTATAGAGTGGACTCAATTTTCCGCACTTAAACTCTTTATCCATTCAAGGTAATACAAATGACCTTATAAAAAAAAAGTATTTCCTAACTTCAAATAATAAAAGCTGTCTCACCCAGCTTGCTGTGCACACGTCACATGGAAGGCGGAGTAACAATTGCTTCTGTGACACTGTATACATGCTCCGGCACCGCGTTGCTTGCACACCATACATTGAAGTTTCCATCGTGCCGCTGGTATCATTTCTATTGAATCTAGAAAAAATATTTAGTGTTTAGTACCCACCTGTTTGGGTTTGGTTAAATAGGTGAACATAATGCGGTAATAATGTGATCCTGACCGATTTCGATCATGGGAACCAATCTGGTTTATGCTAGATATAAAACAGGTGATATTATAGTGTACAAATATTTGCATAAATACTTCACTTTGACAAAATCTGGGACGACACTTCGACACGACCGACGAGAGTTAAGTCGCAGGACCTACAGCTTCTACGTGTTCTTTGAGACATGAGGCACAGCTTCCCTCACAAATCCAAGATGTTACTGAGGTTTCCTTGACAGAAAGTCCCAATGCAATACCTATAGTTTACCCAACCCGGGACTCGAACCTAAGATCTTTGTAATTCTAGACGTAAATGCTACGCACTATATTAACCCCTTAACTGAATAAAATATTAATAAAAAAACATACCAATAGGCTCCAAGAAAACTGTATTAGCAAAACGAACTTCAGGTATCCATAATGCACATACAACATGTGCCCAAGTTCCTTGATCTGTCTGCTTAAATGCTCCTATATAAATAAAAAGAAATAGAATAAATTAAAAAAAAACTAAAAAATAATCATAAAATCTATAGGGTAAAAACTTTTAACTTCCTGCTGCTGGGCACTTTCTCAAACTTACCAGGTTTTCTCAGACATGCAGTTTTCCTCGCGGTGTTTTCCTTCACCGTAAGATAAGTGTCAAAATAATATTTTAAATAAAACTATCTTTTCGAATTTTTTCATGGATTTATTTTGTTTTGTTTTTTAGTTCCTGACATTTCATATGATTAACAACAATCATGGTCATGGCAATCGTGGTAGATTATGCCTTTGAGACATCTAAAAACATTAGTCTCTTGATGTGACCATGATTGCTGTAAAGCATTCATATTGTCGGGAACTAAAAATCTAAATAACTCCGCGAAAAAATCCTATATAATATACTTTCATATCTTTTATATCCTATATAATAATATAAGATACTTTTATTTAAAATGTCAAATTTCATTTAAATCTAAGAAAGTATTATGACGAAATAATAGTTTAATAATGATATAATAACTTACCTCCAGTATTGGGGCATAATACACAGTTTACAAGACGTGAAGGAGACTGTAAGCATCTCCTACATAACCATTGTCCTTCTGGAATGTATGGTACCTGGGAGCAAAATTGAATAATTTCTTTAAATATGTTACATCGGCAATTTGTCTAATAAAATGGAGTGGATCAGACCAAAAGAAACTTTTTTTTACATTTCCTGTATCTTTAATAGATGACCATACGGAAAAGTTTCATTTAAGCTAAAAATCCAGTCTCTACTTCAGGTGAAGCACTCTGCACTAAACAAGTAATTTCCAAAAACCAATTTTTTTAAATTAATATAAAGTACATTTTATAAGTTGGTAGACTATTACTCGTAAACTTATAGTCTACTTAGCTGTAACAGTTTCACCTTTAACCTCGATATATATACTACTACTGTGAATTTTTCAGCTGGCACGGGATGAATACGACGACGACGACGACGGCGACACTTGACTCGTAACAAAAATTAATCGACAACAACCCTTAATTGACAAACCTGCAATATTTTTTAATACCTATCCAACTACACCCCACATGATGGGTTAGATGAGAAAAAATATCATCCCCACTTTACATGTAGAGGAGGTACATTAAAAAAAGATTTCATTAGTAAATCACTTCAGGTGCTTCCAGATGAAGAATAGAAGTACTAACCAACAGATGATAAATTTCTTTATTCATAGTATTAACAATTATTCCTTACCCCATAACAATCCTGATGAACAGCCAAATTACACATATCACAGAATAAAATAACATTAGTGTTCTGGCACTCTCCATCCATACAAATACAACACACAGCATCTTCATCTACTGTTGCTGCAGTTTGTTGTCCATTTTGTGTTGCCTGTTAATTTAAACAATAGATATCAATTTTAACTTTATCTTATAGTATTAATATATTTAAAAAGTTGATATTACTGGAACTCAGACTTACTTGGAAGTAAGATTCTTTTTCAAGTCGATCCATTAATAACTCCAATGTATCAACAGATACTGGTGGTAGGCCTTGTTTAACTCTATTCTTATTGATGATGGCCAACCATGCAGTATCCTCTTCATCTACATCATACTCTACCTCACCATCCAGTTCTTCTGCTGATTTTTCTATGAACCTAATGTAAGCATTTGGCCGAGAAGGTGCATCACATACTCTTTCGTTATAATCTGGTATAAGCTGAAAATATTTTGTTTATATTTTAAAAACCGCGAGCCAATAGTTGAAAATAGTACTACATACATACACACATATTTGTTTACTTACTTGATATGAAGCTTCTGGCAATTTTACATGAGGTTCTACTGGGGGTTCTATAAAAGGTAAGGGTTTTTCTAATTCAGCATTCTTTTTTTCCCATTCTTCCAAAGAAATAATAGGCAATGGCTGATCAATAGGTATTCTACTTATTTTACCATCAATCTCGAATTGTACTACTTTTTGTGCTTCTGCAAAAGTTAAAGCTTCTTTAGGAGGAGTTTGCAGAGCAATATCTCCAGTCGTCACTGCAGCCCTAGTCCTGCCTTTTTTACGACTGTATGTGATTGCGGGTGTTGCCGGTGTGGGATTATCGTGATCAAAATTTACTAAATGATACTGTAAGCCACATAAGCTTTTATATACTTTGTCACATTTTTCTAACGGGCACTGATATGGAGGAGGCCTGTTTTGCCGTAATTTTTTACAAAACTCCAAAACATCAAAATCTAAACCCATTTTTGTGTTGCAATCAAGTTTATGCCATTGCAACGATTTCGGTACTTAGGGATATCCAGACCAAAGATAGCCAAAACTTTCGAATTTTACATATATTGTTTTTACGGTAAATACACGTTTTCTACAAAAGTGAAAGGCATATCATAATTGATTATCGAACTAAAAACGCAAAAACGCAGTTGAAATAGCGCAACTGCCTGCCAACGACAACGCAAGTTTGACATCATGATCATAGAGTATATTGCTACATATATAAATTTGACATTTGTATTTTGTATTTTATATATGACAGATTTGTCTATATTTTTATTTTGAATTTTGATTTAAATTTTTAATCTGTAAGAATTTAAAATGTTATAATATTTTTTTAAATATCCCTGGATATTTTACATTTTAGTTTCACAAGATAATATAAAGTGAGTAAAAAATTAAAATTGAAGAATCATCTAATGTAAACTTTTAAATTCTAGAACATTCTGTATTATAGTATAGCTTTCTAGTATGTACTATTTACATTTTATATTCTGTTGTGTGGATCTAAGAGACTATGGTCTGTGATGTGGATATGGATAAATAATGAATGAATATTATGTTATTATGTTGTCTGCAAAGAGTATAGATATATACTGAAGTTGTCTGTTTCTAGAAGTGTCAAGCAAATTCAACTTGTGTTTTGTATTGTTTAACTCGTAGATTTGCGCTTAATTTTGGTCTTTCGGTAACCAAACTTTTATTTATATATTTAGTGGTGCAGTTATAAAATTGTATACAGTGTTTTAAACACATATTTATGAAAAATGGATATATACGGGTATCCTCCTTACCAATACAATCAATCAGATGATCTAGCAAAACAAATGTTCGCACAGCAAGCTTTGGCTTCATCAGTTCCTAATCCTTACAACCGAGGCACACAAGAGCCTCATACTATGCCGGTTCCAACAGGAACTCCATGGAATGTCCAGGGTATTCCATGGACTACGGAGTCTCCACCAAATTTGGTACAATTTACAGCACAAACTCCAGAACCTAAAATTTCACCAGTCATTCATTGTAAGAGGAAAAGTTTAGATATTGAACCACCAATGTAAGTATTCAGGCTTAGGAAAAATGTATTCTTATTCAAACTGTTTTTTATGCCTAGGTAATATAGTAAAGTTATTACGATGGAAATATATGTTATGATATATTGCATTGAAGTAAAAAAATATATACATTATTTTGTGTTTGAATAAAGTATTTAGAATATCAATATATATAATATAATATTATGTATTATAATTCTAGTCCCACTAAGCAGTTCATAACTGAAGAGAAAATGGCAGCACATCTAAGTGGACTACACATATCGTCAAACTATACAAAACATTCGCTAGCCAGTGAGGAAGTGATGGAAGTGAGTGTTGACCCAAGTTCATTGTGTGAAAAACTTAAAGGTCACACTATTGTTCTATCAGATGATGTAAAAAAAGTAAAAGAGGAACCTCTTTTACCTGCAGCTCTTATTGAGAGGTAAATAATAATTTTTGAATAAATTATAACCTTATAAAAAATTAAACAAGAATTTTTATTTTTTAATAATGACATCCCTTCCATGTTGTTTATGTGAGTTGCTTAAAATAAATTTATACATATTTTTGATGTAAATATAAATGATATAAACAGATCAATAATGATTGTAATTTTTTTGGCTTGGAGTATTTATAGACATACTAGCTACTCACCCTTTTTTTGCTTGGATTCGTTCCTAGGTATGCTGTAATGGTTAGTATGGAATATAGATATATATTATACATACACATAGGTATGTTGAGATTTTACATAGGAATGAGATCTCATGAATCTCCCGTAATAAAAAGTAGCCTGTTTTGACATGAAAAAAGGGCAAAGAAACAAACACACATTCACACTTATAATATTAAGTATAGAATTAGATTTAGATTTAATATTATAAAAAATTTATTTGTTAATATTTTACAGGTTACAAAAGCCACATATGTCATTAGTAGTTTGGAAACCTCGAGAAAATGTATTAGAAAAAATAAAAGAAGAAAAAGAAAAATCAAGCTCAGAGGAAGAAGAATCACCTAAAAGAAGAACTGGTGTCCTTGTTGTAGAACACAATAGAATGGATATGGAGATGTGATACTATGGTAACTAATACATGAAATGTAAGTTAAGATTGTAAAGGCAACAGTGTTAAATCTTTTGTAAACTAGCTGTTATTTATCATAATCATGCAAAATTTATTGAAAATATATAAGGGTAAAAAACTTCTTTTCACTTCGTTATTTTTCTAGCAACTTAGCCCAATATCACCTAGGTGCTTGCTTTTCTTAATTTGGTATTCTTAATATCCTATTTAAAATATTTCTGTCCCTGTTTTGTATGGTAAATATTTTAAATATATACAGTCAAACCTGGTTAAGCGAGACTTCAAGAGACCGCAATTTCTTTCTCTCTTGTGGAGATTTCTCACCATCCCTAATTTCTAGTTTATAGAGGCACAGGTATGACCTATCTCGTTTATAGAGGTTTGAAAAAATACAGCAAATGTGTATATATTTAATTGGTATTATTCATCAGAATTTGACTAGGCACTAACATTAGTTACTCGAAATTTAAAGAAAAACATCAATATCAGTTCCACTAAAATGCCATATATAGTACATGTTAAATTCTCTTATTGTCGCTTAAGAAGAGAGAGGTACAGGCAAGTAGCAGTCTCAGTTATAGAGATCCTCGAATAAAAAACGACTCCTTTATAGAGATTATGGTATGGTATATTCGGACTTGTTTCCACAACTTGACATCTTGCCTATTTTGCGTGTGTGGGAAGGTTTTATAGAGGTTTCTGTTTCTCTGTTATAGAGGTTTTAGAGGGATGGGATCTGGCAATTACTTTCACTTACAGAGTTTTCTTACTTACCCAGTTCTCACTCACTCGGCTTTGACTGTAACTAAGATATTGGTCATAGAATCTACTAGATGGAAAAGTTTTAGAAGTATGTTTCTACAGACTCCGTATTAGCTAAATCAAAAATTATTAAATATTGAGTGGCTCCTATTTTAAAACTGTTGAGTTAGTTTAAAGTGAAGATTGAAATTCGATAGTGATTATTCAGCATGATTCAGAAGTTTATATTTTAGAAGTCTTACTTATTAACCTATGAGTTTATCTACAAGCTGGAATTGACATAAAAACAGTGTAAGAAATTTTTTATATAATATTTAATATCTGTTGCCTTTACACAATATTTTTGAAGTTCAAGACTTATTTTATTAATAGTTTTATTTCAATATAAGATAAGATGATATTGTTAGTAATTAGTATGTCCTTTGCATATCTTTGTGTCTGTTTATTCTTTTTAATCTTTACTAATATAAATGTGACAGTGCGTTTTTGGCTTAATCTTTATTGTTTGTAATTCTTTAGCAGCACAATAACATAGATTTGCATGGCATGCTTAATGGCGAAAGAGCGATATAAGCTATTTATTATCTATTATATTAATAAACATAAACTATCAGGTGGAACGGGAATATTACAACAAAACTTGAAATGGCTCCTTTTTTATAAACTTGTAACATTAAATTAAGTGTGCTTCTATCTCGGTGCCAATAAAAAAAAATCACAATAGACTTTCAATGACTAAATTATTGTACCTCAAGCTCAATACATAAATAATGTTAGCATTAATCTTCAGTATCCAAATCTGTCAACAATTTGTTAGTGAATAATTATTGCATATAGCTTTGGTACGAGTGTGTAGGAATTTTAGTATAAAGATACTAATTGGGTTTGTCTATTCATTTTATTGTACTGTTGTAGATGGATCTTAAGATTTTCTTTAGAAATATAATATGATATGTATAACAGATGTAGACAGTTTTAAAATGAGTTAAGTTTTTTGATACTTTTTGTGTAGAGTAGCTTAATTACCTAATTTTATAATGCAATTTTATTAAGGTGAGAGTTGATATAAGTTAACATTGCAATAAGTATGCCTCAAATTCATTTTGTTACTCATATTTTGTTTCTGTATGTAGTAGTGAGGATGAAAATGTGAATAAAAGTTAGATTGTGAGAATAAATAAATGTATAAAAAATATCTTATTATTTTATTACTTATCATCTTTTAAACCCATGTATATATTTTCTTTACAGTTCTTATAAGAGTGTTGTTTAATATTGAATATTTAAATAAAAATCTGTTTTGATCATTCAGTCTTGTATAACACCTTATACTATCACCATAGTTAATACCAATTTAAAGAATATCTAAAATTAATTATTTATAACAAAAACTATAATATGTAGATATATTTCAAAACTACATAAAATGTATTTGTAAAGTGTTACATAATATGCAATATCAAATTATTAAAAAGTAAGTTATTTTTTCGAGTTCTATACCCTAATGGCGGGATGAGTTGGGTTCCTTCCAGAGACTGATCTACTGAGACGAAAGAGAAAGAGCAGTGAAAAAAGGGTAAGGAGACCTTTACCCTGCAGTGGGACTCCACAGTCTTATAATAATAATCCAAAAGGCAAGAAGACCATAATATTGCTTGTAAATTTTTCCAAAGCTCAAAGGAAAGGAAAATTAAATGAAACGTGCTTGAATTAAATTTCTTTCATTTTACTGAACTACGAAAATTTAGTTCAAATAAATGTCAATAGATGGCATTGTCTATCGATTTATCCAAAGATGAATAATAGATTAAAAAAATGTACATTTTAGTTTTAAGAAAATGAGTTAACGGAAATGAAATAAGGCACTCTTAAGTCAAATTTGCATAGTTTTCTGATTATTTTAAAATTTAAAATCAACAGTCTGATGTCATTCAGCAGTGAGTTTGTAGTACGTATTCACAGATGGCGCTTTTATTTTTTTGTATCGCTTATTTATTGTTAAAAACTGTCAAAATCACTGAAAATTGTTTAATTAAATTTTGAGTAAATTTCGTAATATAAATCGATTTTAATTTACTTATAATTGTGAAATGAACAAGTTCGGATATTTGCCGATTAACGACGTGACGTCTATTATCTATTCAGCCAAAAAAAAATCCCAGATCTCGTCCAAAGTATAGTCTGAATTAGTGCTATTTCTTATGGGATAGGTCATCTGTGTAGTATTATGTCCTTTGTACTTTGATTAGCAATGAGTATACTACTGTACATTCATAGATGGCGCTGCTGACATTTCTGAATGGCTTAACACGGCCTAAAACAAACGGCTATTTACTAAATTGTATTACTTTATCCACTCTAAGTAGATATATTTTTTTACAAAAAAAAAGTATGTACATACTAGTCCTTTTTTTATTATTTATTATTTTTATTGCATGAAATATAAAAAAAAACACAAAATTGAAATGACATATTCGTTAGCCTTCTCTACTAATTACCTATACGAGTACCTACCTCTAATTCGTAATTTAAATTATTGTAATCCTGTTTCAAACTATTGACCACTCAAATACCTATTCATTTTTATATTAAAGAATTTATATTTAAAAAGTGTTTTGGACCAATATCGTCTAATAAACGAAGGGCACCAAGCAGTTTCTGTAAATCACACCGAAGGTCGCGGGCAAAAGCAAGTAGGTATATAATAATATAAATGCGAAATGTATAAGACTAGCGACTCACCCTCGCTTCGCTCGGGTTCGTCCCTAGCTTGGTTCTCCATACAAACTTTCATCCCCATTTTCACTCCCTTAAGGAATGATTTCCGGGATAAAAAGTATCCTATGTCTTTCCCAGGTTCTCAAACTATCTTGTTACCAAATTTCATCTAAATCGGTTTAGTAGATCCAGAGATTATCCCCTACAATGTCACAAACCCAAAAACTCACAATCTCACAAACTTTACCTCTATAATATTAGTACAGATGTCGCTATTTAAAAATAAAGTGAGGGACTAGGGTTATGCTGGTGGTAGCGGTTGTCCTTGAAAAAAGAAATACGCAAAGAGAAAACATTAATTTAAAATAAAACCAAAATATAAATTTATATAAGTTTTTATTAATTTTATACAAAATTTATTAATATCAATATAACCACATTTAAAAATTCTATCTAAAACATAAATAATATTAAATTTTTAAATACTGATTTCGAATCGTATATTGGTCCATACATTTCACGAGTACATTAAATCGACTTATATACATGTAAAAATACAGTCTTAATTTAATTATTTAATTGACAATTCGAGAGTTAAAACTTAAAACAGATGCAAGTTTCCATCTTGACATATTTAAGGTGAAATGTACTAAGCTTAATATTTTATTTTTCATATTTAAACCACTTGCACTCGGATTGTCAATTTAAAAAACATAACTTTAATTAATAAATATTTTAATGAATACTTATTTATTTTAAAATTATAGCACACAATATGATTATTTACAATCAGTCCATTTCAAACATCAAACATTGTCTTCGAAACTTAACAATATAATTTTCAATGGAACATACACATATAAAAAACCACTTAAAAGTGGCATTTCCAAGATATTTGAGAGCAAAGAACGATATCTGTACTGGACGTAGCGATAGCTTTATGGCACTAAAGTTCTATCCCCTTTAAAAATTAAAAGTAAAATTAAATCGAGATTAATCGATCTTGTAATTAATCGTATCGTATTGTAAATCATTAATTTTTTCGCTTTATTTGATATGATTTATTTGTAATCTATATTTATTCGAGAACTTTTATTCATATATGTATTTTGAAACACTGGGAATAATTTTAAATTAATTAAATTATTCTTTATATATTCATAGCTTGTCTCAATTGACTGATGAAATAAAGCAATGAAAAATGGTTGAACGCCGATTAAATTAATATAAAGATGTACTGTACTACTAAGGATGTTAAAATATTAAGTTTCAAAATGCTCTGAGGCTAGCTACGTTATATATTTTTCATGAGTTATTTCGAGTTTTATTCATACCAGCCGTATTTAAATTTAAAAAAAAATATTCAAGTGTATTTACAGAAAGCAAATATTAAAAAAATATAATGTAACTTAATTTTGAATAATCGAAATTAAATAAACGTGATACAAACAAAAACCATATAGTTAAAAAATACTTACTTTTTAAAAGCTCTACACATTAAATAAAAT